TATTGGGACGCTTAAAGGTAAGACGAGAGAATTGGCATCAATGTTGAACAAGAGAAAAGTTGATATAGCGTGCATACAAGAGACGAAATGGAAAGGACAGAAGACTTTGATGATTGGAGATGGGTATAAATTGTACTATAATGGACTTGTTAGCAATAGAAACGGTGTCGGCATCATCCTCAGTCAAGATCTAACCTCCTCAGTTGTAGAAGTCAACAGGATCTCTGATAGACTAATGAAGATAAAACTCTGCATTGGTCAATCAATACTACACATCCTTTCATTATATGCTCCTCAAACGGGTTGCAAAGAAGAAGAGAAAGATGATTTTAGAGCTATCCTCGATGAAGCTGTAATGGAAATCCCTAAGGATGACCTAGTCATAATTGGTGGTGACTTAAATGCGCATGTGGGGAAAGCAAGAGATAGCTACAAAAAGCATCATGGTGGTTTTGGATATGGAGAAAGAAATGATGAAGGAGAGCATATACTGAAATTTGCGCAAGCCTTCAACCTTGCCTTAACCAACACCTACTATAGGAAAAAGGATAGTCATTTAATAACATACGAAAGTGGTACAAGGAAAACACAGATAGATTACATACTAATCTCTCGCAGAAGATTAAAAGATGTAATAGACTGCAAAGTCATCCCAGGAGAAGATATCGCCGCACAACACAAGCTACTAGTCATGGATTTACACATCTCAAATAAATGCACTCAAAACAAGATAAAACTGGAACCATGCATCAAATGGAGCAAATTAAAAACAATGACAGATGCCTTTGCAATCAATGCAAACATTGAAACAATAGATTCCTCTCCAGATTAATAAACACTGCCAAATCGACACTAGGCTTGACAAGAGGAGGCAACAAATCATATAAAGAACTATGGTGGTGGAATGAAGAGGTATAAACCACTATACAGGAGAAAAAAGCCCTTTATAAAATATGGTACAAATCCAAAAACGCAGATGACAAGACAAGATACAAAAAAATCCAAGAGATTAGCTACAAAAGCGGTGGCTAGAGCCAAATATATGGCATACGATGACATGTACGAAGATCTACATACCAAAGAAGGGCAAAATAAAATATACAGATTAGCCAAATAGCGAGAAAAGAACTCTAGGGATATAAACGGAGCTCCGAAAGTAATCAAAAATAAAGATGGGAAATTGATAATAAAGGAAAAAGAAATAATGAGTAGATGGAGAGAATATTTTCACAACAAGAAATAATCACATGCCTCAAGCATATGAAAAACAACAAAGCTAGGGGTCCAGACGATATTCCAATAGAAAGCCTTAAAGCACTAGGAGATGATGGAATGCATCTCCTCACAAATCTATACAATAAGATACTTGGAAATGAAGAGGTTCCCCAAAAATGGAGGCAGAGCTATCTAGTTCCTATCTTCAAAAATAAAGGGGATCCACATAATTGTCAAAATTACAGGGGGATAAAACTAATGTCACACTGTCTAAAACTATACGAAAAAATAATAGAAAAAAGATTAAGAGATATAATCGAAATAGGAGAGACTCAGTTTGGCTTTATGCCTGGAAGATCAACAACCGATGCTATCCACGAAATTAGGCAAATGAGTGAAAAATACAGGGAAAAGAACAAAAAGCTACATGGTCTTTCTCGATCTAGAAAAGGCCTTTGATAGAATCCCAAGAAAGCTTATCTAGTAGGCGCTACGCCACAAAAATGTTCCCGAAAATTATATAAGAATAATACAGGATATGTATATGGGCCATACAACAATGGTTCGTAGCACAACAGGTACTTCAGCAGGCTTCACAATAGCCGAAGGAGTTCATCAAGGGTCGGCTCTCAGCCCACTTCTCTTCATTACAATAATAGATGTATTAGCACAGTCTATACCTCAAACAGTCCCGTGGAATATGATATTTGCAGATGATATTGTGATACTTGCCGAATCTAAGGATGAAATGAAAGAAAGACTAGTGAGTTGGATAAATATCCTAGAAACGCACGGATTAAAAGTAAATAGAGAAAAGACGGAGTATATGGTGATAGGAGGAGATGAAACAGAGAGTATTGATATAAATGAATGGCAGATATCGGCAATTGAAAGCTACAAATATTTGGGTTCCACTATACAAACAAACGGCACATTAGAAAAAGAGATAAAGAGTAAGATTAATCAAGGGTGGCTAAAGTGGAGATCTTTATCTGGAGTGCTATTTGATAAAAGAATCCCACACAAATTAAAGGGAAAAATTTACAGTTCCATAATACAACCAACTATTCTATATAGTTCGGAAACATGGCCAACCAAAGAATCAGACGAGAGAAGTCTACAAACCATGGAGATGAGAATGCTGAGGATGATTGCTGGAGTAACAAGAAAGGATAAAGTGCGCAGTACAAGAATACTAAGTAGTTTAAAGGTAGGCCAAAACTTCAATGGGGCCATAAAGTTAGAGCCAATATAAAGAAGTATAAATTAGATAAAAGAGATTGTATAACATAAAGTGGAGAGAGATGTTGAAGGAGCTTACCACCAGAAAAGGTGAAAGCTAAAGAGAAAAAAAAAATTTATTTTAAATTAAATAAATATTAATCAATCTTCATATTATTTATCCCACAATGTCTTTAAAAGATATTTTCTGATGTCCTTATCAATATTTTATAGTTTTCTGTAAAATATATAATTCGCTTTGGTTTATTTGATTGTCATATGATAATTAAAAAAATTAGATATACTGTAAATCTACGACATATAATATTCCACTGTTTGTACTGTGCTTTAATTTTTTTATTTAATTTATGATTTAATTTTATCAATAGTTTTATAATTATATTATATTTTTATTAAAATAAATAAATTAAAATTACACACTTTATAAAAAATTATATTTGATATATTATATTATTTAGTAATTTTATGGATCTATTATTAATAATTATAATACATTTCACTTTGGTCTTAAGACTTATCTTTGGCTTATATTTCATTTCTTAAAAACATTTTTGGTTCACTTTTGACGCAAATAAAGAATAATTGCGTTAAAAAGAATCGGTAGTAGAATAAGAATATGTAAGTCTGGTTTCGTTTGCTTTAGAATAAATAATAACGATATCAAAAAGTAATTTTTTATTAACAAGTAAAATTATCACGTGCATAGAAAGTCAACAACTTCAAATGTATATATATCTAGTAAATCAATTTAAGGTAAATCAATTGATGATTTGAGGCTTCGTATGTAGAAATAAAATAATATATTATTTAGTGAATTTTTTTGTATATGTAAATAGTCATAGTTTAATGCTTCGATTAACTTTGTATATTATGATATTAAATTATATTATGCAACAACTTTTTTATATATAAATGCATTTTTCCAAAAATGTATAAATTATGATGAATAATTTTATAAAAAAAATATCAACTTTTACATTCTTTCTTTCAAATTATTGTTTAAGATAATATATGCATACATTTTTGGGGGTCAGGAAGTGGAGGGAGGACTAAGAGGGGTATTTTTTATTAGCTTAAAATGATATTCACAAAAAGTGATAAATTTCTGAAGGGGAGCTTGCCCACCCCCTTTGGCTGCGCCTATGATCGAAAGTAATACTTGGGTTTATAAAAGTACAAAGAGAGGTTTACTATTAGAATTTGGGATAAATGGAGGAAACCAATATATATTATCAGGATAATACTAATGGGAGTTATTTATTAGTAGAATATATTTGTATATATGTCGTTGAAATAAATAAAATATTTGTATATGTTTTGAAAATAAATACTACTATTCAAAAATATGGAGAAAGGCATTTGCCATAGAAAGGCCTTAAAAATTGAGATGGAAAAGATTTCTAAATATTTAAATTTTAATATTATAATTAACAATGGGTTAGTGTAAAGAAAAAAGGGTGAATAATTGTTAATATTGAGAATGTGGGTTTAATAACACATCTGATTGACATTGCCCAAATAATCATAATGTTGCAATACTGATGCCAATCATGAAAATAACTACCTAATTAACAAATTATGACATGATAAACCACCAACTATTAAGAGCCAAGCCAGCTAACAATGTTATTTGCAACCAACTATATAATGAGTGACCAACGATACTATAATTTGCCACTCAAACTTTTATGGAAAACAATCAATTATGCTATCATTATGACCAATCAGAAATGAGATTGAATACTGACCAATTACACAGAAGCCAAAATAGAAGTGATTAACGATGTTATAACCGACTACCAATAATGACCGTCAAACCTCATGATAGAAGTATTACCAACAACAACTAAGCCTCCTTCGGGAGTTAAATCATAATGGAAGCATACTGGAGAAAAATAAATAAAAATAATTTTTGTAATTTTTTTAGACATTTATTTTAATTATATACCTTCATGCGTAAATTGTATTACTAACACCAAATTAGTTTTCTAAAGAGGGGAGGGGTATTATAAATTCCAGTTTATAATTGACATTTGGGTGTTTACCAATAATTTATATTCGAGAAAAGGTAATATCAGCTTATTTACATATAAATTGATTTTTTTCTTAATAATTATTATTTTTGTAAAGGTCACATGATTATCATTGTCTGATTGTGGAATTTAGGACTGCGAAAAAATTTATAATGTACGCGATAAATAATAAAAAAAGATTGAGAGCCCATATAAATATAATTATGAAATCAATACTAAGCAATAAATCTTCATTTTTATCACTTGTATTGGCAAATTTTCTACCGTTTTTGGTTTCCGGGGGAAAGAAAATTAATAACTATAATTAAAATAAATATATAATTTATAAGATTGCTTCATAAATCAAATAGATAATTTTATATATTAAATTTGATTAAAAATATTGGTTATAAGGATAAATTAACAAAAATATTTATTTTCTTTATATAACATTTATTCTTAGAAATGAGATCTAAAAAGAATATTAGTAAATTTTGTAATTCTTGTAATTAATCAATTTTTAAAATATCAATGATAAATATATCATCCTCTTCGGATATTATCATAAAAGCGCTCGAGGAATTAGAAAAAGTTCCTCACATGGGGGCTCTGGATGTTAAATATTATAAAATTTTAACCGAAAAGTTTCTAGATCTAGTATGTACTAAAGAATTTCTTGAATTAAGTAGCGGCGCAGTCACTCGTTTATTGGGAAATGATTTCTTAGGAATAGACTCTGAATCGGATGTGCTGAGAGCAGCATTCAGATGGATTCATGCAGATAAAGATGCCAGGATAAAATTTTCAAACGATATATTGAATTGCGTAAAATTAGTTTACATCGATGCACCCGATATATTTGCTTGCCTGGAAGGTAAAGAATATATTTCGTTTAGTAGTTATTGCAATCATCATTTTCATCAGGCTTTATGGTATACGTTACACTAATAATATAATAATCCCCTTCAATTAGGTATCAGACTTGCAAAAATCACAATCAATTAGATAAAGTATTTTTTGAGATTCCCAAACCAAGAAAATCAACACATGCTGAAATGTCAAAAAGCTGTTTGGTTTGCATGAAAAAAAGTTCATTGATGTTTAATGTATGCATTTTGATAAATTTAATATATAATAAAAAATAATATAATAGGTTAAATCTTATATATTAAGTATTGGAGGTCTTAACTCTGAAAAAAATTCTGAAGTAGAAACGAAAAAAAATTGTTTTCTTTACAACCCAATTGCAAATTCTTGGTCAAAATTTAACCATGATCTACCATACCCATTAACGCACCATGCTTCTTGTATGATGGAAAATGTACTTTATATTACAGGTGGGTATAAATTTTTTTTCGATTGCCTAGATATTTAATGAAATAGTTGTGCTCAATTATTTATTCCATCAATATAAAACTCTCTTCTATTTTTTATAGGTGGGTTAAGCAATGTTAATACAGCGACAAATTTATCTTACAAATTTCAAAATCAGAAATGGACTAAAATGCCTAACATGTTAAAAGAGAGGTCAGATCATCAACTAGTAGCATTTCAAAAAAAGCTGTTTGCGATAGGTGGTTGCAATAAACAAACCATGTATACGAGATATTAATAGTTTTATGGGATTGTAAATCTAAATATATTATAGTTAAAATGATGTATTAGCAATAAATAATATTTACAAGTAAATAATTTCAGGTAAGCAGTGTATACATTGCATGAATGAAAATAATTTAAAGACAACATGTCAGGATTTACTTCCATACTTCATAGAATATTTTGCTATTACTCACTTAAAAAGCCCCCCCCCCCCTCATTAAACCCATTACTGGTCAAGGTTAAAATTACCTTACTAAATTTTAATTTTTTTTATGAACATTATTTATTTTAGTCTAATTAAGACATCTTAATGTTCAAAAATTTCGAAAACGCAACAATAACCAGATAAGAATTTTATAAAAAAATATTTTAGTTTATGATTGGAATATAGTTATATATTTTAATTTCAAAAAATTTTTTTTATATAAAATTCGAAGTATTTAAGATAGAAGTATTTTGCGAACTTGAAATTGGTGCGTATATAACTTTTTATTTAGCTAATATTTTCTTAAAAATCAAGTCCAATCATTTACTGATCTCAATTTCTTATACAGGAACACACTTCGGATGCTTGTTTCCTTTAATCATCAGCAAAATCACCTATATTCCTTTTTCCTGTTAAATTAACGTTTCCCTCAAGATTTCTTGCATTTTTTAAAATGGAACTCAAAATTTTTTTAGATAGTTAAATTTTTAATTTTTTAAATCAAAATAAAATAAAGGTTAATTTTAAAAAAAATTATTTTGTTGCGTTTACGCATCATTAAATTATTATATATTGTAAATTTGTGAATTAATTACCATAATTTTTAGTAACATATATAAGTAAGCACTTGAGTGGAGGAGATAATAATTAAGTGAAGTAGGAAAAATATTTTAAAATCTTTTTCAATTAACATTTTAGGAATCTATTTTTTTAAAAGTTTTTGAGAGATTTGGAAGGTTCAATTTAGGTTAGAATAAATATTTTTTTTATTATTTTATTAAAATATCTATTTTATGAATATAATTCAAGTTTTTAGTTAGAACAAATATTTTTAAATATTTTTTTTATGATTTTATTAAAATATCTATTTTATGAATATAATTCAAGTTTTTAGATAAATATAATAATCTTAAAATTAAATTTTAATAAATGTTTGGAAACGGCAACAAAAACCAATAATGGGTAAGGATATATTGACGAAATTTTCGTCTGTCCCCCGGTAGACACTGCAAATAAGCAATTGGGTAAAATAATTAACCTCTAATATATTTTAGGCAGATAGAATCAGTGGAAAATTACGATCCACGAACGAATGAATGGTCAGAAAGTGAACCAATACCAGAGGCTACTATGTCTTTAGCTAGCTGTGTCCAAGGAAACTATATATGGATATCAGGAGGCATTATAAAATCTAGCAAGGAAGATAAAGCTAAAATGACAAAAAATGTGGAGATTTATGATCAAGTGCATAAAAAGTAACTATGTTTTAAAGTTTGGTATAGTTTTATAGCAACGAAAAAATTTAAGGTAGATAAAATTAACCATTCTCAAAAAGATTATTAAATTTGAAATTTATCATTATTTCATGCATAGATACTTTAGATTAAACTGATATTATTTCTATATTGGCAATAATTCTTTTTTAATGAATAAGAAAAAAAATATTAGGTATAATTTAAAAGGGCATTTACACAGAGGCCCCTACAACCGGGAATAGGGGGGGGGGGAGTTACGAAGTAACTGCTTCTTAAATTTTGAAAGGGGCTAAGTTTTTTGGAATTTCTCATGGTGAGGAAGTACTTTTTTGGATACAAAAAAAATGAAGAAAAAGAAGATATAAAACAAAATGTATTAAAATTTAAATTATATTCTAATCTTTTATCGTATAATAATATATATATCAGAGACCTGCAGAGGTACCATTTACACGGCCTGGCCCGGCCCGGATTTTTTTTCAAAATTGTTTTAAGGCCCGTTTTTTAAAATATATTATATTTATTTTTGATTTTTATAGCTAATAGTGGCGATTTCAAATATTTGGTTTCAAAATATATTTTAAAACCAAATCAGGGAAGAGAGGGTATTTTCTTCAGTGTGGTATTATGCTTCCATCGCTTAGAAAGTGTAGGGGCCACTGAGATTACAGAGCGATATTTACGTTATTTTACTTAATTAACTGAAAGCTTTTTATTTTTAGAATCTTAGTAATTTCTTATCTAATTTTATTATAGATGGTTTCATCGTCCCCAACTTCTAATAGCCAGATCATATCATTCCATGATTAGTTCTGGAAAGCATTTATATATTATTGGTGGAGCAGCTTTGAGTGATAAAAAAATAATAAGCCTAAATTCTGTAGAGTATTTTAATGAAGGTTCCAGAACATGGGAATCAATAGCATCCTTTAAAATTCCGAGACTGAGATTTGGGTCAGTATATATAGGTATTCTAAAAAAAATTAAAAATTACAATCAATTTTAGAAAATTTTTAATGTTTTCTCATTTTCATATTTTTAACATACACTTTATCCGAATTACTGAATTAATACCATTAAATTATTTCATAGATAAAAAGATTTTGATTATGGGGGGTTACAATAGTCAAAATAACGTCGAATTGGATAGTTGTGAATGCTTAGATATAGACAATGAAAAATGGGGATCTAGAATTGAAAATATGCCAGACCCTATTATTGGAAATATTTGTGTAACTATATGTCAGAAATTAATAGAATAAATTTAGTAACAATAAACATTATCTTATTTTAGTCAAGTGAATTATAACATATTATAGTTACTGATGTGTATTAAATTGTTGTTGTTATTTTTTGTAAAAATGTTTATTTTTATTATTATATATTTTGAGATTAATTTGAATAATAAAGGCTGATTTTGATTTTTTACATTACAAAATAAAAGAATAAGAAAAACTCGTTTACTATTAAAATACATTACATAAATGGCGCAGTCTATAAAAAGTCTAACGGATTCAAACCTGTGTTACAAAGATTGGTACAACTTATTTCAAAAATTTAAAAACACACAATCAATGTAACATCATCACAAGAAAAATCTCTGTTATTAACAACAATAGGATGTGATACGTACAAAATACTGGTAAATTTATGTGCACCTGATAGTCCGGGAAACAAATAGGTATTAGAAATACATAATATTTTAATCAAGCATTTTCATCCTAAACCTAATATAATAGTAGAGAGATATAATTTTTATCAATATAATCAACAAAATGATGAAAAACTAATAGACTATATACAAAATCTAAGAAAATTAGCAACGACTTGTTATTTTGGGGAATATTTAAATACTGCATTAAGAGATAAATTTATATTCGGAATAAAAAATCCAAATATTTTACAAAGATTATTATCCGAAGACGATATAGACATAAATAAAGCTATTCAGATAGCTACTGCAGTAGAAAAAGCAATAAGAAATACAAAATTAATACAAAATGATGAAACTAAAATCGATCATTTAGAAGAGGAACATAATGATAATATAAATAAAATTAAAAAAGTTAATAATGATAATGATAAACAAACAAAATCATATAATACTAATGATAATGATAAACAATTAAAATCATATAATAAATATAATGCGAGCTATAAAAAACCAAATCCATGCCACTCCTGCGGTGGAATGCCACTTGTTATAAATGCAACAAAATTGGGCACATTGCTCGAGTCTGTAGAAAAGAAATAGTGAATTTTATTAATAATAAAACAAACGAATATAATCCAGAATTTTGGGTGGATGTCAAAATAAACAACAGCAATATAAGAATGGATTGGATACTGGAGCTGGAGTCAGATAACGAAATAGATTGGAAAAATAAACTTAATCATCCTGAATTAACAAATTGCATGCTAAAACTTAAAAGTTATACAGGAACCAATATACCACTATTAGGTCAAACTGTAGTAAAAGTACAATATAAAGGGCGAACATTAGAAATACCTCTCATAATTACAAAAGGATATACCAAAAATCTAATTGGAAGAAATTGGATAATTAAATTTCCCAAAATGACTGAATTACCTGAAAGGACCATACAAATAAATAATATTAATATACAAAATGAATTTCCTCAATTATTTACCAAAGAATTAGGCTGCTTGAAAGATTATAAGGCACAAATATATATGAAAAACGAGAAACCAATTTTCTGTAAATCACGTCCCGTACCATACGCATTAAAAGATAAAGTTGAAGAAGATTTCGATTGCAAAAAATAGGAGTACTAGAGAAAATTGATCATTCACTTTATGCATCACCCATAGTAATTGTTCAAAAGAAAGATAAAACATTATGAATTTGCGGGGATTTTAAAAGAACTATAAATCAAAATATTAATATTGATTCATATCCAATACCAAGAATCCAAGATTTATTAGCCAATTTGGGAAAAGGAGAGGAATTTTCAATATTGGATCTCTCAGATGCCTATTTTCAAATTAAAGTGGAGGAAGAGTCTCAAAAATATCTTGTAATCATTACGCATAGAGAATTATTTATATATACAAGACTACCTTTTGATATATCGTCTTCTCCAGCAATATTTCAACGAGCCATCGAGAATTTATTAAAAGGTTTTGAAGGAGTAGTTTGTTATTTAGATGATATTATGATAACCGGGAAAAATAGAGAGAAACACGAAACAAATTTAAAAAAGGTACTAAAATGTCTAGATGAAAATGGAATCAAGCTAAAAATAGAAAAATGTAAATTTTTCAACAAAATGTCGAATACTTAGGCCACAATATTTCAAAAAACGGAATTACAACTACCGAAAAAAATACTGAGGCAGTAAAAAATGCACCAGAATCAACAAATTTGAAACAATTACAGTCATTTCTAGGGTCAGCAACATACTATTCAAAATTTGTTTCGAATTTTGCAGCCAAAGCCAAATCATTATAAAAATTATTTGAAAAAACAGTTGTTTGGAAATGGACTAATAAATGCAAAGATGCGTGTAAAAAAATAAAGCAAGAAATAAGTAGTACTCCAATATTACAACATTATGATCCAAAATTACCCATTATATTAGCAACAGATGCATCATCTATAGGAATTGGGGCAGTAATATCACATATAGAAGGGGGTAAAAAGAGACCAATTGCATTCGTCTCAAGAACACTAAATGCAGCTGAAAAAAATTATAGCTAATTTGAAAGAGAAGCACTTTCCATCATATTCGGGGTTAAGAAATTCAAAGAATTTATATATGGAAAAAATTCACATTACAAACAGATCACAAGCCATTAATGGTTTTATTTCATCCAAGTACCCACAACATCAACTGCCCGAATACAAAGGTGGGCTTTATTATTAGCCGGTTATCAATATGAAATAGAAGTCGAAAGTAGTAGACAAATAGCAAATGCTGACATGCTATCTAGATTACCCCTAAAGGGAACTCCAATATCAAAAGAAGAAGCGCTAGATCAAATACAGGTGGGAGAAACACCTTTAAATGCAAGCGAAATTGAAAGAGAAACAATGCGAGATGATATACTTTCTAAAGTATACAGATATACAATAGGTGGATGGCCAATAAACTATGATGCATGTTTAAAGGAGTATAGCGAAAGGAGAGAGGAAATTACAACTGAGAGAGGTTTATTATGGAGAACGAAAATGATAATACCACAACAATACCGAAACAACGTGTTGGACATGATACATCAAGGACATATCGGAATGGTAAAAATGAAGATGAGAGCACGACAATACGCGTGGTGGCCTAATATAAACCAAGATATAGAAACCTGGGTCGAAAAGTGTAGAGAATGCCAGGAACAACACGATATGCCTCAAAAGACAGCAATTCAAAATTAACGAAAACCATCAAAAGCATGGCACCGAGTACATATTGATTATGCTGGACCATTTCAAAATTATTATTGGTTGGTAGTGATAGATGCTAGCAGTCGCTGGCCAAATAGTTCCCATGACTAGCACTACAACCGAAAGCACGATAAAAATATTAAGAAATATTTTTGCAAGATTCGGATTTCCCAAAATAATCGTTTCTGATAACGGACCCCAATTCAGCAGAAAAGATTTTAATGATTTTTGTGAAAAAAACGGAATTCAATTAGTGCACGGAAATCCTTACCATCCTCAGACAAACGGCATGGCCGAACGTTTAGTTCGAACTTTTAAACAGAGTATGAACAAAAGAAACGAGAGGGATTTAGAAACCAGCCTAGCTATTTTTTTCTACAATTACAGAAATACACCAGGAACAGAAACTGAACAAACACCCGCTGAAATACTACTAAAATTTAAACCTAGAGCATTGTTAGATCAAATTTTTGAACGGGGAAATAAAAAGCAGAAGTTTGAATATCACAATCAAAAATTTCAGATAAATGAAAAAAAAAAGTTTGGTCGCGCCTTCACTATAATAAAGAAAAAAAATGGGAAGAAGCCATTATTAAAGGCATACTCGGATCACAACGTTATGAAGTATAGCGAGTAATACGATTATACGTCATACGGACCTAAGGAAAAGAACCGAAAATGTATTAATTGAAGAATACGAATTAGAAGAGAAAACCGAAGAGATAGTAAACAAAGAGGATGTAATAAAAAATAACGATGAAATGAATTCAAAGGAGAGGGAGGAAGAAACAAGTCAAGATCGATATCCCAAAAGGATACGATCGAAACCAGATCGACTGGGGATAAATGATGTGAATTAAATTGTTGTTTTTTGTTATTGTTTGTAAAATGGTTATTTTTATTATTATTATTATATATTTTGAGATTAATTTGAATAATAAAGACTGATTATGATTTTTTACATTACAAAATAAAAGAATAAGAAAAACTCGTTTACTATTAAAATACATTACAGTTACCTAACATGAAAAGTAATAGTTATAATTATTCAAATGTTTGGAAAAAAGAATGTATATCCATTTTATTACTTAATACATCATAAAAAGTGACTTCTATAAATATTGTAATTATAATCATTTCTTTTATTTGGTATAGTAAAGTTAGCACATTGGCTGTAATTTGGATCAAATTTTATTTTTTTTTCAAGATGGAATACGATAAAGTTATTTATGGAAAGTATATATGTAATATGGCATGTCCAAAACCTAGTCTGTCCCATTTTGTTTTCATCTTAATTTTTCCTGAATTTATTAATTACAAATGGGTGTTGTCAGTGGCTTCAATAAGGGTCGCTGCCAGCATTTTTGAAGGAGGTGCAAAGATCCTAATTTATATTTTAAAAAGTGTCACAATTTTTTTTACCCTATGTATAAAAAACCTGAAAGGGGAATTTGGACTAATTCAAAGATGGACATTAATCGGAAAATAAGTGCAATTTTTGTATATCCAAAAATAAGCACCAAAGTGAATTTATTAAAATTTAAACAACCTAACTTGATTTATTTGCATGTGTAGGATCATTTAATAAATTATATTTTTGATTTTTCACCATCGTTGTTTTTGCTTAAAGCGAAAGGTATAAAATAATACTCAAATGATTTAATACCACAAGGAAAACAATATTTTTTAAAAGAAGCCCTAAAATTTTGTAAGAAAACTATTTGGATAAAATAATATATTTGTTTAAATTGTTGCTAATTGGTTTCTCCTCATCGGTTAGGCTCAGCTTGTTTTATTTCGATCGGTTTAGTTCAGAATTGATAGATTCAATTCGTGTATACCCGATTAATCGTCTTATTACACTTCGTTTTAGCTAAATCAACAATATGATCTTGCGAGGTATTCTGCCTTTATGTGTTCAGTACGCTTTGATTCTTCCTATCATCATCGGCATGGTTCGGCAAATTCTACCTATCCGTTCAGTTAGCTTATCTTTAATTAATAATCTTGGTATCGCTCGTCTTAGTTTGATCAACTCATTATGGTTTGGCGACTTCTTGTGTCTTGATCGGCTCTGTACAGTTTTGCTTTTCATAACTATCGCATTAGTTCGGTTTGCTCTAGATAGACCGGTTTAGTTCGCGGATTCTTGATTATTTATCTTGGTAACGTCCGTTTTAGCTTTATCAACCCAATGCGGTTTAGTAGTTCCGAAGTATTCTCTATATTTAACGGCTCGGTACGCTTTAGTTTCTCCTATATTCATGTCCTTTGTTTGGCCCATTCTGGCATGATCAGTTTGGTTCGCATTTTCTCGTAATCGTCTTGGTATGACTCGTCTTACCTTGATCAAATCCATACAGTGTGACGATGTCTTGTGCTTTAATCGGCGCGGCACTATTTTGTTTATATGATTACTATATTTTATTAATTAATAGATATTTAACTTTCATATGATGTCCATTTGTTATAATTTCGTTATATCGTCAATTTATATCAAGGTAAGTTATAATAACAGTAAAAAAAATATAATATTAGTAAATCACAATTATATAAAGTTATTAATTCTTGCTATTTTTTTTGTTGAATGAGATTCAAGTTCCCTTTTAGCGCTAACATCATAATAGGCAACAAAATGGCCAAAGTCTATACTATGCATAGGATGTTCAATTACGAGGTTTCGGATATTGAAAAAATAAAGCTGAGATAATTGTATTTTACTATGTTTATGGCTAATCGTTGGCGTAGGCTGGAAGATGTTTGATTCTTATATTCTCGATCAATCGTCACGGCTATCTAGTCATCATCTCAATATTGGTGGTGTTTTCTGTATTTGGCATCCGGGTTGGTTCTACTATCTTCATCAGCTCAGTTCGGTTTATTCTGCCCAATGATATATATAACATTGATTCTGCCACGATCCAATTGGTTTGATTATCATTGATTAATAGTCATGGTACGAGTCATTTCGGTTTTATAAATTCAATATGGTTTGGCGGCATCTTCTGTCATGATTGGCTCCGTATGGTTTTGTTTCTTTTTTCTTCATCGGTTCAGTTCGGCTTGTTTTGAACGTTCAGTTTGTTTCGTATATCCTTGATTAATTAATAAATTATCTTGATACTCTTCATCTTAGCTTGATTGATAAATACAGATTGATAACGTCTTTTGTCTTAATCAGCAAGGTGAGGTGCTATTGATTTCCGCTAGCTTAATCGTGTTAGTTCGGCTAGTTCTGGATCGATCGGTTTAGTTAGTGTATCCTTGATAAATCGCTTTTGTATGGCTTATCTTAGCTTGATTGACTCAATAGGATTTCGCGGCGGCTACTGTCTTGATTGGCAAGGTACGGTTTTTTTTCTGTTTTTATCGGCTCAGTTATGTTTATTCTGGATTAATTTTGTATCCTTTAGTAATTATCTTGGTACGACCTGTCATAGCTTAATCTATGCGGTTTGATGGCATCTACTGTCTTATTTGGCTCGGTACGGTTTGTTTTGTGATGATAGGTTTGATTTCCTATATGCATCTCGTCTTTGTTTGATTGGCTCAAAAATATTTGTCGGCAACTCTCTTGATCGATTTGATATGGTTTGGTTTTTTTTTGTCTTCATCGATCTAGATCTGCTTGTTCTGGATCAATCGGTTTAGTTTGTGCATACTCGATTAATCGTCTTGTTTTAGCTTGATCAGCTTAATACATTGTGGTTTAATTCGTGTGTATTATAGTTATTTCCTTGGTATGGCTCGTCTTAGCTTGATCTAATTAATACGATTTGGTAGCGTCTTTTGTCTTGATCGGCTCGGTACAATTTGGTTTCTCCGATCTTCTCCAACTTGGTTCAGCTTGTTCTGGGTCTATAGGTTCATGTGTCCTCACACTTTTTCTGCTAATCAACTGTCCAATTTTCAATTTTAAACTTCATACAATAATGGTAGCAATCGAGTATATAATATATTAGATTTTAAGATCTAGTCTTATAAATTTATCTAATAGGAACCCACCCATAGTATTCCACTTTTCCCAGACAACTTTAGTTCCTTCACGTAAATTCCCATTTAATTTCCATCACTGTAAGATGGATCCTTAAAGAAATGATCCCTCTAATTTCGAATTGCCTATTTTAAGAGAATGTTCTTCTCCACATAACAGATGAAATTTACACAGCTTATAAAACGCGTAGAAGCGTTTTAGGTTTATTTTACTAAAAAAGCTTCTTTGTTTAAATTGCAGTGAAATTTTTCTTTAAACGTAAAAACACGAACAATTTAATTTTTTTAAAACTGAGAAAACTTTTACCAATTTGCACTTTATTATTTCAGATACATTATTTGAAATAAAGCGCAGAACGAAACGTTTCCATTTTTAAGCTAAATATCATATATGCCGTTTTCTTTCTATTTACCTTTAAGCCAAATTTATCCATCCCTGTATGGGTGCCAATCCTGCTTTCATAAACAATAATGAAAGCAGGGCTGGCATATAATTTTTTTTAGTTGCCGTTCCAATTATTTTCTATCCCACACACCATGGTATACCAAATTTAGATAATTAGTAATTGCCCCTCCACGCAAATGTAATCAAATATTATATCAAAAGCCTCGAATATGAATACTATTTGAAATGGTAATTAGCTTAGAATTGACTCATGTAACCTAACATCCTAACATTAATTTCTATACCATTGCAAACTCCACCACTGCTTCTAATTATTGCTTCTTTATTATCATAATCTTATAAAATTTTATGTATAGACTTCTGAGAATTTTTCCACCACAAACACTCATATTGAATCCATAGGAACATGATCATAATTATCTCTATGTCAATAGGCATAATATTTAGGTCTTCTTCTTGACATTACTATTAGAGATTTAGTAAATATAAGAACCATCGTTCATCCCCTCTCTGAATAAATATTGTTATATTAACCAACACTAAATATTTTTATAGTTTTGTATTATTTTTCCTACATCTACATACATTCGTTGCCTTAAGTATTATTTTAATATTCATATAATCTATGCGTCTTCCTCCTTACCCCTGAAAACTGAGATGAGTAAAGATTTATTTCAATTCTCTGGCATTTTCCCCTATTAATAACGTATTAAATAAAATCACGATATTATTAACCTTCTTTTTCTATTCCTCGTCCTAATCAATATTGAATGTATTTATGCCCTTTCTATTGCAGTCACCTCTACCTTATATTCTGATATACCTGGCAGCTAACTTACGTTTTTTTATTTAAATTATTCACCAAAGTATTGTCTCCATCTTTTTCAGATAATTTTCTCTTATATAATTGTCTGCCTTTCTGTCCTTAACCTTAGTTATCAATGGAGAAATCTCTTTTTCTTTCTATCTTGCAATATTATGAATCTAATTTGCATTATTATGCTCTTCTAATGTTTTAAAAAGAGATCAGCCTTTAATCTTTAGCTATAGCATTTCATTTCTACTCATTTCTCTTTTTGCAAATTTGTATTCTTCGCACTTTCCATTTATTTAAAATTTTTTATATTAATCTCTTTTTTCTTTTATCTTTGCCTGCTCATTGGAGCGTCTGAGTGGAGCGTTCGATATTAAATTAAACAATTATTTGGAGATCAATAAAAATTATCATTGAAACATTAATCGCTCAGGGAAGCACTGCTTTACTATTTTCCTAATCCTTCTTTAACCAATTGTATAAAAAATTTACAAATTAAATTTGTTTAATCTCAATATATTATATATATATTAGAAAAATATCATCTTATCTAATATGGTAATTATTTTAAAGGATATCCATAAATAATAGAATCATTAGTTATTCATACAAGAAATCAAAACATAAAAATAGTATGAAAATCTAAATTTTTCTTCTTCTAAATTAGAAATATTTTAATAAATAAATTATAGAATTCATTATTACTATAAAACTATTTTAGCCTTAAATATTACAAAATTTTTATCTTCACAAAAAATTATCAATAATTGGTGATATTTAAAAAGTATTTTAAAAAAACTAGATCAAAATAATACATAAATTTATCATTAATATTATTTTATTAATATCACTTTTCAACGAATCTTGATCCGTTAATAAACTATTTAATTGATTACAAGCAAATTTGGGCAAATTTCCAATAATGTTTTAAATTATGAATACAAATTTGATATATATAAATACAAATACCTTTAAAAAAAATGTATTTTAACTATAAATACTAAATACCTACAAAATATTTTCAAATAAAGTATTTAAATACAAATTCATTGGCAAAAACATTTTGCATAAATAAATACTTTGCCTTTGCAAATGGATTATTATAGTCACATAAATTATATAATAAAGGCAAATATAATTATTACCGTTTTACAGATCTTATAATAAATTGCTGAAGATTAAAATGGCTCCATTAGGAATTTTGATTTTATGTTAAAGCAGATATTATATTTAGCTTTTAGCCCATATTACTGATTTTGTATTATATTTTGAATTATGTTTTGAAAAAATTTATATTCAAAATTGTCAAATAGCATTTAGAAGATGTTGACGTTGTCGCGGAATCACAGAAAATATCTTATAAACATATCAAGCTTAACACAGAAACTCTATTTCTTCAATTACTACACTTTCTTTTATCAAAAAAATGTAAGGCAAATATTCTGCCATGTAGACGCTGCTTCAACCATTTATCCGATAACTACAACTTATGATGACGATTATACAAATTAATTATTTCAATTATTTATTATATTATTTATATTTGATTTCATTCTTAATATAAAATACTTTTTATTTAATGTTTTAATAAATACTAAATACACAAATACTTAAAATATGTATTTAGTATTTGAAATATATGTATTCACGTTACAGCCCAATCCTGATGACAAGATTATATGACACGTTCTAACAATTCTTTTCAATAAAACAGTGTTATTTTTATATTCATCTAGATTGTCATATTTAAAAGGTCTGAAACTGGTATACAATATATATTAAAGTAAACATCTAATAGTCATCTAAAGCGTAATTAAAATAACTCAATTTAGACTAAAGCAATTTAAAAAATACCAACCGAACCGATAAAGTTTGTGCATTAAATGGAGACTATGATAAAAAAAATAGACCTTGGAGACTTATTATGATATCTAAAGAGTGTCTTAGGCGATTTCAAAAGGACATTTTTAAAAATTAAGAAAATATTATGAAAGAAAGAAAGAAAGAAAGAAAGAAAGAAAGAAAGAAAGAAAGAAAGAAAGAAAGAAAGAAAGAAAGAAAGAAAGAAAGAAAGAAAGAAAGAAAGAAAGAAAGAAAGAAAGAAAGAAAATTTTATAATATAAAATGAAATTTTAAATTTTAGAGTGTAGACTCATTATACATTTTATAAAATTTATTATTTGACTGTTTTGCACAGGGATCTAAACCTAACCTATACCAAAACTTTACTCCGGTATTCATCATTTTTTGTCAAAGTTAAACCAACTAGTATTGTAAAAAGCCCGATTCGAGTCGATGGCCAAGATTTAAGGAAAATAACATTATGTAAGCCTAAAAATTTTGCACATAGCTGGCAGAAATGCTTGGATATCTATTTGTCACTATTGCTTACATAATATAATTTTACCAAAGATCTTAATCGAGCTGTTTTGAAAAAATCCACCCAAATCGGGCTTTTAACGACACTTGAACCAACCCTGAACCGTTAAATCATTTTCTCTCCAAACCTCAATCAAATTGCTAAAAAGGCCTCTGAGCCGGTTTAAATTTATGATATTCCTATTTACATCCAAATTGTTATATAAAATTTCATCACTCGATTTTGATTGATAATTAATTTAGCTTTCAGCAAAGTTTTTTTTAAAAAAAAATATAGTTTTAAAAAATTTAAACAAAAATAAATATATAAAAGCTTAATAGTCAATTAAAATTGGTTATTTTGGATCTAGCTTGTCCAAATTAAAAATTTATATTTTCACATGCGGTTATATAATTGTCTGTGTATATGACATTTGATGGATTCACATTATATTTTATTTTAGATAGATTTAATATTCGCATCGATTTAACTAAGCGAATTTTTTTTAAAACATTTTCTTCATTATTATAGCTCATCAGTTATGGATAATGTTGATCAAACTAACATACAGGATGGTGTCTCAATAGCGGCAGCTGATAAATTTATTGATATCAACAAATTTTATGGCTATCTTTATAAAATAATATTATGTTTGTTTGATGATGATAATATTATTACAAAAATTCCTGAATCTCAAGCTACTTTGAATGGAATATTGGCAAAAATTGAATGTATTTTGGCAGATAAGGATAACTTTGATAAGATTAAAAAGTTTATCCAAGACCCTCAAACTTCTTCATTGTTTATTCAAAAATTCCAAAACAAAGGTAAATTATATCTAGTGTCATATTTTTTTTTACTCTTAAGAACTATTTTTGAATATTTTAACTAAAATTTATTAATAAAGTTAAGATTAAATGTGATATTTTAATATACCTTTAAAAAGTCAAATTTTTTATATATGTTTTTAAAATCTAAATATTTGTTTTATATATTAATTTTAGAGGATGAAGAAATGAATGATGCTACTGGAGATAACATACTTAATGAAGAACCTTTTAATTTTACTATTATTATATCAAATGAAATTCATTATACAAATGACAGAGTCACTAGGTTTATTAATTTGATTATTTATCTGTATTTCAAAAATTATTCTTGATATATTATTAAAATAAAAAATAAAATGAGAGGAATATAAAATATATTTATTAAATACTGTTTTTTGTATTTATTTAAACATTTCACTAAGAATTTATTGTTCATAAAATATTGGATTATATTAACTTGGGTAATCACATTACTTAAGCATTTATAATTCTAAATGGCTAAATTGTTTTTGATTTGGAGTTTTCTTCCAAAAGATAGTTCTACAATTGCTAAGGAAACTGATTAAACTATGTTTTATCTCTAGTATATCCATTTTTATAAAAAAAAATAGAAACATTTTTGTTAATATCCTAAGAATTTCATCATTTTAAATTAATAAAAAGTGGTGGAAGCATTCATTTTTTAGTAGAACATTTATGAATATCCACTGGGCTCCACGCCAGTTGCAAAATTGTTTTTCCTATACGGGCCATTCCATGTCAAATCGATCAAAAAAGGCACATTTTTGGCTGACCCCTTTTAAAATTGTTAAAAATTTATGGAATTATTTAGATAGGTATATAAATGAGAAAGCCGTTTATTTTAGCTTGCTAGCAACCTGGTTCCCAAGATATAGGGGTTCAAAAGTGCAAGAAAGAGCCACTTTGGAATCTGTAAAATTTTTAAAATGCTTATATCTCAAAAATTATTTATAATAAAAAAATGTATAATATATCATATTGTAGATAAATAAAATCTCTAAAGGGCTATCAAAAAAAATAATAAAAATTGTTGCCAATTTGAGTCTTTAACTTTTGGTTTACCTATATTGCTTATTGCTTCACCTATATTTTTAAGCAAAAAAGGGAGTTTGTTTTCGAAATTTTTTTTTTGCTTTTTATTTAGACACCTTTTATGAATATATATGCGATGTCAAAACCTTGGTGACGCTATCGACATTTCCGAAATGGTTGAAAAATATTATTCTTAAGGAAAATTAAAATATTGATACGTTTATAAGAAATGTGATAAAATTTTCCAGTTTTGCCCTCCCCCACCCTCCCACCATCCTTAAAATGTTTTACATTTTTTAGATCTCTACTTTGCTACTGTAGCGAATGACTTATTAGCTCGATAATGTATAACAACTGCAGTAAAAACGAATATTTTATTAGGCATATTATCGATTATATTTTACAAAATAAACTGTTTAAAACGATCTCTCTTTCTGTGTAATATTTTTAACTTGTCCATTTGGATTAATTTTAAATATCAACCCGTCTGCAGTTTATTATTTTATCGTTTGTCTACCAATAACATTCTGGATTTTGAGAGTGCAAAAACATATATTCTAGGTGCAGATCAATTAAAATTTTATTCTATATCACAGATTGACGTACCAAATATTAAAATGTTGCAACCCATTTAATCTACAGAGACATGCTTACTATCGCGAGAATCTAGGAAAGATTCTACCCTGGATGACCCAAAAAAATTTACCATTCAATTTAGATATGTTAATATGTTCTTCATGCTGACAAAAATTAGCAAACATTCCTTATACTTCAAATGACAATGTAGATATTAATTATCCCCCTCATATATCAAGAGGCTATTGATAACATTAATATATCCCTACAATCAAATGGGGAATCTCTCATTAAAAGAAGAAGCTTATGTGAAAAGAAATATTCGAAGAAAAAATATCTAGAGTAAAAAAAGTTTGAACGACTAAAATTATACCATTATCTTCATCAAATGATGAATTCGATGAAATTGTAGACACCTTAAAAATTAAAATAATTATATGAAAGATATTTATTATTGGAAATTTGTTACATTAAGTGTCTATAAGGCATATGCCCACTCTGCTCATCAGTTAATTAATATATTTAATAGAAATTCAAAATTTATTTTTTAGTATAAAAAGTGAAAATATCCGGTTATTGATAAGTTAGCAGCAAAATTTTAACCATAATCCGTAATTTCATAAAGGGCCATCTATTTTTTTCAACAATTTTTAGAGTCGATAGCGTCGCCAAGGTTATGATATCTTATATATATTTAACAAAGGTGTCTAAATAAAAAGCAATAAAATAATTTCGAAAACAAACTCCCTTTTTTCTTAAAAACACGGGTAAAGCAAAATAGGTAAACCGGAAGTTAACGGCTCAAATTGGCGCCAATCTTTTTTGTTTTTTGATAGCTCTTTAGAGATTTTTTTTACCGCTTTTTAAAAATTTTACAGATTCCAAAATGGTTCTTTTTTGCACCTTTGAGTCCTTACATCTTGGGAACCAGGTGTGCTAGCAAGCTAAAATAAACGGCTTTCTTTCTTAACTATCTAAATAATTCCAGAAATTTTGAACAATTTTAAAAGAGGTCGGCCGAATCGTGATCGATTTGACGTGGAATAGCCCATACATGCTCCCTTTGTAACTCAGGCTAAGAAAAATGTGTACCACTCTTCTGTACCCTATAAATTCTTAAAAGGATTCACATTCAATACCATCGTCTAAAAATAACATGATCATATGCTTCTTGAATCTCTAGGATTCAGAACCTGATGGTAAGAGTCCCACCTAGGAGATGGGGTTACCTCCTCCATCGGATTACACTTGAATCAACATGTTTGCCTTGCTTATCCATAATACTTAAAAATATATTCTTCACTGACAAAAATGTAATTAATAAGGGCTGTATCGTTCCACAAATTTTTCACTGATTTGATCCAATATTTCCCTATATAACTTTAAAAAACCGATCCGATACTGATCCAATATTAATATAGATTTTTATTTTAACATCTATCTTAGATAAATATCATAAAAATATTAATATTTTCTATATAAGAAAAACTAACTTTCACCAATGATTAAGTGTATTTTATTTTTTTTATTCTCCAAAGGTTAAATTAAATTTAAAATATTTGCAATGTTTATGGGTGAATATAGTATTGCTTAATATCTCCATTTAGCCTATTTTAAAACAGAGCTAAATCAAGATTTTAGCAAAAATATTATTACCTACCTTGAAATTTAGCCAATAGAAGTCCAAACCTTTAGCCATCTAGGGGCAAAATCAATAAGCTTTATCAATTTATTTTTGGTCAAAATCTTGAATTAACCGTTTTTTAAAATTGGTTAAATTGAATTAACAACACCTGCTGAATATGACTTGATAGATATTTTAAAATCCTTTCCTTGTTGCAGATAATTTAACAAAAAATAGTGTAAAATTTTTAATTATTTTTTTAAACATTACAATTCAAATTGTATTTTAGTTCCTTTCATTAAATTATTATTATGAAGTTATTTATAAAATAAAAAAAAAATTGCCCTATAAAATTTTACTAGTCTTAAGATTAAAATTTTTAGTATCTCATGGGCAATCCTTTGGGCCAAAATAATTGGTAGTTCATATTTCAAACTCATTTTTGTGATATTTATAAAATATATATTTAATCCGTTTAATGTTAATAATTAAATAATATAATGCAATTTACAAAAAAAAAAGAAAAAGTTAAAATTATTTTCTAAAACAGTTTAGCATTGATCAAAAAGGGAAAAATAATTGAAGCCGATAAACGGATTTATCAACAGATCAGATTATTGAATCTTAGCGATGACTCCCCTTATGAAACACTGAGATCTTTTGTGGGGGAAGCGGTTGCTCCATACTTTAAATCCTACGTCAGGCATTCGGACGTTGTTGAAAGGTAGATACAATATATAATAATATATCTGGTAAAAATTGTTATTGATCTTACTTTTTATCAGTGCTGTAAACATTACTTTATAAAAAATGAACAGATTTCACCATTACTCAGCATTAAAATTAGCGTTTGTAGCGGCGAAGTATACAAAATATGACATTAATATTATAATTTTACATTGATTCTTGTATACCTCGCCGTGAATTCGCTCTAACTGTAAATGCATGGTATAAAATATTGAAAAAATTTAATCTTTTTGACAAGGCGAAAATTTGCATGGTTTCCCTATGACGCAAGCGAATAAATAACGTAATAAAGGAAAGACTTTAAATTTATAGATAATGAATTTCGGGATTTAATTATTCACCTTATTTTTTTGAGTTCCAATATTTGCTAAAAATAGTTTTATTTCTCACCTTGAATCAACTTTTAGTATACTATTCTTACTAGTGATCTGCACGGGCCTAATTTTTTAAGCCCGACCCGGCCCGAAATTTTTTTAAAAAATTTTTCCCGGCCCGGCCCGAACACGAATTTTTTTTAGAAACTTTTGCCGGCCCGGCCCGAACCCGAAATTTGCCGGCCCGAACCCGAATTTTTTTTAATTCATCCTAAAGTAATAATTATATTTTTTTTAGCTTTTAGTTTATTTTTTATATTTAAGATTTTGTTTTTGCAAAAAATATCTTAGTAAACAGAAAATTCATTTAGTATTTAATTATTTATTTAAAATACTATCAAAAATACCTATAAACCAAACAATAATTATAATGTTAAATTATACAACTATATATTAGATTCATATTTATAATTATCATTTAAAAATATCAAAGCATCAACATTTTCTGGTGACAGTCTATTTCTTCTTTCGTCTAATAACCTTCCAGTCTTTGAAAAAGTTCTCTCTGAAGTTGTGGACGTTGCAGGAATTGCTAGAATTTTTCTAGCCAATTTTGTCATCTTTGGTAATCTAATTTCATTTTTATTCCACCATTTTAATATATCTTTTTCTGGATCTATATTTTCATTATTCTCTTTTATATTTAAATTCTTATAAATTTCAAGATTATCTGTTTCTTTTTTTTCATATTCTTCCTCATTGTCCTCCCATCTTTCATATTCATTGCCTGATATATAAAAATAATATAAATAGAACAATTTTAAATGTACCTTTAGATCTTTTAGGCGATTCCACAATTTGAGAAACGCCTTGAATATCCAAATCTATAATATCAATTGAAGGACAATATTCTTCAGAATTAATTATATTTTTGACTGAATTCTCTACTTCTAATATTTCCATTGATGATAACATTCTTAATTTTCTATATTTGGAGCATAAAAATGTCGCTATTTTATGCAAAATATTGATTTTAAATTTAGATAATAAAAAATTTTTTAAATTGGTTTTTATTTCTTTTATTTCATTGTTTTGATAAAATGAATCATTTAAATCCTCGTGAAGAATATTATTAAAGCATAGCAGTACTTTATGTAAAGTAGGATTAATATCTCCTTCTAATTCTTTAGTAGCTTTATCAAAAGGATATAAAATATCAATCAAATTTTTCAAAATAGATTTCTCCAAGTTTTCCATTTTATTAATATCTCCCTTGGATGATAAAAAATTGACGATGTCATCATATTGGTTATAAATAGATTTCAACATATTTAATTTTGAATTCCATCTAGTTTCGATATCTTGTTGTAATGTTTTGTCTAAATATTGATTCATGCCGGTTTGTTTAAAATACATGGTTAATTTTTTAGCAGAAATAAGGGTTTGATATATATTAGGAGCGATAATTTTCAAAGATTGTTCCTTAAAGGTATTTCGAAGAACAGTATTTAATAGATGTGCGCTGCAATTTAATCTGGTGTATTTTTCTAGGGCTTTAATTATATTAGCTCCTTGATCAGATATAAATATTATATTTTTCACTTGATCGGGAATTATTCCAATTGCAGCAAAATTTTGTAGCATTTCCTTATGTATGTTCGCGGCGGTTTTTTTCTCTTCTTTAAACTTATTCTTAAATAAAACATGTTTATATAAGGTTTCACCTTCGATATAATGAATTGAAACAGTTAAATAGGAAAACTTTTTAAAAGAATCTGTCCACATGTCTGTTGTAGCAGAGCATTTTTTATCAAATAATTGAACATTTATTTTATTAACCAAATTTGTTCTAATTTGATCCGTCATAACTATAGCATTTCTCGATAAAGTAGTTGGATGGGGAATAATTTCGCTACAGTCAATATTACCGTAAATGGAGCCAATTTGAATAAAATTTTGAGCCATTTTTATAAAGCCATCTCCAGTTATCGAATCAAAGGCACGCATGTCCTTGGTGCAATAATAGATCAAGGTATCACATAGTTTCTTTTTAATAGTTAAGGAAGAATTTAGATCTATTTTCTTTTGAATATACCTAGTTATTTTAGGAATAGAGGAATCGTCATTCTTAACGCACTTGTGACGTCTTAAATGAGAATTTCCAGATGTGCTTTTATATTATAATATACTATTACATTTTTTACATTGGACGTAATCAAGTTTTTTGTTTTTATCATCAAATACCCATATATTGCTTTTACCTAAATGGGGCATACAAATATATGTTCCATTTTGTATTTGTTTTTCTAAAAAAATTAAATTCATTTTTAAATTATATTTAAAATTTAAGTTTTATAAAAAAACATTTAAATTATTTTACCCATAATAAAATATATATGACATATGGCGTCTACTTTCTAAATAAATAAAATTAAATATTTATATTTTACAAATAAAAAATGTTGCCGCCTTGTTTCTTAAAAAAAAAGTTTAATTATATATTTATACCAAGAATAAAAGATACATGCCATCATATGGCGTCTAGCTTCTTCAAATAAAATTAAATATTTTTATTTTACAAAAAATATTAGTGCCAATATTAAAAAATTTTTTAAGGCCCGGCCCGAATTTTTTTAAAAAATATTAGACCCAACCCGAACCCTAATTTTTTTTAAAGTAGGCCCGAAGCCCGTTCGGGCGGGCCGGGTACGGGCCGGGCCTACTTTTGCAGATCTCTAACTTACATAGCTCATTTTCGTTATCTTCAAAAATACCCTATTCCCCCCCCTCACCTCCCCACTTCAAAATAAATCTTTAAAAAGGGAATCGGATAAAATGGCACCTTTGGTCGAGAAAAAAATAGCCGAATTAGAGATGGGCTTATTACATTTACAACAAAATATCGAGATTCCCGAAATTGTACTATCAGTTCATCCAGCTGTTAAACAGGTGCTCGATATTTGCAAAGCCGAGAATAGGAAACCCAAAATCGAAGATTTCGACGATAAAATCAATGATTCCGCTTTTTTGAATTCCCTGCAAAACCAAGTCAATCGATGGATACGCGAGATACAAAAGGTTACGTTTTTTTCTCTTTATTTACTAATCGTCGCTTGATTAGAATGGTTCTTACTAAACACTCTAAGGCCCAAAATTAAGTTACAGTGCGTTCATAGTTGACGCTAAACAGCTGATCGAGTTTATTAAATCCTTTAAGGAGATTAATAATTTTTAATTTTGATAATTCTTAAATTATCATAGTGATAGAATAAAATCAATATGAATTATAATTTAAAAATTGGATCTCATTAGAAGATCGATTTTATAAACACGATTGGCTGTTCACGTCTACTATATATATATATCCCGTTAGAGTCAAAACCTTATCGTTGGAGTCCCAATTAATACTCCTTTACATTAAACAAAAATTTCAAAAATTTATTTTAAATATGTTTTTACTTGTAAATTTTGTCTATTAATATTAAATGTTATTCATTTAAACGTGTCATAGTTTTTTTTTTAAAATAGCTTATAAATATGATTAATGATCAACCAACGATATATTCGCGTTAATAATTTAAATGAGTTTTTTAAAAACAAAAAATAATTATTAATAATATCTTTTAATAAGTTGACCACTCGACTCGAGGTCGATGATTCATACTCTCATAAAGAAAGAATACCTGGAAGAGTAATCTAATATTTATAAATTAAAATCAATCAAAAAATTACGTTTTTTTATGATCAGAAATATATACTTTTTCAACCAAATTATTTTTTGATTTCATACTTTAAAAAAAAAAATCCTTTCGAAACCCTTGTCCATAATTTTTTGAAAATCCTTAAAATTTTAAAATTTTCGCAAATTAATAACAAAACACTTGGACACATTTAAGTTTTAAAAAAATAAAAATATTCAAAATGCTTGATATGATTCAATTATTAATTATTTAAAAAAGATATGTAAATATTTAATTGTATTTATTATTTTATATTACCTTTCAGTTATTAAACTTTGTATGAACCTATTATTTGATAATGGTAATATCAAAATTTTATATATTCTTAATAAATACATATATGTTGTAAATAATTTTATTAATATTTAATAAACAGTTGGAGAACCAATAATAACTTTTATTTTGAAAGATAATTTTTCCATAAAATATATATTAATTATTATATTTGATTTGTATAATAAAATTGTATTAGAAATAATATAATATCTTTTAAAAGTAGGAATAGGAATATTTTTATTAAATAACTCTAGGTTTTTCATTTTCTTTGTTGGCATTATCTTGATCTAGCTATTTTTCAAAATAAATATCAAATAATAGTAATATAATATACAAAAATATCAAAATAATGAATAGACATATTTTGCCTAATATTTATATCATGTGGGTTAGCAATTACATTTAAGGTATGATGCAGCCTAATAAAATATGTTTTTTAATATCAACAATATTTTTTAACCATATATATTGTTCAACATATACCTTTTAAATTAAATTATAATATAATTTTTATTTTATCAGATTTTGTTAGGTGAAAGAATATAATTTATTAAATTTAGCCTTTACAGCTAAAAATTTCTTTTTCACTAGATCATAATTCAAGTTATGTTTTTCCTATTATTTCCTACCAAATTTTCCTATTTTCTACAGAATCTCTGAATTTTAAGTCATTTCACCAGAAGTTCCTGTGCACTCTTATGCTTTCCATAAAATTATATTCTGACACTTAAAAATATATTAATATAAAAGGCTATAATAGTTTGGGTTAGTAAATTTATAAAAATTAACAGCATTAAAAATTGTACTTACTAATTTTTTTTATAAAAATTTCACAAATAAATTAATTTTGAATAAATTTTTATTATGTATTTTTTTCTTCAAAATTTATTTTTTTATTTTTATGATTTTGAAGGCAACCTTTAAACGAATCATTCGGTTCTTTTTTGAATAGGCATATTATACATATAACAAAAAATGACAACCTTAAAAAAATTTGTCACGCATATAAAAATAGATTATTCGGTTTTTATGAGCTGCTATTTTTTAAATTAATTAATTTTTATATTTAAGAAATATAACAACTACATAAACTATAAAGTCTCCAACGAATTTTTATTTAAAAAAATAATAATAATTTTTGGTTTGCAATGCATATTTTCTGACTTTTAAAAAGAAAGAAAAAGGAATGCTAAAAAATGTAAAATTTTTTATTACAGGTGACAAAATTGGAAAAAGATCCGTCATCGGGCAGCGCGTTGCAAGAGATAACCTTTTGGCTTAACATGGAACACGCGCTCCTTAAAATCCAAGAGAAGCGGGAAAGTTTGGAGGTCAATTTATCCCTCGACATTCTTAAACAGGGAAAACGGTTTCACGCCACCGTCAGCTTCGATACCGATACAGGTTTTATTTAATCGAAAATTCAACTTGCCACATTTATAAATCAAACTAAGAATTATTTTAAAAATAATAATAAGTGCATCCTAAAATTATGTTAAAAAAATTCTTTTAGTCAAAATTTTTACTCATGCATTTGAGGAGCGCAAATAACGAATATTATAAAAATAACCCTAATTTTTATTTAAAAAAAGGCCTCAAACAAGCTTTAGACCTGGTGGGCAATTACAATCTTCTAATGCGAGATTTCCCAATAAACGATCTCTTGTCGGCTCCAGACCTTGATTCCATAGCCAATGCTCTAACCCAAATATTTATTCACATGAAAAAGGTGAGGAGTACTCGATACCCGGTTAATAGGGTATTGAGGTTGTTGGAAGCTCTCAGCCGAGATCTTAACAATCAAATCAAGAAGGTGCTCTCTTACAAACAAAATTTACTGGGATTGCCCTACGACGATTTTGAAAAAGTTTGTATTTATTTTATTTTTTATATTAGTGTATACAAGCTTTTTGATTTTTTGGTAAATTATTCACATTGTCTGCCAAAAATAATATAAAAAATAACCTTTTACCATTATAAAGAAGAAAAAAAATATATTAAGTATACACATAAGAGAATTATATCTATATTAAATCGAATTATTACAAATATAAAATAAATTTTTATATTTAATAAAAAAGAGAAATGGGAAAAGCAGTACAATAAAAAAATATAAAAAGGTTGCTAAATGATAATTTTTTTATTAAAAAAGCATTTTATACCCTTAGGGATATTTTCCATTTGAATTAATTTTTAAATTTTATCTGGTGCTATTAGATAGAGTCAGGGTTAACTTCATTCCCTAATGTTTGTAAGAAGCGTCGTGTTGCAATGCAAACCTTGGAGATGATTATCAAGATCTACTATAAAATTAGGACTTAGGTTTTAGAGTATCAACATTTAACAATCTCCTGTTAATGAGTTTTTAATTTGTTAAGAGAGAAAAAATATTGACCGTAAAATTGTTCCACATATTTCCTGGATTGCATCTGATACGTTCAAATGTAAACCCCCCCCCCCCCCCCATTATTAAATATTGGAGTAGCTAGTCCTTTTGGTACAAGAATGCTAATATTGTGATGGTGAGTGAATCCATTTTATATTTTCTCACAGGCTAGAGTAGAGGTCTGCATTGGGCGCAGTTTCGGCCCCCGGGGTTGGCAGGCAAAAAATTTTCGAGAACGGGCCAGCGGGTTAAAAATATTTGAAACTATGGGCGAGCGGATGAGTGGGCGGGTTAAGAAATTTAAACAATTAAAGAAATTAAAATTTTAGTTCAAAAACAAACTAATAAAATCATAATCATTTAAATGATCAATAACAATATTTCTTTTTTTATTGTACCACTTTTTTTTTAAGTGAAGAACACTTGCCTAACTATATTATGTAATAAACACAACAAAACTTTTATCTTAATATAAATAATCATTTTTGGATATTGAAAATTAAAATTTCTTTTTTTGGTTCTGCAATCTACATTGTTTTTATTTTAGAAATAATTGTTTATATTTATATTTGCCCTTTTCATTTTTATTTTATTATATAATATAGAAATTTTATTTTTATAACATAATTTTTAATAAAAAAAATATTTTTTAATTTAATTTTTATTTTAAAATTATATTATGAATAAAGAAAATATATCTAAAATAATAAAAAATAATTTTACAAGTTAAAAGATAATGAATCAGACAATAAACTCAAATCTTTAATGTGGAAATAATTTAAAATCATTTTCGATGAAAATGACAAAAAGCTAGATTGGATTCGCTGCAAAGATTGCGAATCTATTTCTAAATATAATAACAAAAGTGGCATATCCTTCTTCCTTCGGCATCAATGTTCATCTGTAAATTATGAAGATTTTATAGATAATAAAATAATAACCGGATATTTACAAAATGACAATTCTCAATTAAACAAAACGATAAAATCAGGTCTAATTGTCAATTTGTAGAGGTGTAATGCTGAATTTTTTTTTTATTAGATGCTTAAAAAATTGAAATAACGGCCATAATTAAACGTTATAAGTGGGCTTGGGTTAAAAAATTTTTTGAAATAATGGGCGGCAGGTAAAAAAATTTTAGACTAAATGGGCTGGCTTTTTATCCAAAAACCCGCCCAATGCAAACCTTTAGGCTAGAGCATTTCTCGGAGTCACATCCCTTCATTGACGTTGTAAGGTTAAATTACAACTTTTTCTTTGCCCAATGGCTATTTTAAATTAGTCGACGCTATAAGATGGCGTCCAACCATTCATGGACTTTATATTTGTTTTTAATCGCTCAAAATAGTTGAATATCCGAAAAGTGAGCCACAAATAAAATAGTAATAATGAGAACGCCTTCTCTTGACCCTTTAGTTTTCTTTCATATAGACTATTTTGTAAATATTTTATGAAAAAACGAAGAGTTTTATGCATAATAATAAATTGAATTTTTTTTAGGGATATCAAATTTAAGATGGGATCTGGTTCCATCCATACATTATTTATATTTTATCAATCACGCATAATATAAATATTTATTAAAATAGTTCGATTGCGGCCAAGCGCTTATCCAGTGGGGGTTGCAGAGGGGCAAACGCCACCCATGGCAAATAAAATGCGGATTATAAATTATTTTTTTAAGATATTTTCATGGTTATATTCTATTTTTAATTTTAGCAAAATGTTAAAAATAATGATATCTCTTCCTTGTGTATTAATTTTTTTTTTACATTTTTTTAACCTTTAAATTCCTAATGGATATTAGAAAATTTTATCAACCAAAATAACATCGAAAATATATAAACAGAACCCTATAATTGTTACAGAAGTATAATAACTGATTCATCATCACAATCTGATGTACCATTAATGATTTTAAATTAAACTATCGATAGAAAAGGTGGATAAGTAAGAAATTAAATATTCAGGACCAGGAAGTTTGTTATTATCTATATTTAAATATTAATAATTTTTAGAATTTATTCCCACAACAAATCATCTGAGTAAATACAATTATTTTGATTTTAAAACTGTTATCATTATTTTTTTGCAACTTGAATATAAAAAAAATTACTTTTTTATTACAACACTGATTGGATTTTAAAAACACAATACATGAAATGCTTTATTTAAAAAATTAATTTTATCTTCAAAAATACATTAAAGGATTTATATTCGACCATTTATATATCAGTGCCACCAAAATTCATATGGTAATAGAATTTCAAAATATATATTTTTGTAAATAGATATGACTTGCAAATTCTGTAAAGAGGTATCGGGCTTATTGTAAAATATGTGTTTTGTTTGCTAAAAAAAATGCCGTGAAAAATTAAATAAAATTTGAAACCCTAGTTACTTAACTATTTCGTACATATAGAAATTTCTGAGAAGTATTATCACTAGTAGCTAGAAATCTTATATGGTGGAGGGGGGCTATTTTTTACTAGAGCATTCCGAAATTGTCGTCATTATTAGTATTAATATCCAATTATCAAGAGTCAGAATGAACACTCAATAATAGGCCCATCAAAACAATAACTAATTGTATCAATAATAGGTTTTACTTTTTTTATTTTCTTTAGTTAATTTAACTCTATTTCTATCTACATGGGATATTGTAGTAATGACATCTCTTCTTTCCTGACATGTTTTGGAGCAAACGATTGGCATATTTTACATTAAGTTCCACTATCTCCTACAGAATAAAGTCATAATGCAATAAATATTTATTTTTAAATTTTATTTCTATTACCACATGAATTTTGGGGATACAAATAAGGGCATGATAGATTGAAAATTTATGAATATATTTTGGAAAATAAAATTATATTTAAAGTGAAGCATTTTATAGTGTTTCTAAAATCCATTCAAAGTAGTGATTATAAAAATTAATTTCCTCAAATTTTCAAGTTTTCAACTGATTTAAAATGAAAAGAAATTATATTTACTCATATCTTTTTAAAAAGTATGATTTTATGTCCTTAAGAGAGATTATTGTATCAGAAATTTGCAATATCATAAGGTTGATTTTGTTGTGAGTTTGGTATAAATTCTAAAAATCTAAAATATTAATAAAACAAAAAAAAATGGAAAATGCAGTCATTAAATAATGTAATATTATAATTTTGTTTCATCATAGGTTATAGGATAAAATATCTAAGTGTATTAATTAATATTGAAATGCAGATAATAACTAACTGATCCCGAAGAATTATTTCTTCCTTAATTCCCCTTTTCAGATTCTTGATTATGCTATTCACGCAACAGATTGAAGTGATAAATCGGTTATTATACTTTCTGTAACTATTATTGGGTTATATATTTTCTATATTAAATTATATTACTTTTAGATTTTTTGGTTGATAAAATTTTCTCATATCATGCAAGAAAATATCTTTAAATTTTCATAGGAAAAAATGTGAATACTCAGAATTTATTACAACCTCACATGTTTCCATTGAAAGTGTAGATGCTATTTTTATATATCCCATTTAGATAAAAGTATAATTAAATTGGCTAAAGAGAACAGAGAAAAAATAAAACCTATTAAAGCAATTATTTATTGTGGATTGTAGGGCTAATCATTGCATGGTCACTAACTGGGCTATTGGATATTAATACTATAATAATGATGGCAATTTTCAGAATGATCTATAGCCCCCCCCCCATATAGAAACTTCATGGCTACGCGCCTGATTGAGGCTAAATATTAGGTTAAATTCTACAAAAATATTATTAACATTATCTTGCTTATTTTTACACGAAATTATGATTTGGAAATGGTGCAAAAATCTTTTTTCTCCTTTAGCTCATGGTATCTGCTTTGAACGTTTTCGTAACCTGGGACGAGCATTACGAAAAGCTTTTAACACTGGTTCGAGAAATGAACAAGAAAAAAGGCGACCCACTAAAATTAATCATGCGAGTTAATTTGATCCACAAGAAATTGAGTAATCGGATGGCTATCTTGGAAAAGTAATATGATGTATTTTATTATTACATATTCCTCTTTTTTCATAGTTGTTGACGCGAGCTAACTTTCATGGCTACACATTTAAAAGAAGCTCTAAAAACTGCTAAGCAATACTAAACATGCGCTCAACAGAAGACCAAAAAAATATATCGTCCCCTGAGAATTAGAATATTGTATCGCCACTATTTATAATTTTACAAGAGTGCAATTTTAAAAAGTAAATGTCTATTGTTTTCAATAGGATGGTTAACCTAGTATCGGATATAATTTGAGTTATTTTATAAATATTTCGGTTAATGATAGATAGGTATAATTAAAAGTGGATATAGAATAATCTAATTCTCGTGTGACGATTTATTGTATTTTTAGTTAGAATTACATTTTTTTTCTCATTTTAAGAAAAAACTTCGATTTTGCTTATTTAAAAAAAACGGCGAAATCAAGTTTTAGCTTAGCAAATATTATCTAGATTTCAAGATTTTACAAAAGGAAGGCAATCTCGAGTGATTAGGTAATAGTTGTTTTTCTAAAATCCTGATTTTAGCCTTAGCCATGAAACAACACTACTGAGAGTTGATAAATTTACCGGAATATCCCAAATTACGAACATTAGATTAATCCTTTAAATTTAGTGGAACCTAGATCTTGGCCTTGAAAATATACCTTGTCCATGGCATGAAGGAAAAATAAAATTATCACATTCATCAAAAATTTCAAAATTTAATTTAAGATCTAAATGACTAAGATTTTTGGATTATTTCTAGAATTTACTGACTTTCCCATTCTTAACACCTTTGAGAAAGTATAGAAAATTCTAATAAACAACACAGAAGCTGAACAAGGATTTGAAATTTGAAAATATTTCACCTTTATCGAATAAATACTACAGATTTCGTAAACAGCACGAACAACTGAGAACGGTTATATCGCGCGTTTTAAAGCAACAACCAACCGCGAGCGCCCATTCATTCATGCCAAACCCAGAGCCTTCAAACGCAATTAATACCAATTCGGCGAACAATCGATTTTTGGATATATCGGATGTCGGGGCCCTCAAAGAGATAGCCATAGCCTACGATAATGTCAAAGATAGCATCATGGACCCTCTACAGGTTACTAAAGAGGCCGACGAAGCTTGGGATATGGCCATGAAACGGTAATAAATTGATTTGTTGTTTTAGAGTTATTTTTTAAAATTAAGTCTTTATAAGCATTACTTTAAGTTATTATACTATTTATATATACTCTCTTAGAATCACGTTGTTTTTTATCAAATAAAAAGTTGATAACTGAATCTAAACGAAGGCTGGGATGGGATGGTTAGATCAATGATTTTTTTGTACGAAAATCAGGATTTAGAATAATTATCTTTTTTTAAGTATGTATTTAATGTACAAGTATTATACTCATTTTGTATTTTGTATATAAGTTTTAATTAATTTCTAATCTTATTTTAAATAATTTTATATGTATATGAATCTTAAAATTATATTTTTTTAACATAATAATAACTCCTTATAAAAATCGATTTAATATTGTTTTTAAATTTAACGAGATATAAAAAATTTCAAAATTATATTAAATACAGATTTTTATTATTATAAAGTAAATGCATATTCGATTAATTCTTCAGGACTTATTTTCTCCAGGTCATATTTTTTTTTAAAATTATTTTTATTTTTTTATAAAATTTGGTTTAAACAAAAATAAATCCTCATTTAAATATTTTTAAAAATTCCATTTAATTTATTATGCCCGAATTTAAACTTTAAAAAAATTAACTACGGCCTTATCATATTTTTTTTTAAGATCCTAATAGAATCAAGTCACATTTTTTTTCATTGTAATATTTTTTTTTAAGATCCTAATAGAATCAAGTCACATTTTTTCATTGTAATATTTTTTTATAAAACAAAATATGACTGCACCAAAAAAATGATGATAGAAAATAAAGAATAAACAAAATATAACTGTAATTTTAATTTATCTATTAGCTACGACGAAAAGATAGACCGAATAGAGGCCCGAATAACAGCTCAATTGAGAGATCAGCTCGGCGTGGCTAAAAATGCTAACGAAATGTTTCGCATCTTCTCCCGTTACAATGCGCTCTTCGTTAGGCCACGTATAAGAGGAGCCATCAGGGAATATCAGACTCAACTCATCCAGCACGTTAAAAAGGATATTGAGAATTTGAAGGAAAAATTTAAGGTTTTATTTATTTGAACCATTTTATTTTAGATATTATTTCTGTTGGACAATTAAGATTATGGAAGCAAAATTAAAAATGAATTAGACAATTAATTTTAAGCCTTCAGATGTGGTACAAAAGGTATAAAAGATAGTTAGGCCATTTTTTTCAAAATCGCTTTTTATTAAAAAGTGAAATTTTTACCTGGCAATTTCCTATAATTGTTAGGGATAAGCGTTTAAGTTATCTTTTGGTATTTTTTAATTCCTGATCCCTTAAATGTCGTCACCTTCCATATTAAATAATGTCTCGAATCCTTAGTTATGGAAATTTTTATTGGCGATAATATAGAAATACCCCAATTTTCAAACAATTTCTTGGTGTAGCAACTTCATCTTTTGTGAAAGAACATTTTTCGCGTTTAGCCTAGTCCAATCTAAATTATGAAACAGGCTTAGACTTGAAAAGCTGGAAAATCAGTTTCTTTATTTAAATATTTTATGGTATAATTATACGAAAAATTGAGTATTATTTGTTATGGTTGCAAATATAATATTAAGTAAATTTTTAATATTATAATAATCTCGAGCATAGGCTAGACCACCATATAATAGCTTGTTCTTAAACTGCTGAAATATGTTTAAATAATATTTAAAAGGTTAATAATTATAATAAAATGTCAGGTGTTGAAACATGGATAATTATTATTTAATTGAAATAAAAAATTTTGATTTATTTTCACGCCTAGCTTTTACCACACTAATTGCTAGAATTGTGTGATTTATTAATACGACACTGTAAAATATTATTAATTGCAGTGATTCTAAAAAAATTGGCTTTTTTACAGCAAAATGAGCAATAGAAAGGTATTTTTCACACCTCAGCATACGAATATGGCATTTGTACTTAGATTCGATGTAATAACATAATACAACATGATGACATATATTGGTTTATAAAAAATGAGCGTTTAACTTGCGTTTTAAATTTAAATATTTTTTCGAGAATATTTCGTAAAATTCCGTTCCGTTCCATCGCTATACCTGAGTTTAGTTTTCATGCAAATTCCTGATTCCTGCTTATAATGCGATTATTAATTTATAGAAAATCTGATGATTTTGACAATTTGATTTGCCCCCCCCTCAGATTAAATTTAAGTCATATGACCCATTATAAATATATTTATAATACCTCAATAAATTAGTCACTAATGTTTTAGTATACATGGTAAAATTCAATAATTAAGAGTTTTTTTTATCAATTTCATAACCAAATTTTTGCAAATTTCACACAGATACCTTATAACCAAACGAAGGCCTGCAAACTTAGCGTAGTTCGAGACATACCTCCTGTATCCGGCCATATCATATGGGTCAGGCAGATAGAAAGAAGGCTTGACACCTACACCAAACGCATAGGTGATATTTTGGGAAAAGATTGGGAGACCCATTTAGAAGGGAGAAACCTTAAAGCTGAAGCGGATGCCTTTAGGCTTAAACTACTCGATTCAGATTCCCTTTTTGACGAGTGGGCATCCAGGGTTCAAAGTCGGAATTATACCGTTTCAGGCAGAATTTTTAACGTAGAGAGTTCAAGGGAATTGATGATGGTAATGAATAGGGAATGCGAAGATCCCAACGAAGGTTCAATAAATGGGCAAGGAACTGGTAGTAATATAAGTATGAGTAGTGGGACTGCCGTGGATGTTAGCAGTGGTGTTGTGTTTCGCTACAAACTTAAGGTCAACTTCTTGCCAGAAATCATCACATTGGCTAAAGAGGTTTGTATTGTTAAACTATACAAGTAACAGGATATATATTGGAGATTTGGCTTTAAATCTATTTTTTTGGAATTTTAATTTTTAATTCGAAAAAAATCACCATTTTATTTTCATAGGTCAGAAACTTAAAAAGTTTAGGCTATAGAATTTCGGTCGCTATAATGACTAACGCCAATAAAGCTAGTCAAGCTTATCCGTTGGCAATATCCTTAATGGAGAACGTTAGAGCCTACGAACAAACTTGTGCCAAAATTGGCAAAGAAGACTCTAATTTTGAACTCTTAGCTGCTAAGCTTAGGAAAGATGCACAAACCAAAATCTCGGAAGTATAAATATATTTCTATACTTTAAGTTTACATTTAAAAATAATTAATGCTTTAATATATAAATTGTTTCATTTTAAACCAGGGATCCAAACCTAACCCGCTAAAAAATTTCTAGCCAAACCTTAACCGAACAGCTAAAATGCCTCTGAACCGACACGAGCCTCATGATTTTATGCTTATAAAATAATATGTAAGTTATTAGTATATTGCAAAAATTTTAATTATATTCGAATTGTTATTATTATCAATCACACTTGATTGATAAGTGTCAGTCATAATTTTTATAAAATTAGTGTATTGCCATTTTACAACATTTTTTAAATATATTAAAGCTTATAAATTATAATGCCTAGAGAAAAATTTAATCCAATATATAAATTATTTACATATAGTATTATAACTGACACATCAAAATGTAATATTACTGACTGTCAAATAAATATGAAAGGCCATTATCGAGCAAATCTTGAGCGTCACATAAAAAGAAACCACCCTTTAGAATTCGATAAAATAAACAAAATATCACAACAAAAGGTTAATAAAATAAAAAAGTTTAAGATTATATTATTAAAATATGGCATAACATGGAATAAAACTTTGTTAAAAGAGTGAGGATTCTAGTGAAGTTGAATCAACGCCGGTTTATGTATCTTAATCTAAAGAGGATTTAGTAGAAAGTCTTCTTATATACAAGATGGTAACCAACAACTGTTAATAAAATTCGGAGAGTATTAGAAATATTTTAGTTAATTTTTCTAATGAACCTAGGTTGAATAAAAATTTGAATATTTTAGACTATTGCAGATATCAGAGTCGATACCCATAATTATGTAAATTGTCTGGTATCATACTGGCAGTGCCAGCTACCCAAGTTAATGTGGAAAGATGCTTTTCAACAATTAAATTTACACTATCTCATTATCTAATTTGAGTGAAACGAATCTTGAAAATATTAGTTGTGCAACTTAATAAAATAAATTTAAGTAAATAAGCTAAATATTGTTCATATTATAATTAATCATTGACATTTATTTGTTATATTTATAAGTTAAATATTATTTTATTATGTGCAATTATAAAAATGAAAGTTTTATGTATGTCTTTTTATTTTTGAGATGGTTGGTGCCACGATCGTTGGCTGTTAAACCATCGGGGAAGGGGAATCGACGGAGTTCGATGGTCCGGGATTGTTGGAGAGTGGGACTGGGGGACCGGACTTATCGGGCATTTTGGCCATCGTACAAACTGGATTTAATGTGGAAAAATCGAGAATTTATTGAATCTAGAATTTTAGCAGGAATCCAAAAACTATTATGTACAAACAATTCGACAAAAAAAAACAATATCCTAAATAAAATCATCATTGCTTAATGTTCGCGAGTATATATTTTTTTGTTCTTATATACTAAAAATTTTGCTTACAATGTATTACGTTGTGCCGTAAAAAGTCTGGGCAGAATAGAAAGCAAAACTCCGAGTATAATAATTTTATTGAATTTCCCACAAAAAAAATAATTCTCTTTAATTTGCCACAAACGGCTATTTTATAGATGAAAATAAAATAAATAAAAGAATAATTTTTACAAATCCGAATAACTTGACTCATTGTGAGTCTTACAATCCCAAAACAAACCAATGCGCTAAGGTTAACAAACCGGATTATTGCGCGTAATAAAAATACATATAATGAATTTACAAAAAAACAAAATATATCCCAATACAATAATAAAAAAACGCCAATTAGGACACAATGAAAAAATTTATCGACATATTTTTATAAAGATTCTGTAACCATCATTAATAAAATATAAAAACAAGCTTTGTTTATAATTTACAAATCGTGTAAAACAAAATAGAGATTTATGATGGACAAAGGGGACAAAATGTGACACAATGTGTGGAGGTTTTGAAAGAAGTAGTATTATAAGAGATTTAAGTGAAGAACATTTCATAACAAGATTATGTAATAAACACAACAATTTTAATGAAATAAAAAAATATATTCTTCCCTATACATAATTCGAATGTAAGCTTGAATACAAAAGTGTTCAAATCGGTTTTTAAAGGTTCAAACCGAACCGATATTTTTATTTTTTACAAACCGAACCTTGAACCGTTATTTTTATTCGAACTTGAACCTAACCGATATTCGTTTCGGTTTTGATCCCTGATTTAAACCATACCATTAAAATATCTTAGAAAAAATATTTTTTGAATATTATTTTTACAACTGCCATACAGTATGTTATAGCCACTTAATCTAGTTTTTTTTATAAATATAAGAAAATATTACATTTTTTTTAAAATAGGGAATTGGTTTATTATGGGATTCATTCAAATTGGAAGGATACGTTCCTCAATTTTCTGACACTGTATTCTTTTTTCAGGAAAAGGTTACAACCACTTTCTATATTTGATTGCTGATTTTACCTTAAGAGCATATTTTGTGATAATAAAACTATTTTTTACACATAATTTACATAATTAATTGAATTACTTCTTGTACTTCTTACCTTATATCGAGATATTCAAAAATGTATAAAAATAGTTGATAAATTTTTATTTTAAACAATTACATAAACACTTGTAAACTTTTTAAAGGTGGACGAACTGATAGAAATATACGAAAAAATAGGAGACGATCTCAGATCTCTCGAAACTTGTCCCTTTAACCAGCAAATTTTTGCCGAGAAAGTAGACAGCATTCAAAGATCAGTAGATAATCTATCTCTCAAACAATTCTCCAACTTGCCATGTTGGATAGGTAGACTTGACGGTGATATAGGGAAGCGTTTGGCGTTTAGGCTCCAGGAAGGCATAAAGGCGTGGACGGAACGATTAATAAAAGGGGAAGAAGGAACATCTAACAACAGTAATTTTAGAGATAGTAAATCACCGCAGAATAGGCAGGGTCGAGCCAACACTCACATCCGGGGTGACATAAAGACTCGAGATCAAATCAGTGAGTTCTATATAAGTATATAAATTCAATGTTATGAAGAAAGAAAGAAATGTAAATTTTATTGAATAATACACTATAATAAAATTTAAAGGGGCAGATGATGCTGACACCGATGATAACATAGACGAGATGATAGATAATTTTAGCGCCAATATGTCCAAGAATGCAAAAATTGACCTAGAATCTAAAAGCATTAATAATAATTACGCCCAGCAGGATCATAATACCGGTTACAATAAAATAAGGCGTAATACTCAAGGAACAAAGACCCAATCAGTCCATTTCAAAGCTCTAATAGCATGTCCAGGTGGAGAGCCAAAAATTATGGTATATAATTTTTTTTAAATTAGCTTTTTGGGTACATTTATCGTTAAAATTTTAGCAATTACAAATTGAGCAGAAGTGTTTAGTGTTGCGTTTTTCTAAAAAAACGTTTCGTTGTCTAAATTGTAGCTGCGTTTTTAACGTTAATAAAACGTTTACCAATTTGCACGTTATCATTTGATACATTACTTGAAATAAAATGCAAACCGCTTCAATTTGTAAACTTATGTATACTATTAATTATAACGACATTCGGATGCCAATATATGTATATATGGATGTCTTCGGTAAATTTACTATTTTTCGATAATTTTTATTAGCTTTTTTTAATATTTATAATCGCATTTACCAAATTTGTAAATATTATATATTCAAGAAGTTATTTATATATTTTTTTTTGTTGGACCATATTCCTACGAAATGTATTTTACATTAATATGATATTAATCATAGTCATAGGTTAGTCTATTTATTATTTTTTTAAATTCTCTTGCATCTTGATTTATGTTTAATCAATAAATATTTAACTATTTAACACTTCTTCAAAGCCTTTGATTCACGAATTTCGCATATCGAATCAAGTCATTTATCTAAATCCGCCTATAGAAGACGCTCGTGAAAAATTGTTGGAACAGTTTTTTTCTTACATAGGAATCGTTTTATCGCTACCTAGAGTCACAAGCAGCCGGTAAAAATAAAATTATTTTAATATATGTCAGAGACTTGCAAGCTCAGAACCCTGTCGGGGATTAAAAAATTTTTTAGTTTATGTCAATTAATCAGTTGGAAAATGGTCAAAAATTATGAACGTTTTTATTTATTTACTGCTCAAATTAATTTCCTCCAATTATCTAAAATAATGAAATTTATAAAACCACAGGGCGAGGCCGATAAAATAATCAAAAAAATCTCGAGCGGGGTTTAAAAAATCCAGGCCGGCCTTGAAAATGATTTTTTTTTTCAAATCTGGCCTAAAATTTCGAAGGCTTTCGCTATATATAAATATAATCATATTTGTTTTTACGGAATGTGTCTCAAGAGATCTTTAATTTGTGATAACAGATTTAAAATGCCATACTTATAGTACAACATAGTAAATTAGAAGTGATGATGGCTTTAAAATTGCGCATACAATACTATTTATCTTTCATTACTATTAACGAGTTTGAACCTTGGAAGAGAGATTAAGGAAATCTTTTAGTAATTTGCATTGTGATAGCTAGTAATGATACAAAGTTTGTAAATAATACTAATTACCACTGAATGTTTAATTATCAAATAATTTTTTTGAATAATTATATAAAGGGGCTAAAAGAAGAAAAAATGTAAGATTTTGTTGAACCTTTTAAATTATCATGGGGTTTATATTAAATATTTTAATTACTCACTAAAAAATAAAAAAGATACAATTACGAATATACAACGGTATCCGATATATTCCACAAGCCATTTCACGAAAATTACCAAAATCTACTCTCACAACTTCCGGAAGGGCCCACCGTCATTCAAACTTGTTACCAAGCACAAGAATCGGTCCTTAACAAGGTGAAAGTATACGTGGATCAATGGTTTAGGTACCAATCACTATGGGATTTACAATCGGAACGCCTGTACGATAAACTCGGACAAGATCTGCCCACTTGGATAGATTGCTTAATCGATATAAGGTTTAAATATGCGTTTTTTTCTAATTCAATATACATAAATCGTATATATTTTTTAAGATTTTCTTACCCCTTTACACCCGACTTTTTAGGTCAACAATATTTTTTCTCCCTAAAGTACACTAATCTCAAAATCAATAAGTCCTTTATTTTGAATCAAAGTTTTACTATTACTAATATTGTCTTTTACAAAAATGAAAAATTCATAAAACAAAACAATAATCACTTCGACTGCGCTATTTTATAATAACCTTTTAATAATAAACAAATATACAAATACCACTACAAGACGACAGATTCATTTTCCCGTCGATCCAGTTTATTGATAGCCATAAAACCATTCATTGACTATTTAAAAAATGTAACATTTACCCCATTAATCAATAATACATAAAAAATAAACTAATAGAACGCGCCCTCCTTTAAAAAATCAAGCGCCTTGGCATAATTTATAATATACCATCCTATTATAAAATTACATTGCTTATATTAATTTCATAAATTTTTTAATTCATATATTCATCTGGTCCTAAAACATCTGTCACTGCAATCAAACGAAGATACCTCTTATTTCGATCCATTATTTCTTATATATATAAAAGGAAATAATGTCATATTATTAGGACGAAAAGGTGGTACTTAATTAGTACTTACAGAAAATTTGGATAAATATAATACCAAACAAATTGCCTTATGTTCATTTATACTAATTACTCCAAATTATAGCTTACCTATTGAATAAAGATGTTCAACGTAGTTGCTAGGAGACAATAGAGGACAATGACGGTAGACACCCTTAACGGTCAAGCATCCTTTATTCCAAAAAATGTTACAACCTAATATAAATGTATTGGGCATAGTACAAAATAATTTAAATGTTAAATTAAGTGCATTGCCAATAGCAAGAGATATAATTATATATTTTTAAAATTAAATTTAAAAATAACTTTTAATTCACGTTTTTGAAAGTATTTATTGTAAATAATTTTTTAAATATATTCACTTCACGTCATACTTACAAATTTGTTTTATGTTTTACTCGTCCATGGTAATTGACCAATTTGATTAAACGGTATGTTTTATATGTATAATATTAATCAGTCTCTGGACAAAATATTATTTCTAAGTGTACTTGAGAGAAAGAATAATTTAGAATCATTTATTACAGGAAAAAAAGTCTTAATTGGAAAAAATTTAAATTTTAAACACCTACATCCCACCCATTTTTAGATTTCCTTTTATTAATTTTAAATCATGATAAATTTCATATTTAGACGTACCAGAGAAACGTTTGACACGACTGACACGAATAAAAAATTTGGACCTATAGTAATCGAATTTGGTAAAGTTCAATCCAAAGTTACTCTCAAATACGATTCATGGCACAAGGAGGTTCTTTCTAAATTTGGCCTTCTGCTTAATCAAGAAATGCAATCCCTTTATTCTACTATATCTAAGGTTTTAAATGATTAAAATAATGTCTGTTATATTATGAAAACATTTAATTAAAATATAGCGTATATTAGATTTAAACATAAATCATATTCTAAAGATAGATTGAATGGATCGATTGATAGATCTTAGATGGATAGTCAGTCAATCTTTACATAAAATTGATTAGTCGTCGTAAAATTTGTGTTAAATTTGTTTAGATAAAAATTGATCAATATAAAATTTATACCCTGCGGGATTTTTTTTTCGAAATTATTTTATCCAGGTAGGGTTATTATTTTTGATCATTTTTTGAATTTTTAAAATTTTGTTATTTTGAATAATTTGGCAAATTGTGTTAAAGGAAAATTGGAAATAGGAGCAGTAAATAATTATTACCATTATAATGATCTAGTAATATTTTCCTACCAATTAATTGTAATTTGCATTTATTTTTTTTTAAAATGGGCCCAACCCGATTTTCGTATTTTATAAAATTTTAAATCTGGCCCTGCCAAAATTTCAAGTTTATAACACCAGGCCTTTAGGTCTCCGAAATATGTTATATCAACAAGTAACAAAAATTATATAGTTTGAAAGAGAAAATTGTTGCGGAATAGTTAAAATTTTAAAAACAATATAGGCGCGCGTAGAATTAGAACAAAAGCACCTGGACGGTTCCACGTCGACCTCTCAAGCCGTATCCTTGGTAACGTACGTTCAGACTCTCAAGTCAAGAGTTAAGGCCTGGGAAAGGAGGGTTAACGAAGAATTTAAGGAAGGTCAACTCGTGTTGGAAAAGCATAGATTTACATTTCCCAACGATTGGTTGCATCTGGAACAAGTCGAAGGGGAATGGAATGCCTTCCGGCAAATTCTTGAGCGGAAAAGTGGCGTCATACAAAATCAGGTCAGTTGGCTCGCGATTTTTGATTATATATCTAACATTTTTTAAATGGATTAACCCTTTCAAGTCATAATTTAAATCTAATGTTCTAATTTATTAATTCATAACTAATTTAGATTGTAATTAAATCCTGCCAGAAGTCAATACTGAAATGGGCCATACATGGGAGTTTTTTTATAATTGAGATAGGGGGGGGGGGTTGTAAATTAATATTGTTTACAGAAATGGTTGCAACTTGCGGATAAGACGGAGGGATAAAGCTTTTAATCAAACTTTTATAGTGGCTATATATACATTTTGATTTTAAACTCTAAATTTTCATAATTGACGTTTTAACGTTATACCAAACTAGAAAATATATTAAAAACATACCAATCATAATTAAGTTTAAATATACTTCAAAATATCAATATGCAAAACGCTATATCTCATTTTACTTAACTAGTTACTTATTCATCTTTGTTATCGTTGTTTCATTAAATGGTTCTTTTCTTCCCATATGTTGGATCGAATTCCCAAAGTCCTTATCCAATTTTAGCCGGCGCCCATTTAGTGTTTTAAGTTATCTCACGTATGACCCACCCTATAATATCTGGATTCTCAGCTAGGTGTGGTCACTTGAGTGTGCTTGTAACTACACCTTCGACTTTCTGGCTCAGAATTTTGACCTTTCTTTCATTTTTTATTGTCACAATTTTTCAATCTATCATATTTATTAAGTTTTTTACCCGATATTGCTAATTCTTTGTTCCTTGAAAGCATATGCGCTCTTAAACAGAGCCACATCCAATACATATTAAAAATAAATTTTCTAGATTTTGCGTTTATATTTCCAATATCCATAGTCTTTCCCTCGAAAAATTGATCTTATAATTTCTTGTTTGAGTCATGTTTTAAATTGCAAAACTTTGGCTAAAATTTAAGTTTCCCGGCAAACGTTATGGTCTCTTCAGATCTTCTTCTTAACTTAATGGAATCTGGCACCTCTGGACAAAATATTTTGTTGCACTATACTTTGAAATTAACGATTTGTCATTTAATGCCTCTAGATTTTATTAATTATATTTTTTTAAATTCGTTTGTAAATTAATTATAAGGAAAAGGATGGCAAATAATAGCTAAGCATTATATGACAAATCATATTAAATCAAAGAATTATGTGCTAAAATATTTGAACCAGAGGCGACATTCCTTTTTTTTAAAGTTGATTTTATTAAGTTGAGTAGACGCCAAGAGACTACAATAGAAAATTCTAGGAAACTAAAGGCCGCTTTGAAGTTGTGTCTTTCAAAAATGAGTTAGACGAAAAATTATAAACCAGTTGCTTGCACAAATAAGACTGCCGATGCTGGAAAAAAAGCATAAGCGCCTCCAGATGAAATAGACAAAAGAAAACAAACCTTTTTACATGGCTCTGGCTATGGAAAAGGCAGAAGCAGACATTCACAAGGAACAAAAAATCTGCAAAGTTATCCAGCAAAAAAAATGATAAGAATTATGATTGATTGAAAAGTTACGACAATAAAAGTAAAAATAAATGGGAATATAGTGAAAAATCTGGACCAAAATGTCGTCACAGGGACAGGCACCAATAAACTTAATGTCCAAATGAAAAGACGGGGCTCAACAGATATTATTAGGAGGGTCTTTACATGACGTGACATATGTTAGATACCGAAATGGGGATAGACTAAAATTAAATAAGGATACTAAAGTTTCAATCTAATAGATGAGAAACATAAATGCTGAAAGAAAAATCGATATCAAAAATGGATAAATAACAAGTTAAGTAAAAGACCATGTCGTGTTTTGCACCTTGGTATTCTAAATTGAAATGTTTTAAATGATATATTTAACATATCAATATGCAAATTTATAGCACTTAAAAATAAAGAATATTATATCATTAAATATTTTTTTGTAGTATTTTGCAATAAATAAGACCTTAACACTATATAGTTTTTAATAACTTGAAAAAAAAGTATCTTTAAAATCAAATAGGACGTTAATTTTTATAATTATTCTATTTTAATTGTGATGTTCAGTGTGCTGTAAAGTTAAAATTTAATTGATAAGATTTAAAAGAGAATTTAATAGTTTGGAGATAATTAATATAATTATTAGCTATATTTTTGAGCAATTAATTTTTGGGAATAGAATTTAAAAAATATTAGGTTTAGGATATCTTAATATTTATTATAGTACTTGTTTTTTATAAGTAATTATACAGTGGTTGATATTTAAATTGAATCTTTTACTTTCAATAATTATAATATTATTTGAATACATATATTAGTTCTAAAACCACAATGCCAAATATAACACAAATTAAAGGTGGCTCACCTCCAAACCAAAATTTTGGCCGAGGATTCTGCTGTATCAAAACGCTGCGACGATTTGATCAACGAATGGGAAATCTGTAAACCCGTAGACGGCTCATTACTTCCCGACTCTGCTCTCAAAACGCTCAATCTCATGGAAGCTAAGTTCAATGAATCTCTTAAGGAGAAATCCAATATAACTAGGGCTAAAGAGGCTCTCGGACTTTCAGATAATGGTAATTTTTTTATTTGCGTTTTTCTATACTTTACTTACTTATATATTGGACGTTTATGTTTTATGCAAAGATTTACTGTCATTGCTGATTTAAAATGAGATATAGTGATTATTTCTACTAAAAAAATCTAAAGACATGCTCTCAGCCTCGGGGAAAGATAAAACTAAATTTTCCTTGGAAGAATTGCAGGATTTGAAAGGGGTTTGGATAGAGTTGAAGAAAATATGGGAACAATTGGAAGCTTTGAAAGAAACGTCCTGGGCGTCTGTCCAACCTCGCAAGGTTATATTCTTAATATATATAAAATTTTAGTTTGTATAATGATACCATTTAAGTTATTAACTAATTAAATATATATTTCATTTGGGTATTTGAAATTGAATCGAACTTAGAAAATAGGATTATAAAATAATTTCAGACTAAATAATTTAACCAACATATTGTATGTGTTTTAGTAAGAGACTTTACAAAAAATATTTTAAGGCGATTTTGAATATAGCTACAGCTGTCATGCTTCTATTAAGGTGACAATTCAACATTGGGTATAATTTGGTTAGCACATAAATACTGTGAGGTCTCATTACATACATAGTATATTTAAAAAATTACGATAATGAATAAAAGGTGAGACAAAGTTTGGATTCTCTTTCCTCATCTCTTAAATCCTTGCCCACTCATTTGAGGCAATATTCGGCCTACGAATATGTGAAAAGACTCATACAATCCTACTCAAGGGCCAACGTGCTCATCGTGGAGCTTAAATCGGACGCTATTAAGGAGAGGCATTGGAAAAGACTGGCCAGAAAACTGCAACCTTCCTCGTTACAAGCTAAATCTCAACACAAGCAGGGTTTGCTATATTCATATTTCGAATTACAAAACATTAAATTATTACGGTTTTTCATATTTAATAATGCAAGAACCTGGGTGTATTTTTACCGAGTTCGCAACCCTGAGAAAAAGAACCTTCTTTTAAAATGGGTGTTCTTATTTAAAAAAATGATAGTTTTTTAGAAGATGGGACTGAATTTTATAAAAGGATGTTCAAATTAATCCATCTATATCTTTTCCACTAAGCGGAATCTGGTAACCCTAAGCAAACATATTTTGTAATTTTAATAGATATTTAAAAAAAACATTTATAATCTCATCTCATCTTATATTTATTATAATAAAATAATATGTCCTTAATTTATGCAATATATATCAGAGTTTGAAAAAAAATCTTTGCATTAAAGATTTGAAAGATTTTGTATGCATGAAGATTACAAATTAGCTAGAGCTACTTATAAACAATATTTTACAAAAAATATTTCGAATTTCTAGATAATATTTGATCAAAATTCTTCTTTTAAAATTTTCTTTTCAAAGTTGATTTATATGATGTGTAACACTAATAATTAATGTAATATATCATTTATAATTAATCCAATATTTTATTTGTATTAAAAAGAATACTTGTATTTATTAATAAATTGTGTTATTTATTAGAATAAACCATTCAAAATTTATTGATTAACTATAAATTATAAATAAAAATAACTAAAATGGTTTAAATATTATTTATCTCTAAAGTCTTTAAAGAAAAAATTAGAAGAATGTATAAATACCTTTTTGGCTTTAGTAGAAAATTCATCCTATTTTCCTAGCTCCGTGCAAAAACATCTTTTTTGATAATTATAAATCATGTTTCTTATAAAATAATCAAAAAGTATAATCTAAATTATTATGTCGAATTTTGTGTTATTTTTATTATTGTTAAAATTTAATATATATGGAAAAATAGAAAAATTTTAAGATAACCCCCGCAGAAAGCCTAACAAAAGGGCCAAAGCCCCATTGAAGGGGAAGTGCAGGATGTGGGTTTGGTGACGCAGCCCTTCAGGCTTTTATAGGAATGGACCTCTTATAAGAAAAATTTCTAACTATGCCACTAACTTAGAGATTAACAAAATATAACGGGAAAAAACATTAAGAAAAATTTTTTTTTCATTATATTTTTTTTCTTAGATACTTTTTCTAAAACAAATATTGGCTCAAAATGTTTCTTTTTATGCAAACATTATCCTAATACATCTTCGTCGAGATTAGGAAAGCGTGTTTCCAATATGCCTTAATAATCAAAATTTTGTCATAAAATAGCTGTTATGAAATTACCCATCACCCATTTTTATTTACTTCCTTAAACTCTTTTTCACTCCGTAGTCTCTTTTTATTCCCAAGTAATATATAAAAAAAATTATTATGCTATCCATCTATACTTATTACCTTCACAGATCAGGGTTCAATTCTACAAGCTTTAAATCATCACCAGGGTTACAACGTTAAAAGTCCTTTCGAATCATTATTATGCTTTGGTATGGGCGGTTCCGGCTCTGGTTTTGGAAACGAATTGACGCTGGGTCATGTGTGGGACTTAGATCTCGTAAGGAACGAAAAAGATATCAAGGACGTTATCTTGGTTGCCCAGGGGGAGATGGCTTTGGAACAATTTTTAGTTCAGGTATCTTTTTAAAAGAATCAATCAGATTTTAAACAGATTTATTTTAATAGTAGTGAATGTTGTTATCCCCTTCCGTCGCATCTATATATTACTTTTTATAAATATTTGCCCCAAGTCGTCTGAATATACAGGTTTGATCCCGATTTTTATTTTTTGCGTGAATTCAAAACAGAAAAAATATATAATTTATAACAAAAAAACTATTATAAAAAGGTGCGAGAAACATGGCAAAATTATGAGTTAGATATGGTAAATTACCAGAACAAATGTCGCCTTATACGCGGATGGGATGACCTTTTCAACAAATTGAAAGAGCATATCAATAGTTTAGCCGCCATGAAACTTTCTCCTTATTTTAAGGTCTTCCTTTTAAAATAATTTTCGATTTGTAAATTTTAATAAAACTTTTTAAAAAATATTGGCTTATATATTTTTTTTAAAAAAAGGAATTTGAAGAAGACGCCATATCTTGGGAAGATAAATTGAATCGTCTGAATTCGCTTTTCGATATTTGGATAGATGTTCAAAGGAAATGGGTTTACCTGGAAGCCATATTTACCGGTAGTAACGACATCAAAAATCTTTTGCCGAATGAAACATCTCGATTCCAGAGGTTTTTTAAAATTTATTTATTATACAAATCATGGTAAAATCTATTATATATCAAAATAGTTTAAATTTTATCATTCTTCCATTGTCAGCATCTAATTTTATTTTACTTTATGTTTTTTTCGCCTAAAATATTTAAACAAAGCATAAGTTCCGAATTCTCCAACTTACTTAAAAGAGTGTCCAAATCACCTCTAGTTTTAGATGTACTAAATATTCCCGGGATACAAAGGTCGCTGGAAAGATTGTCAGACTTCTTATGCAAAATACAGAAAGCCCTTGGCGAATATCTGGAAAGAAAAAGAACTTCCTTTCCTAGGTTTAAAATAAAACATTATTAAAAATATTAAAATTATTCTATTTGATTCTTTACATAATTTTTATTTAAAAAAAATAACTTTTATAAATATAAAATATTATGTTCGTATTAAGTTATCACACATAACCATTATGTAATTTCTAAAAATTTAGACACAATGTAAAAGGATCGTATATGATAATAACAAAAATATATAGGCGCTTTCATAAATAAAAAGCGAAATTGTTTAATTATTGACTTATTCATTTTTTAATAAAGCTTGCCTAAAAATTACTTTAAATACACATGTTTGTAAAATGATTTTTTAATTTTATAAATTTCTCAATATATGCGGACACGCTGAGAATTAATATTTTATTTATTATTAACTCTAATGACATGATTCTCATTTTTACTCCTCCTCCTCTCCCACTGCAATACCCTTATATCATAGGTTTTACTTCATAGGCGATGAGGACTTACTCGAGATCATAGGCAACGGCAAAAACCTCCCTAAATTGCAAAAACATTTTAAAAAGATGTTTGCCGGCATCTCCTCTTTGATTTATGAATCCGCATCAGAATTGGAGACCTCCCAAACCTCCGCCATTTACAGGCTAACTGGTTTGTAGGATCGTTTTACTATATTTTTTTTAGAAAATAATATATCATTCTTATAAATTTTTATATGGCAGGTTTATGTTCGAAAGAAGGTGAAAAGGTTATGTTGACTCGACCTTTGGAACTAAGGGAAGAAACTATGGGGAAAGTAAACGAATGGTTGGCTACGCTCGAAAATGAAATCAAACTAACCCTAGCCGAGACGTTGGCAAATTCTGTGACTAGTGTGAGGGGAGGAGAAGGCCCTTACTTCTTCAGGGAAGCTAAGGAATCGGAGGCCAAAGGGGATAGTGACGAGGCTCTTTTGAATTGGATCGACAAATACCAAGTTTTTATATACACTCAATTTATGGCATGATTCAAAAATATATATGTTTCCGGTATTGTGTTATTTTTACAATTTTAAATAGTACTTTGAACACGTTTTTTTAAAAATCGGATTTTACCGGAAATATATTATATCATGTTTGGAATATTTACCTTAAGAATTTCGGATAATATTTTCATGAACTTTTGAACTTAATATAATTTATAAAAGTTTTTCTATAGATTTTTCATATAAATTATAAATGATTCAAAATTTAAAGCTAAAATTATTTATGATTCATAAGATGGGTATACTAAACATGCTCGAATATATTTCCGGTAAATCAGATTTTTAAATTTAAAAAAACTCACTCAAAAAACGACTTAAAGTTAAAAAATAACACATTGCCACGCTTAGTTCTCAATAAACGATTTACAAATTCAAAATGTGACATTAAAAAATTATTTTAAAATTCAAATTCAAAACTATTCGTTTTGTCTTCTTTAGATTTTCTCAACCATAATATTGAATGTTTGTATATTTTATACTAACATATATAAAAATTTATCATATTAAACAAAAAAAGGCACAAATCATAATTCTTACCCTCCAAATAATTTGGACCGAAACTATAGAAAACTCATTCAACACTGAATTAACTTATTTTTCAAAATCTCAAAATAAACCTACACCACCCACGCTTCAAAACGTGTTACAGAATATAGATAAAACTTTGGCAAAACTAGCCGATTTCGTGCTCAGAGATCAGCCAACTCTGAGACGTAGGAAAATGGAGCACATGGTAATTTACTATATTCATATTACTTGTTTCCGATTTGTTAAAATTTTGTTAAACTAATATATGAGAACCTATTTTGAGTACATCCTAAAATATTATTATTTTTATTAGATAACCGAATTGGTCCACAAAAGGGATTTAACACGTGAATTAATTATCAATAAAGTTGATTCAATCGATTCTTTTGATTGGTTGAAACATATGCGTTTTTATTTTGCACCGACAAACGGAGGAGATAAACGTTTACCAGAAGAAGGGGCTAGGTTTAAAAGAAATAAAATAAATAAATTATTGAACTTAAAAGTTTCTTAATAAGTTGGAGGGGGAAGGGAGACTTTCTTTAATCATGAAAATGGTATTATATATTTTGTTTAAAGATGACTTCCTTTATTTTAACTCCACTATAAAAATTTAAGAAATAGATCCTCCAAATTAAAAATTAAATGTGTTTTTTTTTATTATTGCATATTAATAATATAGTATATTTTGTAATTTAAAGTGAATATTCCGAAATAATAATTTTTTTGAATGATTTACAAAAAAAAGGAATAAGGATATGCCTTCCAAAATTATCGCCGAGTCGTTATTACTAGATAGCCTAGTTATAGAAATATCGACAGCGAGATTCAGTTATGGTTGGGAATATTTAGGCTTCCAGGAAAAGCTGGTTCAAACCCCACTCACCGACAAATGCTATTTGGCTATGACCCAGGCGCTCGAAGCTAGGCTAGGCGGATCGCCGTTCGGTTTTAATTATTTTCGCAACTTTCTTTTTAATATACAGCAAAACTTGTCTAATTTAGACTCATGATAATTGCATTACCCTAATTTGACCAATTTTTTTTTTTAGTCTTATTAACTAATATTAGAAAATAAAAAGTCTTGTTAAATCGGGCAATCCAAATTTTGATCTTAACGGTGCCCAAATTATACAGATTTTACTGTATATAAAATAAATAAAAAGAGATGTGCTACCTAATATTTATTTAATATTGATTTTTTCATAGGAAATTCAACGATCTAAAGCGTTATATATATATATTAAAATAAGAAAGGGAAATAAAATACTAGGGATATACCGATATTTTTATCGGATCGGGCCGTTATTTCACCTATTTTAAAATATCAATTATTGGCCAATATTATAAAATTTGCCGATCCAATATAAAATGGCGTTTTTAACAAAAATAAAATGTTATAAATTTTTAAAAAAAAGTCATATCTAAAATCATTTATTTTTATAAATAAAATCGAAATCCATATTTTTTTAATAATAACAATTAATTAATAAACATTCTGCCATATTGTTATTTTTTGCGCATTCTGTTTATAAAAGTATGCGATAATCTCTTCAGAATCTGTTTTTAGTGAAGCTGGTGATATTGAGAGTTACCATCACCGCAGGCAGATTTCTGATAAATTAGAATTTTATATTTCTAAAAAAAATCTTCGATTTATTAATGTTAAATAATATTTTAAATATTTATTCAAATTTCATAATATATTTGTTTATTACTTATTATGTATATAGATTAATGTTGTTACTTATTATTTAAAAGTGATTTAACAATAAAAATATTTTATATACTTTTAGAATTGCAATAGAATTGATTATAAACTATAACTTGTTCATTATAATATATTTAAATGACATAAGTTATGTATAATTAAATTATAGATGTTATACTAATAAAAAGTATATTACAAATTAAAACCATTGGTATCTTTACAGAATACAAAATTAGATATGAATCGTAAATATCGGATCGGCCTCCAAAAAGTGATATCGGTACACCCCTATAAAATACAAAAGCTAAATCCCCCCCCCCCGAAAACAACGAGGATTTCTTAAATTTTTTAAATAAATATAAGCGTCCGGGATGAGCGAAGAACAGAGTCCGATGCTTGAATTACTTTTATTTATATTAAGGTCCACAGAATATTATGTCAATTTTTTTGAAATATGATAATAGACGTGAACGATATGATAGAAAAATAGTTATAATATGACTGCTTTTTATAGGAATGATTTAAACGAGAGCCTTTATATTTCTTCATAACTTCTTAACTAATTTCGGAATTCCTAACATAAATTCTTTATACATATTCTGTTTTTATGTATATCTAATTATAATGTCTTTGACTTTTTATTCCTTCAAAATCTTACTACATTGCTATTGTCATTTCCTGCGATTTCCATGAAATTGAGAATTTTTTTATAAAGAAAATCTTATCTAAAGACATTATAGTTCAGGAGTTATATTTTATAACGATACTCATTTATTTATAATGATAAAAAAATTAAAATGCATAAAGTTTCAAATTTATAGGCGATAAAAAGAGTTAAAAATTTTGTATTTTTGCATAAAGTCATAATAAAGTAGAATTTTTTGGCAATATGTTAGACTAAAATACCATTTTAAAATTATTTGGCATCAAACAATTAACTATTATTTTATGAATTTTTATAGGTCCAGCCGGAACTGGTAAAACGGAATCCGTTAAAGCACTAGGTCATGCCCTAGGACGCTTTGTACTCGTATTCAATTGCGATGAAACTTTTGATTTTCAGGTTAATAATTTGATATCAAATTTCATGAATATCTTTATATCTTCTCCTTTTAATGGCGATTTCCAGATTTACTCGAGTAAGCGAGTTTCCCCTCTTGTGGGATCCATTTTTTATATCCTCCCTTATTACCTTTATCTACGTCATCGGCCTTCCTCGAGACCTTGATCCTCTTACTTCCATCAAGGTGTATCTCTTTTGTTGTCTTTCGCTCCACATGCCCAAATCACTTCGGTCTATTACTTCACATTACCACTCCAACCTTCTATTCCCACCCTTGCACGCAATCCCTTGCTAGTTTCTGTCTCTGAGATACCCCACACAGTTTATTAAATAAAAATGTTGATTGTCTTTCATACGCGCTCTTTACCCTTCTACCATTGTTTATATATTTTTTGAAGGTAGAATAAATATTAATTATGTTATTTCAAATCTACCTTTTTTAAAATAAGAATAAATCATTAAAATTTAACGTAAAAAAGGCAATGGGAAGAATATTCATAGGCTTGTGTCAGGTTGGAGCTTGGGGTTGTTTTGACGAATTTAATAGATTGGAAGAACGAATTTTGTCCGCCATCTCGCAACAAATTCAGACCATTCAAATGGCATTAAAGGAGCTTGCCAACCAAAATAGTAAGTCATCCGATGTTTTTTATGTCATCTTATTTGTTTAATGATGACTGAGTTGCGAGGTTATGCAGGTCAATGGTCGATTTTTTTAGAAAGTAAGTTATTCATTTTCTATTTGATAGGCAAATAATAAATAAATTTATCACCATAAGAAAAATATTATTAAATATGTACGATATTTAAAGCCAACCAAAACAACAATCAACCAATTAGTATAGAACTGGTGGGTAAATCCGTGACTATAAATCCGCACATGGCTATATTCGTCACTATGAATCCCGGTTACGCTGGTCGTTCCAATTTGCCGGATAATCTCAAGAAATTATTCCGGAGGTTGGCTATGACCACACCAGACGTGCATCTCATATCGGAAGTTCTCCTATTTTCTCAAGTATTATTTTTTTTGTTTTACGTGTTTTAGAACCTATTTTCATCTTCCTAAGCTTTAAATTTTCTCTTTTATTTCAAATCCATTGAATCCTAATCCCCAACTATGGGAATCATTTCTTGTTTTGATGGTACAGTTTAGCGAAGATATTCACCTACATTCGTCTACTAATATATATGAATTTTTTATATATTTTTACAAAATTCCAGGGTTTTAGGAAGGCCGAACAATTAGCTCGCAAAGTAGTTCCTTTATTTAAATTATGCGCCGAACAGCTATCAAATCAAACCCATTATGATTTCGGGCTTAGGGCCCTTAAAAGCGTTTTGACTAGTGCGGGTAACATAAAACGAGAGCGTATAAAGTGCTGTGTTCAAGACTCGCAGGATTTAGGGTCTATCACTGCTGGGATGAGTGGTAATTTTTTTTATAAATTTTATAATTAATTCTATATGCGTTATTATTCTCTAATCTTCTAATTATTAAATTTCCTTATGAAATTATTTTCAATCTGTTTATTTCTCCTTTTTTGTTGCATCCTACTTTCTAAATTGGTCTCCTAAAAATCAATTTTTTAGACTTAAATATATAAAATATTGTTTACATTTAAATTCTGGCACTATAAAAATTTTCTACGCATTTGAAACTTATGCTATTGTTTAATAAGGATAATTAATTTACCGACATATTCCCGATTTAATTCCTACTTTTTCGAACCTGATAAACCATCTCCTCCCAATTAATTATATTTTTTAGAAGACCAATTAGCCCAGAACGAAAAGGAAATTCTGATACAAAGCGTATGCGAAACCTTAATACCTAAATTGGTATCTGAAGATATACCGCTCCTTAAAGATCTATTGAGAGACGTTTTTCCCGGCGTAAGCTATGAACCTGTCCCGGTTCACAAATTAAAATCGAACCTTGTCGAAGTGTGCCGAAGGAACCACCTTGCCTTTCATCAAAATTTAACCTCCAATGAAAATAATATCCAAAATAATTTGTTGGACGAAGATGACAAGGTATGTATGCATAAATATTAGTACTATAATAATAATTAATTTTTAGGGCTGTACTTATCTTAAATATCCGTTTAGACCGATATTTTTTTTAAATCCTATCCTATTCGTAATTTTTTTCCCTGTTATAATATTTCAAACTATCAACTAAATAATTGCCCAACAAATTTTGAATAGGGATTCGTATTTTTTCTTTACCTTAGATATATGGACTAGAAATTCCATTGGAGATTTGTATATATCTCTTTGACGTGTCAGACAACCAACTTTTAAACGAAATAATAATTCTTCATAGTTAACGGTTAATTATTTTTTGGATAGGAAATATTGTTATTTTTTATTACATAGGTTCAAAAAAATCATTGTAAGTATCATCGTTTATCCTATCAATTTATGATAAAAAAAATATTGAATCGGATTTTTCTGAATTTTGATAAAAACTGGAGTTTACCAGAAGATGATAATCGGTGTAAACTTTTATTTTACTAATTAAAATTCTTTCCTCATATAAAAGTTTTTTTTCAAATTAATTTCAATCAGGGGCATGAAACTGAACGTCCCGGGATCGGAACTTGGGGAATATTATTGAAGGTTAAAGGAACGGGAACAAAAATGTTAAGATTCAATTTTATTTTACTTAATTATGAATATGATATTTACAATGAATTGCTCATATATAGATTCTATTTTCTTTCTCATTATTTAATATTACTTTCTTGTAAGAAAGGAAGGAAGAAGATATTATGTCATTTTAAGTTTGTGAAAATATATTTGTTAAATCATATTTTAAATAGTTCTAACTATTAAATTAGGAATGGAAAATATTTTTTGGGCGGAACAGAACAGGAACGCAATAATGTCTTTGTTCCGAGTTCTTCATTTTAGTTAATAATCTTTTATTAGGGATTTATTTCATTTATTTTAAGTTTCGTAGAATTTTTAAAAATTCCTTGTAAACATTTGTTTATTAAAAATTATTTTTAAATATTTATTAAAGGATTATTTCGAATAAATGTTATTTATAAAGTACACCGACAATACATCATCTTCATGCAACTGGGCCGACAAAGTCATCCAACTTTACCATCTGACTCAATTACATCACGGTATAATGCTCGTAGGCCCTAGCGGTAGCGGCAAAACAACTGCATGGAGAACCCTTTTTTCAGCCCTGGAAAATTTAAATCCCAGCTCTAAAACCATATCAAAATCCTCCGAAGGTAATGACAATTTTGATAATTCTGCTCAAAATGGCGATGATAATTCTAACCATGTCGAAAGTTTGAGTATTTTTGGAGGCGAAGGATGTGCCCATGTAATTGATCCCAAAGCTGTTAGTAAAGAAGCACTTTATGGAACCTTGGATCCAAACACGAGGGAATGGACAGATGGGTTATTCACAGGGATACTCAGAAAGTAAATTTTTTTTTAATCTATAATTTTACGAATTTTTATGAGTTTTTTTTAAGGTTAATAACTTTCTTATAATCAAATTATATGCTGCTCTGGAAAGAATTTTTCACAAATTAATTAAAACATTATTTTATGAAAGTGAGCGACTTGTTTTGAAATCTATTCTTTAGTTTTAAAAACCAAAAAACGCTTGATTTAAATTAACTATCATCATGCAAGTGCCCCCGATGCACAAAACTCTTTGACCTATAACTAGGCTCCCTATACACTCAATATAGCGCAAAAGCCCAATCAGTCAACACACTTCAGGAAATAACGCTAAGTTACGTTTAAGGATTGGGGGGTGCAACAACCCATCAGCTTTAGAGTCCTCTGGATTGATGTCCGAGAGAGCCGCTCTTATTCCTTGGAAAAGGGGGAGATCCCGCGCATTAGATTTCCTTGTGTAAAGCCTCTATCCCCTTCAAACATTATTAGGGATATCCTAAAAAATTCACATATTAGTACCAGTTACTATATTACGACCAATAATCTCTGCATTATCGACCTTGGAACCTGAAACCCCCATTTTTGAAGTAGCTAAGGATTTTCATATGTGCACGAACAGGGGAACTAAAATAAATCTACGATTTAAAACAAACTATTAACCAATGGACATTCACCAGCTACCTGTCTCTTTGATTCGCCAGACAGTGTAAAATCCGATTTTGCAACCTGGATTAAAAATGTTTCTTTTTCTGAATTTTTGGCGCTATTCGGAGGATTCTGTTTCCTAACTGTTAATAAACAATAGAAAAAAAAATTAAAACCCTTTGAAATCAGACAACAAAGCCATTACATGTAAATTAGTTCTTTCATTATAACAGGTTCTTCATGGAAATATTAAAATGGGTTTCTTTTTCTGGTTCCTAATAAAATAAAATAAGAAATGGTTTTGATTCCGATTCCAACTCGGGTTAAGACCATTAAATTTTGATTATTTTAATAAATGACTCGAGTCACCACCTAATTATTCTCTTTATTTATTAATTATAATAACTGTTAAAAATATAAATGAAATGATAATAATTCATCATATATTTTACATAAAACTTTTTATCTTTTTATTTTCCAAAAACCGAATATCCATAAATATCATATCCACGAATTACAAAATAAAATAATGTCCAAAATGAATATCCAAATATATTCAAGCCTTAAACAAATAAAATTTGAAAACAATAAATTGAAACTAAATTTTAAAAATTAATTTTATAACAATAAACTTTTTTTTAAAAATTGCTAAAAAAGAAATAAAAAGAATATCTATTCTTCAAGGCAAAAATCTATATCAAGAATAAAAATTGGTCAAATAAAATTCATAAATAAAATAGGGGGGTAACATAAAAACAAGGCTGAATAATATAAAATCTTACAAATATAGGAAATTAATGTTGATACCGATTACTCCTAAAGTGGGATAAACAACAAACAATGACTTTGATTATTTGTAAAATTCATTAACAGAAATTTTAGTTATTTACCATTAAAAAAAATTATTATTTTTATGTAATTAAATTTTATAAATTGGGCTATTCCTATTAACAATAAAGACATGGTGCATAAAATTAGTAACTTTTATATGTCAAAAATTTTAATTGATCATAAATTCAATTAATCTCTTATAAATAAAAAGGATAATAGACAACGTACGGGGCGAAATAAACAAAAGACAATGGATAGTGTTCGATGGGGACGTGGACCCGGAGTGGGTAGAAAATCTGAATAGCGTTTTGGATGATAACAAACTTTTGACCCTTCCAAATGGAGAACGACTTAATATACCGCCAAATGTTAGTTATATTTTTTATATAATAGATAGGTAAATGTTATAAAAATATAATGGAATTTATGTATTGAGTGAATAAACGAATAATTATTCTTTATAGGTAAGAATAATTTTCGAAGTTCAAGATCTTAAATATGCTACTATGGCCACCGTTTCCCGTTGCGGAATGATATGGTTCAGTGAACGTGTCCTAACAGATCGCATGATTTACTTTAATTACCTGGAAAAACTGAGATCTGGCTCTGCCGATTTATCTACTAATTTTGACACCGCGTCAACCAATTCAAAAATCTTTTCGAATACTCTCCTTTCGGCAAATTCACCATCTTCTGAAACCAATAACATTGACATAAGAAGAGCGCCCGCTTACAATAACGCGAATGGTGTGGGCTCAACTGGGAGCGGTGTAGATTCGGGGTTAGGGGGTGATTTTAGCGAGAACGAAGTTTCGGCCATTGCTAAACAAGTTTATCATCTTTCGCAATTCATTTGAATAGCTTGATTATTGTTTGGTGAAAGATAAAAATGGCTTAAATATTTGTGACTTATTTATAATCATTTGGTGGCTTTTTTTGGCATTATGCAATTAATTAAATATAATCTTATTTCTCAAATAATTTGTTTTTGAAATGGAATAAAAAAAATGTTTTTTAAATTATTATTTCATATAAGGTGCAAACATCGGTTGCCAAAATACTAGAGCTTTATTTTACTCCGAACGGGATGGTTTCCAAGGCTCTTGAATACGCGAAAACGCTAGAACACATCATGGATTTTACACGTTTACGAGCCCTTAATTCTTTGTTTTCCCTGTTGAATCAGGGAGTCAGGAATATCGTTAACTATCAACTGGCCCATCCAGATTTCCCTATGAACGTAAATGGAACTCATTCTCTACTATATATTAACGGCATTTTAGATATAGTCAAAAACCTATTATTAGCAATAATACAATCAATATGATAATTCAATTCCTTAAAAATATGTTTTATTTGTGTTGAAAGTAGTGAAGCTATTCCAAGATGATACTAGAGTTAGATTCAACAAAGCTTTATTTGCAGTGTTCTAGAAAATATAGTGTCCCTTTTAAAATAAAGACGAACGCTCGATATAACAAAAAATATTTTAATCAAATTTGAAATAAATTGTATATTTATAAAAACTTCATTTTAAAAAAAAATGAAATATTGAAATAGATGGACGCTATTGAAAGATATACTCAGAGTTATTTGATATATTCTCTCTTATGGTCTTTTGCTGGGGATTCAAAACTAAAATGCAAAGAAGATTTGGGAGAATTTATTCAAAGCATTACGACCATTCCTCTTCCTAATAAAGCTAACTCGTCTATCATTGATTATGAGGTATGGTTTGGAGAAAGAATAAAAATTGCCAATTTACATAATTTTATGCTTATTTTGCTATGTTATAGATCATCATTTATTTTTAAAACATGAGGAATCCCTGTTATAAAATGTTTGATAACAAAATAATATCAGTTAAATACTCACGGTGAATGGGTTGCCTGGTCTCTGCGAGTGCCCAACCTCGAAATAGATACTCACAAGGTGGCCAACCCGGATTGCGTTATACCGACGGTTGATACTGCCAGACACGAGTCCCTTCTATACACTTGGCTGGCCGAACACAAGCCCATCATTCTTTGTGGGCCACCAGGTAGCGGTAAGACTATGACCCTATTCAACGCTCTCAGATCCTTGAACAATGATATGGAGGTTCTTTTGATTTATTTTTTTCCTCCATTTTTATAAGGGAATCATAGAAAATACACATTGAAATAAGGAATTAATATGAAAGTATATGATTAATGTGTTTGACACTTTCCTCGGCTCTTCCATCCCTGCTTAAATCTACACTATCTTCTTGAATTTGATAACCAAATTTGTGTCTAACTAAGCTACATGCTAACCCCATAAGAGTGGAGGGAGAAAAAAGATGAAGTAAGAGAACAGTAGGAAAAATATAAATGGTGCCCCTTTTATTGCCTTACTTATTGTTGACATGATTCTGGAATGAACAACCTGGTTATCTAGATAAAATTTATACATTTTGGCAATGTTACCCATATCTTTTATTATGAAAAAGGGAAAGGAATAGAAGGGCCTGTAATACAATAATTTTTTCATATTTCCGGTTATGGTAAAATAAAAGACTTTAAATGCGTCTCGAACATAGTTTTCACTTACCTTATCATTCCACAATTGTCTATAATATATAATTTTATTTTAATCCCCAAAAAATGGATCAATGTAAGGTAATCGGTCTCAATTTTTCGAGTGCTACAACCCCCGAACTTTTGTTAAAAACATTGGACCATTACTGCGAGTATCGTAAGACATCTTACGGCATGGTTTTATCTCCCATTCAATACAACAAATGGCTTGTGCTATTTTGTGATGAAATTAACTTGCCCGATATGGATAAATATGGTATTTTTTATATGTATACTATAAATATATTCGTTTATACTTTATGCTTGGCGTGAGTATGATTTTATAGTAAAAAATTTGTCGCCCCTCTATTGGAGTTGGATGTCAGGAATGGCGTTGTATCACTTAATAATGCGTCTTGTTTATTATTTTATATAAATATCTACCGAATACCGAAGGGAATCATAAAAATTCTTTATTATTATGAATGATTGGGGATTAAAAAACGTTTTTTTCAGGAAAAAATAATGTTTTGTTTTTTCTGTTTTTTTTATTACTACTACAATTCTATATTTTACCAAATTTTATTGTAAATTTTTGAATATTACTATCATCACATATATAATCTACCAATATTTTGCTGCAAAATTATCACAACTAATTTATAAATAGTTTATAAAAACTTGGAAATATTTTTTTTTAAATTTAATTTTTAAATTATATAAAAATATTGTTAAAATGATATTGAGGCTTTTCTGGGGTTTTTTGCTGGTTTTTTTCCTGTATTTATATTTAGAATTTAATGTGTCAATGTTTTCCTCATCCTTATGAAGGATATATATTTTTCGTCTATTATCAATTCTTTAGCCTTAAATTAGTTTAATATATCTATTTAACCATATTTTCCTAAATTTTTAAAATCCAATCATCCTTTTTTCAAGGCACTCAAAGGGTCATTTCTTTCCTTAGACAAATATTAGAGCACGGTGGCTTTTACAAAACAACTACCAATAACGAACAAATCTGGGTTAAAACGGAACGCATTCAATTCGTTGGCGCTTGTAATCCGCCCACAGATCCTGGACGGAAACCTTTGTCACATAGGTCACATGAGTGTTTAATGAAGCTTTATTTGAAGATAAGTTATAACGGCGTTTTATTATTTTACTTAGCGTTCAAAAAATCCAATATTGTTAAAGTATCAGTTTTTTTAAATAAAAAAAATATCATTAAGAAATATATTATGTTTATAGCTTAAAATGTATATTTTATACGAATACATATATACAAAATTGGCCGAAAAAATAGACTTTTGCGACATATACCGGTTATATACGTAGATTATCCTGGCTCGGCTTCTTTGTTTCAAATATATAATACCTTTAACAAGGCTATGTTGAAATTGATGCCCAGTTTACGATCTTATTCCGAACCTCTCACCAACGCTATGATAGAATTCTACCTAACTTTCCAAGTTTGGCCAATATTTTTAATTATTTATAAATCACCTACATTTTTGTTTTAAAGAGGCTTACGTTTCTATCATTCTTAATATCATCCCCCGAGACGTCTAATTTTTTTATATTATTGGTTTATTCTATTCTCTAAAAACCTTTTTTTTAAATAATGTTATTTTAAAAATCGGATCGATATTGGTCATTGGCCTATATATATCAAGATATTAATAAAATTGGATCTGCTTCTAAAAGGCTGTATCGATATATAGTAGCTGGTTATGGCGGATTTCCGAATCCATAACCCCCCCCCCCCTACTTCATAAATATTTATGTTATATATTTAATGAATAATGCAGTTTATTTCTCGTCCTTTATGGCTCAAAATTTTGGATTACCAAAAATAAATAAATTTTGACATCTATTATTAGTTTAAATGAAATGCTATTAAATATATCTTGTAATTTTAATTAATAAATAATTCTTACCCGCAAAATTTACAGTTTACTTCTTTAGCATTTTAACCTTACTTTCCCTAACATCTTACAAGGGATTGGTTTCAGAAAATTTTTATTCCTAGGCGGGGGCATATCTTTAATCGGTACATGAAATTTGCAAAAAGGCATTGTTCTGAGGACATGCAATTACCTTTATCACTATACACAGTGTTATCATTATATCTATAAAGAATCGTGCTTTTTTTACTGAATAAATTATTTTTTTTATTGGTTAAATTATAGTTTTGCGGATCAATTTACAATTTTATACGGGTATGCTATTATCTATAATATCAATTAACTTTTGATTTTTATACTGGTAACAATGTAAAAAATATACCAATCGAAATTTTTTTTTGAGAACTTCGTAAAAATAACGGGAGGCTTTAATTTTCCCCAATGTTTAATATTTAATAATGGCCTATAAATTTTTTGATTTATCATGTGAAATATTTAATTTTTTAATAAATAAAATTCCTCTTTAATCATGTTCATCCTCGTGTATATTTAAATATATACATAACTGTGTGTGTACCATTAGTTTGGGCTTATTGAGATTCCATTGCTTATCTTTAGTGATAATCAAACGGTGCCGTCTTTAATTTTTAGGAAAGGACACCTTCCATGGACGCTAACATAAAGATGACGCGTCCTAGCTTTTCCGTCTCAACAATTTTTTAAAATGATAATATTTTTATTACTAATACTATTTTTTTTTAAATTTATATATATATATATAATTTAATTATTAAATTCGAAAGTGAAAAAAGACAAGTTTTTTTACATTATATTTATATCACGTAAAGTTATCAGATAAAATTTAAATTCTATGCAGCTGCGAGTTTTATTTTTGAACATTGGACACTTACTTTGAAAATTTTGGTCACTGTGTATACTAGCAAATATTATAACATCTGTTTGATATGCAATTTAATTTTATTTTTGTAAATATTATTTTTTAAAGGATAATTTTACACAAGACATGCAGCCTCATTACATATTTAGCCCTAGAGAACTGACCAGATGGGTTAGGGGGATATACGAAGCTATTAAACCTTTGGAAAATTTATCACTGGATGGTTTGGTCAGATTATGGGCTCACGAAGGATTACGATTATTTCAAGACAGGTCTTTGATATTTAAGTGTTATACCGAATAAAGTTATTGCAGATTAGTATTTACCATAGTATATGGGATCGTTGGTATCTTTTAACTTTTATTACATTCTTTATAAATTATAAGAGGAAAAATGTTGTGAACGTTTTTTTATACAAAATGCGATACACAGATTAGTTAATCCCGAAGAACGCGTATGGACCGATGAAACGTTAGATACGGTTGCCTTGAAACATTTCCCTACGATTAGTAGAGAAACTCTCAAAAGACCTATTCTCTACAGCAATTGGTTGAGCAAAGATTACATACCTGTCAATTTAGAGGAGTTGAGGCAATATACCAAGGCTAGATTAAAAGTGAGTAATTTTTCTTAAATAAGTATTTTTGAACCTCGCTAGAATAATTGTGTCATTTCGTAGTTTATACTAGGTTTTATTTTTGTGCACCATGACTTTACTATACTCGGTTTTTGGAAGACCTAAAAATCGGGATATTATAATAACATGTTTTTTTATATATAAAGGTGGAGGTATCTTTGATTTTTATCGCATCCGCGTTAATGGTAACTTTAAAAGAGGGGCTGAATTTTTGAATTAAGCTACTTTAAAAAAGTAGTGTGTTATGGTTCTAACTACTTTCCAAAAAAATAGCCTGCTATAGCTATTATATTTTAAATGTAGCGTAGCTACTTTTAAATGATATCTAAATTTTAAGTAAAGGCGAAATATTGAGGCCCCATTTTGTAATTTTTTTATAATCGTAAATGAAGTTTTTATTAAAATTTGAAATATAATAATCATATCACATAATAAAATATTTAATATTAATTAATAAATTTGTATTTACTTTTAAGAGAATATGTCTCTCAAAGTTTTCGTAAAATAACATCTTTTTTCACCAACAACATTTTTTGCTAGACTAGTTAGTCTTTCAGTATTAGAACTAGATGGGATAGGGGTATTAAATTTTATGAAGATAAGCTCAAAATATTTTTATCATTAGCGAAAATATCATCAAAAAATTCGAGAACACGAGATGTTCTCGTTTTGTTAGGTGATTTTTTTGTAATTTTGAGTTTAAAGATAAAATATATAATTCCTGAGCTAATCACGAATTAGTTTAACGTTAATGATTGTTTTCATCTCTAGTTTCAACCACGTTCAATTTTCTTTAAAACATAAGTCGTAAAATACTCCTTAAAATCAAATTTAAAATTTTCCGGAGCTTGTTCTACAATATCTATGTCTTTTTTTAATCATATATATTTATGATTACGAATGTAAGATGTCATCTTCTAAAATTTAAATAAATTGATTAAAGAAGTGCAAGGATTTAAATAAAAAAATTTTTAAAATACATCTATCTATTTATTCAAATTATAAATAAAAATGTTATAAATCATTTTAAAATTTTAGTTAAAATTTTTTTTAAAGTAGCTATAATAAGTAACTATTTTTTAGCTCTAGCTACTCGAAAATAATGGCGGCTCTATTAATTAGCTACTTAAAAAATATAGCTTGCTACTTAATAGCTACTTAACAGCATTCCTTTTTATGCATTGAATGAAAGAAGATATGAAATATAACCTTAATTTAAATTTGTTGACATTTTGATAAAATGTCAATTTTGCAAATGTATGGTTTATTAGATTTTCTACGAAGAAGAATTAGACGTGCAATTGGTCTTATACGATGATGTTTTCGATCACGTGTTAAGAATAGACAGGGTATTTAGACAACCACAGGTAAAACAAAACACACTCTAAAATATATAATCATTTTTAATTTGGTAAAAATAGGGTCATGTGTTATTAATAGGAATTAGTGGATCAGGCAAGACAACTCTATCGCGTTTTGTGGCCTGGATGAATGGATTGAGCATATTTCAAATCAAGGTAATTTTTTTCAAATGTTTTTTTATTTTGAATAGTATTTATTTTTTTAAGTGCTTTTTCTTCCAAAATGATGTTAATATAACGGATTGGAGATCAATTTATAGACCCGACCCGGACATAAAAAATTTTCCCATTTTCCTTTCCGAATTTTATATTTTTAAACCGCCGGTTTTTATATATTTTTAAACCAGGCCCAGGTTATTAATAAAAAAAAATTTTTTATTGTATTTTATAAATGAATATATTCATTATATGATTTTTTCCCTAGTTAATTAATACTGAATTTATTTTCTCCTAATTAAATTGATATAATTTGAATAGATTTTTAATTGACCCGATCATGTTATTCGCCAAGATTTTAAATTATTCAACTAAGCAAGATATTTATGATTCGAAGTTATTTTTCGTTAAGTTATTTTACAAATTTATTTTACATAAAATAAACAAACAATAAAACAAAAAAGGTTCACAATAAATACAGGGCTGAAGACTTCGACGAAGACTTGCGGAATATCTTGAAGCGTGCTGGTTGCAAGGGCGAAAAAATAACATTTATCATGGACGAATCTAACGTTCTTGATTCTTCATTCCTTGAGAGAATAAATACTCTGTTGGCTAATGGGGAGGTTTCAATTTTATTTTAAGCTCTCATTTAAAATAAATTTGTTGAATAAATTTATGCCTCACTTGTGAAATTAATGCATTATTACATCGATTTAAGTCATTATTCTATACATCATTTTTAGTGCATCATATAAATAAGTGATAAAGTATTACCCGTTTTGTGATTGAAACTTATCCAGTCGCAAACTTCCGATTATTCCATGGTACCGTTTTATCTATGCTAAAAAAAAGTTCTTTAGAATGTTATGAAAAGTAGAGGCATATAATTTAACAATATTTATATCCCGATAAGATTTATTATTAAACATAGATGGGGTGCTCAATTTTAGCAACCAACTACATAATTGTAAATATAAAATACAACTTGATAAACAATTATCATAATATGATTGGTCCATCAGAACTATAAAAAATTAATTTTGAAAACTTTTCCACTAAAAGTGATCTGTGGGATGAATCCTCTATCTTAATTGGCTCTCAGAAAAATGAGTTTCGTTGTAAAACCTTATATTACCTATTGTAACGCATTGTGTTGTTAAACGGCTATATTTGGGTCGATTTAAAAGATGGCTCGATTAAGATTTCAGCTCAAATATTATAATGTAAACTTAGAGATTTTGGAAATAGTGGTCCAAACCTTTCTGCCACCTTTGAGCAAAATCTCCAGGGAAAATCTAACAACAACACTACTAATGCTAGTGCATCATATGCTTTTTTAAATATTTCTAGGTTCCAGGTCTATTTGAAGGCGACCTTTATTCTGCTTTGATGACCCAATGCAAAGAGGGATCTCAGAGAGAAGGACTTATGCTAGATTCAAACGAAGAGTTATACAAGTGGTTCACAAATCAAGTTATTATTATTTTTTAAAAGGAAATATATTGTTGATATTACTTTTAACGAATATTATGTGCCATTTTTTAAAATAAATGTTAGATTTCTCAAGCGATTATTGCTGAGGCATTTTATTAGGTTACGATAATATCCTTTTAATGGTGGATGGACTTTAAAAAGCGAGAATATTTAGGCTTATTTTTGAAAGAAAAGAATTGATAAATTTTTGAAAAATTAACATATCATTATACCAATAATTCCTCTATCTATGACTATGATAAATAAATAGTACTACATTGTAGTGTATTCATGAGTCACGATTCGTATTTTGAACCTTAGACCAAATTACAATTCAAATAAATAACTTTGAAACAATAATATATATGAAGACTATCGTATTTTTAAAAGCTTTTTCCTTTTAGAATACCAGAGTTGTTAAATGATACTTTTCAAGTGTATCTAGATGATATATATATATAGTCTATTTTACAAATTTATCTAAGTATATATTCATTTTTCAAAGAGATACGTTTTTATAATAATTATCTGAGATGTGCATAATGCCCAATTTTTTATTGTTAAAAAATTCAAATTTTGAAGTAGGCTAAAAATAATTTATTGAATTGGTGATATATAATTGTTAACTTTTAATAATACATTTACAAAATATATGATTATAAAATAATTGTTAGATTTCAAATACAAAACATTTTCAAAATTTTGTCACCATCCATTGCGTAAAATAAAATTCGTCTTTTTTATAATGATCGGACATAATATAGAATTTAATTCAAATATTATTATTATTAATATAAAAAAATCTAAAATAAAATGATATCAAAAAGTATAAATATCTCTAAAATAGTATCCATCCGGATATTTTTTATAGAAATGTATCTATATTATACCATATTTTTGTATCTAGATATTTTAATAACTCTTCTAGATTTAACAACTCTGGATAATAAAATCATTAATCAGTTCTTTGTTCAAATGTAATTTATTTAACCTCATAATTTATTTAATAAAATAGAAAGCTAAAAAAAATTACGAGCTATCAATTTCAAAGAATTAATTTATTTTTTAAACTATTTTAAGCATTTTAAACATTCCTTTTACGTGTAGTAAGTCAGAATTTCAAAATTATATTTCATAACATATTTGTTTTTATTTCATCAAAAACATACATATGATAAAAAAAATAATATAATTTTCTTACTCTAGGTAATGAGAAATCTCCATGTAGTGTTTACCATGAACCCATCTTCCCAAGGCTTAAAAGAAAGATCTTCAACATCTCCTGCTCTTTTCAACCGTTGCGTCATAAATTGGTTCGGGGATTGGTCTAACTTAACTCTGTTTCAAGTTGGAAAGGAATTGACCATAAGACTCGATTTGGATAATCCTGAAGTAACCTTTTCTACCATTATTAATTGTTAGAAATACATGATGGCTAGCTAAGATTAAAAAAACATTTTATTAAAATTCAAATGAAGAATTACATTGTGATTTTATATATATATATATAATTTTCACGTTTTATAATATTATTTTAGAATATAAATTTGATTATTATATAAAATAAAATGAAATAAGTTAAAGTAGGAATCGCGATATGTTTTATAAAAAGTCATTCGAATATTATAATTATAACATATAACACATTCCTCTCTCTGAGAAATCCATTATATTTGTTTTTCGCGATGATCGTCGAATTTGTTATAGCTAATTAATTTCGTCGTCATTTGTTTTCACGAATAAATTTCGTTGGGATTTGTTATCGCGAATTAGTCGTCGGGTTTATTTGTTGTTTTCGATTTTGTTTATATGTCAATAAGCGGCATCAATATCTTTTAGTATTAGCTTCATCGCCATCGTCTTGGTTATCCTTATTGATACCATTAATGTGTTGACATAGACATCATAATCTCTTTTATTTGTATCATCGTGGTATTTATTCAGTCTTAATACATTACAAATTTATTTTAAATTGTACTAACCTACGGACTTGTTATATTGTTTCTTTCACTTAACATAATATTAATCTAATAGTTACATTGATTTATTTACTTTTGAAAAGTATATATATAGAATTTATTAGGTTAATAGTCAGTTTTAGTTATATTTTATAATAAATAAATTTGAAATAAATAAATTTTTCATCAAGATTTTTTTTAATTATCCCACCGCTTGGCGTGAGACAATATTTTGATATTCGTTCAAAAACTTCTTCTATATTTTTTATGTGTGTTTTATCGTTCTCACCTGTTATTAAATGATCATAAATGTAAAATATCACATCCTTCATATCTCCGAATATATTATCCATAGTCTGCTGAAATATTGCAGATGCGGTTTTGGGACCGAAGGCAGTCTGGTAAATCGGAGATTTGATTGCGAAATTGTCAAAAGGGAAGAAGTTTAGCAATGATTTCAAGCAAGCATTTCTGCAATTGCCGATAGACAAGAAGTCAAGGGACATACTAACCATATCTACACATAAAGGGTATTTCAGATTTACCAGACTGCCCTTCGGTCTCAAAACCACATCTGCAATATTTCAGCAGACTATGAATAATATATTCTAAGATATGAAGGATGTGATATTTTACATTGATGATCTTTTAATAACAGGTGAAAACGATAAACACACATAAAAAATATAGAAGTTTTTGAAAGGATATCAAAATATTATCTCACGCCAAATTTTGCAAACCAACGTTAGGTTTCTTGGACACGATATCGATGCAGAGGGTTTACACCCTAATCGTGACAAAATTAAAGCTATAATCAATATGCCAGAGCCGAAATCTCATGACGAACTCATAACATTTCTAGGCATGGCTAGTTATTTCAGAAAATTTTTAAACAATTTCGCGCATTTAGCCGATCCACTATACATGATGATAAATATAAAGGACATGGAATGACGAACACAAGAAAAGCTTCGATGAATTACAACTATTGATATCTCAACCTTCCTTTTTTTAATCCTAAATAGCTTATTGGCATAGCTGCTAGGATCAGTTCTATTTCACTTTGATACCGATGGAAAAGAGAAACCCATTGTATTTGCATCCAGAGCATTATTAAAAGCAGAGTTTAATTACACTAATATCGAATGTGAGGCATTAGCTATTATCTTTGCCATAAAAAAGTTTTATTTGATCGGAACGAGATTTACAATTATAACAGTTCATAAACCGCTAATATACATCTTTTCAAGAGGCCTTAAGGAAGATACTTCCATGTCTATGAGGCAGCAGAAATGGAATATAGCGATAGGAGCGTACAATTTTGATATAAAACATAGGGCGGGTAAACACAATATAGTACATGATTGCCTATCACGACTACCCTTGAAAGATATTGAGGAAACAATACACGAGCTAGGAGAATTGGACAAAAACAATTTATGGGATGTACCATTGAACTTCAGAAAAATAGCAGCGGGAACCATGCATGACAAAGAACTATCGCAGGTTATAAACGATGTGAGGAAAGGCGATTCAATAAAGAACATGACTTATAAAAAAATAGAAAATGAACTAAGTATAGTAAAAAATTTTCTCTACAAGGCGGATGAAATAGTGATTACTAATAATATGAGAAAAATTATACTGCAGGATCTACATGCCGGACACTTGGGAGCAGGTTAAACTAAAACACTAGCAAAGAATTATTTATGGTGGCCTGGCATAAACGCAGAAATAGATTTAAAGGTAAAAACTGTGAATTATACAATACGTGGTCAGATAACCCGAAAACCATACAACATTTATGGGCTCCAACACTTAAACCACTCGAAAGACAGATTACGCAGGTCCATTTTTTCAAAGATATTGGCTAGTAATAGTGGATGCATACAGTAAATATCCCATCATCACCTCGATGAAATCTATAACCACCGAGAGAACATTAAAAAAGCTCATGAAAACAATAAGCTTCTTTGGGATACCAGAAACCATCGTTACGGACAATGGCACTAATTTTACCAGCAAATTATTTAAAAAATTCTATTATGACCACGGTATAAAGCATGTACTAACATCAGCTTACCACCAACAATCAAATGGACAGGTGGAAAGGATGGTTAGGACATTCAAATTGAGTATGAAACGCACTATGGAGAACAAGAACACAGATGCTGATATAGCGCTAGAAAAGTTTTATTTTCAATTACAGAAACACACCTAATACGACTACGAGAATTTCACCCACCAAATTAATGTTCAATTATGAGACTTGAACCAAGTTGGATCTATAGAAGCCTACATCTATTATTAATGACGATATTAAAACTAAGACCATTATTTCTCCGAATAGGATCATTAACTCAGGGGATAAGGTATGGTTCAAAGTATTTGGGGAAAACAAATGGAATAAAGTTACTATCAAACGAAAGTATAGCGACCTTTTATACGAAGTTGACACAAGTAACCGCATCATAAGACGGCATCTGGATCAAATATAACATATGACACGACCATGAATGATCACGTTCAGGAGGATTTCTTCAAGGGAAACGATGTAGTCAGTACTTCAACGCCGAGTCTTATTCGAATATCGCCAAGACCGGTTCGAGCATCAAAAAACCCGAGAGGTTTAAAGTTTTATCATGTTCTTAGATGAGACATGTATAAGATCTCAGTACTAAAACACTTGGAAAAATACCTAATAAATAGTACATTCTACTAAAAAATATATTCAAACGCCAAACTAAAATATAAAAATAAATTTAAACGTCAAACTAAAACGCAAAATATCAAAATAAATTTAAACGCCAAACTAAAACGTAAAATATAAAAATAAATTTAAACGCCAAACTAAAACGCGAATCACATATCAATTACTCTATTTGAATATTTCTATTATTTAATTCCTATATTCAATTCAATATTCTACTAATATATTCTATATTCCAATTCCATTATTCTATACTAAACGACGAATTAATGATAACGATTTGAACAGAACGGGATCGAGGATAGAAGAGATAGGAGAACGTACAAAAACAATAAAGGATTGAAAGCGAGTTCTGCGAGGAACACAGAAAGATTGAAGAAAGAACAGAAGGGGGAATGTTAATACATTACAAATTTATTTTAAATTTTATTAACCTACGGACTTGTTATATTGTTTCTTTCACTTAACATATTATTAATCTAATAGTTAAATTGATTGTTATTTACTTTTGAAAAGTATATATATAGAATATATTTGGTTAATAGTCAGTTTTAATTATATTATATAATATAGAAATTTTGCATCAAGATTTTTTTTAATTATTAGCAATGAGTTATCACAATCTGAGAATTTATTGTTATCATCACCGAGTTTATATTATTTAATTTCAATGTTTTATTTCAATTTATTCTAAAAAATTTTATTTTATATATCATATTTCAATTTACGAATATCGATTATTCTATAATTTATTTAAACATTCAATTACTTTAAATTTTATATTCTTCCACCCATAACTTTTCCCTCCTCGAAAATCGTGTTCGAACATTTAGAATTAGCGTAAACTAGTTAGGCTTAAACTAGCACGATGTTTGTTATTATTATATATATCTTTCGGCATGTTTTGTAAATATCACCATTTTAATCTGTTATATAAGAATCATTTTTAGCCTGTGGTTGGTCTGCATTTTTGTCATCGACATTGGTTTTTAAGAAAATATCATCCAAGAAATTTTTATCTTTTAATATTTCAATATCTATTCCAAGAATTAAAATAGTTTTCATCTATAGCTTGCTATGTGTCCGTGTTTTAATTAAAGTTTATATTAAGTTTCTTTTTTTCATATTTTTAAGTACCATTGATATATCAATCAGAAGATACCAACGTTTTTCTCCTCTGCCAACTTGTTAGAAACACATAATGGTAAGTAGGATTAAGAAAACTATTTTTTTTAAATTAAAATGAAGAATTATATTGTGATTTTATATATATATAATTTTCACGTTATGTAATTTGTTTTAGAATATAAATTTCAATGTTATTATATAAAATAAAATAAAATGAAATAAGTTAAAATATTTTTTAACAGGTCATTCGAATATTATAATTAATGTTATAATTTATTTTATATTATATTTTTATTATTATAATTATATTTTAATTAATATCAAAATATTATTTTTTTATAACATCTATAACATTAATAATGATTTCATATCTATTATTTTATTTATTTTAAAAAATTACACATATACTAATTTTTTTTAAACATCGCTCCCTTATTAATTATTATTATATGGTTCTATGTCCACTAAGATTAATTTTTCAGAAAAGCGATTTTAAGAAACCCTCGTTTTGGTTAAAATTTGGACAAATTTTTTTTAAAATTTTAGCTATCAACAAAAAGTTAGGAAATAATATATAGGCAGGATTTTTTATAGAAATATTAAATAGGTCAATTACCTACCTGCCAATATGAATATTACGTTGATGTTACTTTAACACCCCGCCAATATTGAAATAATTGCTATGATGTTACTTGAATATTTTTTAAAAATTATACCTTTTTATAGTATCAACCTCCCCCAGGCGTGCCTCTTATGGTCGCTTCCGATAATTTGCCATTAAATTCTACCTTAACCTATAGAGATGCTCTCATAAATTCTTTCGTCTACGTTCACCAAACTTTACACCAAGCCAATGAAAGGCTCATTAAACGACAAGGGAGGAGTATTTACATAACTCCTCGTCATTATTTGGACTTCATCATACATTACGTTATTTTATTTTTTTTAAATTCTTACTAACCAAAAAAGGATATTTTCTAGTTAATTGGTTCTTTTTTTTTGCATTTAATTGTTTTAAATGAGCTTAGAAAATATATATTTATCATTCTCATTTTAAGTTTGTAAGTAAATTGTTAGTCTAAACATAATAAGAATTTGCTATAAAATGAGAAATTATGAATCAATTTGCTTATACAGTATATTACGCTTAATGACATATCTCTAGGGTCCCTTATATTATTTCCCATTTTTTATCCCGTTTGATTATATTCCTTTTTTAAATCCCGTTTGATTATAGAAATATCAATTGACAACCGAATATTAATGTTTAAAATAATTATTCGACAGGTTAAATTATACCACGAAAAACGTTCGGACCTAGAGGACGAACAGCTCCACTTGAACGTGGGTTTGCACAAAATAAGGGACACGGTTGAACAGGTGGAAGAATTACAAAAATCCCTGGCACTCAAAAGACAGGAATTGGAAACCAAAAATGCCATGGCTAACGCAAAACTCAAAGATATGGTTTTTTATGAAATTCATACTCAGCATGAAATTAACTTTTTTTATAATTACTAAGTCCTTGTCTTGGTCCATCTTATTTCTATCTATTTAACCGGCTATATAGCTTCCTCTAAGCAGCTTATAAAAGAAATAGGATATTTAGATTTATGTAAAGAATAGTCTTTGTGGGAAAAAATATGTAAATAAAATCATATTTAATTAATGTACACATATAAAACACTACAAAAGGGTGTCCTAGTTCAAAATCTATTTAGCCTGGGCTAAACAGAAATAAGTTTCAAGAATAAGTCGAACCAGGACATGGCCTAAAAATTAAAAATATCTATTCTCCGTTTGTTTTCCAAAAACTGTAGAGTGTTATATCTTAGTCTTTAGGAAGTGGGTTTGAGTCATGTCTACATCAATAATCTTATCCAACACCTTTTTTCACTTGATCTCTCATTTTAAGCCTAGGCTTTTCTTTTTATTCTATCAGTGAGTCTAAAGTTTTTAAACCCTTCTGATATTGCTACCCTTCTAATTTTAGTTATTAATATATTTACATTTTAGTTTAGTATTTATTGTTTTGAATACAGATCAAAGATCAACAAGAAGCAGAAATGAGGAAATCCACGTCACAACAGATTCAATCCAAACTGATAGTTTTAAATTTATCATTTTATTTATTCACTTACAAATTATAATGAAAAAATATTTATCCTTAAAATAAAATGTTGCAACAAAATGGTGTTGATTTTTTTTTATCGCACATAATGATTTTTCATTTGCATCCCAATTCGAAATAAGATATACAAACATCTTATTAATACATATTTTTTGCCAAAATTAAAATCATTCTATCTTATTCTAATTTTTAAAGGAACAAGAAAAACTGATACACGAAAAGAAACAAATGGCAATCAATGAATTGGCTCAAGTTGAACCAGCTGTCATCGAAGCGCAACAGGGTTTTATTATCATCGTGCCTTATATTTTAAATTTTTAAGTTTGAGGATTATACCAAATGTATCAAATAACCATTAATTTTCATTCATTTTTTTGTATATTATTACTATGTCATCTAAATTTATTTGCTATAGCTGTAAAGGGTATTAGAAAGCAGCCCTTAGTCGAAGTTAGGTCTATGGCGAATCCACCATTGGCAGTGAAGATGGCTATGGAGTCCATATGCTTGCTACTAGGAGAAAATTATTCGGATTGGAAAGCCATCAGAGGAGTTATCATGAAAGATAATTTTATTCCCATGATACTTAATTTTTCGACCGACGATATTAGGTTTGAATGATTTAGGGCTATTACCATATGCGGTTTAGTCAATAATATAGAACATTTTGATAAGCATTAAATAGGATTTTGACAGGAATCGACCTAACAGGGTCAAATCTTAATTACAATTTTTTTTTAAAGCGAATTTACTCGAATCAAATTTATAAACACCTACCTGAATAACCCGGACTACAATTACGAGAAAATCGCGAGGGCGAGTCAAGCTTGTGGTCCGTTAGTTAAATGGGCTATAGCTCAGGTTTCGATATTTCTTTTTTTTAAATGTAACATGGTTTACTAAATTCATAATTTAGAGCAAAATCAGATTGTTTTTTTATTTTGTTTGATATTTGTAAAAAATATGCAATATTTTAATGTAAATATTAATTTATAAGTGTCTAAAAAGAACAAACCATTAATTAAAATGTTTACCTTCTTAATTTCAATCATTCTACAATTTCATTCATTTAGCTCGATATATATAAATATATATTTTTTTAAATTTTACAATTTTGCAGATCAATTATGCCGATATGCTGCAAAAAGTTGATCCACTTCGGAACGAACTGAAGAAGCTCGAGAAAGATGCTGAAGAAAACAGGCTTAAAGCTAACAAGATAGATGACACGATACAATTGTTGGAAAAATCTATAGCGAATTACAAAGAGGAATACGCTGTTCTCATATCCCAGGCTCAATCTATTAAACACGACTTAGAGACTGTTCAAACCAAGGTTTTTTATTTAGTCTATTTATTATCCTTAAAGGAATGGGACTGATATCACTTCTTAGAGTTTGATTCTATATCAAATTGATATCTGCCAATTACCGGTTCTTCCAATATCGCAATTCTAATTTTGTTTGTTATTTCAATATATATAACCTCCGTAATCTATATACATCATTTTATATATCATCTTCATATTTAAATTTCATTTTCGTATCAACATAATGCTAATTAATATCAATTTAAACTTAATCTTGAGCTTTAATTAAATCTAATACTATTTTTTTTTAAATCGATTCTGATCCTGCTCGATCCATTACGATTTGACCCACCTGAGACCTAGCCGTGTCTGTTTTTATTTTGAATTTTTTTTTACCATCTGCAAGATTTGAATTTGCTTTCTCGCACAATAAGTCCAACAACCACCAAATTTTGTCAGATATTATTTACCATTTTTTTTGCTTTAAAAAACTCCATCATCTAGCAAAATTAATTTTTTTATGATATATTACAAAAATACAAATGTTTAAATGAAAAGGTACTTGAAAAGATTTTTTTATTGTGCTTGTATAGAAATTGAAAATTTTTTGAATTTCCTATCATCTAAATAGAGGTTACATTTCTGATTCATAACCTCATAAAATAGATCGAATTCTTAATTCAACTATCAACGAAAGGAACTCTGATATATTCGTCATTCCTTGACGGGCTCTCTGTCAGTATTTTAAATATACTACTATCAAATTTTAATTAACCAAATACAAACTTATTTATTCAGTTATATTTTTCAATGTAAAACTAAAAGTTAATAATTATTTATTTATTATATATTAAAATAGTTGTATTCTTTTTTTTGTTCCATAAGTTTTTTTTAACTTGTAGAAAGTTAGAATCCCATCTAGTTTATTCATGATCAATGTAAATTGTTTCCTTGTAAAAATAAAATTATGTATTTATTTTTTACATATTTTTTTCAATTATTTAGTTAGTTTATTTTAAAAATTTTTCACTTCAATGATATAAGAATTTTCTTAATTTATGTATAAATATATTTTCTTAAATATTAATTAATTAATTAAATATCAATAATAAAAAAATTTTTAAATTAAGACTCCATTTTATCGGGTCAAAATTTAATAATAACCGCCGATCGCTGATATTTTAAAAAGAAATAATCAGTCCGATCCGATAAAAAGGTCAGTAATCCTTAACATACTAATTAGCTTATATATACATACTATTGTTCATTTCCGAGGCTGTTGTTTCGTTGAATAGTCGATGGGCAGGCACTCGATCCATTTATCCCCTAATTTGATTTAGATAAGGAAGTCATATTTATTCCTCCTTCTCGTCGTTTTACCTTTTTTATATTAATTTCTCCTCATTTTTTATATCTTATAGATTTTTTTGAAACCTTTTTACACCATTTTATATTAATTATAAAACCCTTGTTCTTTTTAATCATTTATCTTCATTTCTAATTTAATTTATTTTTCAATCCAGGTAACTATATTATAAACGTACATATTTTATAGGTCAGAGAGAGTTCTAAATAAAATATTAACTTCCCTTCAATAATATTTCTCCAAACTACAAAAAGGTACATACTTTGATATCTCTTCACATTTTAACCCTAAACTATCTGTTTCTAAAATAGTTGCAAAAATATTTAATTCAAAATTTTTAAAAAGGTGGACCGTAGCGTAGCTCTACTATCTAACTTGGAATCGGAACGCAGTCGGTGGGACAGCGGGACTCGAGCTTTCCGATCTCGTCTGGCTACTCTTCCTGGCGATTCTTTGATGAACGCCGCCTTTTTAGGTTTATTTATTTTTTTTAACTCGTGCTTTTTAGAGAAAATTTATTATTCGCCTTTTCAATATTTCACGAAATATAATTATTTGAAATGTACCATAAAAGTAGCAAAGAGCTCATATTTTTTTTTATTTATTTAAGCTTATGCCGGATATTTTGATCAAGCCGAACGAGCCAGAGTTCGGGGCCAATGGGCTCGGCATTTGAGACGATCTGGAATAGAATTTGATAACAACGAAGAAGACAGTTTCAAAAACGTGGCAAATACGATTGGAGGTGTAGAGTCTATCGATTTAGCAGCAAAGTAATGAATTTTTTTTGTTCACTTGCCTAAACAATTCCCCTCCCCCCTCTCTACAACTCATTATTAAAAGTGATTTTTAAATCAACAGAATTTATTTATATGACCATACCATAATTTTAACTCGATAGCTCTTAAACATTATCAAATTAATTTATCACGTTTAAAGGCTTTGATATTATACATACAAAAATTCTTCCTTTCTTTTTTTAAAGTAATGCTATCGAAGAAATGGACGATTTGTGCATCGAGAACGCGGTCATGTTAAAAAGGTGCATGGCCGGTAGCACAGTTGGCGCTAATAACACTCGATACCCGCTCATTATCGATCCGTCTGGCAAAGCGCTCGATTTCATAGCCAACGAATACGTCGGCGGTGATAGGAAAATAACCAAAACTAGGTGTGCTTTTTTTTGTTGTATTTAAATATATGAAGTATCCGCTGAAAATAATGATACACCTTTTTTTTAATTTCATAGTTTCTTGGACGATTCTTTTCGAAAAAACCTTGAGAGTGCTTTGAGGTTCGGCAATCCATTGTTAGTTCAAGATGTGGAAAATTATGATCCCATTCTTAATCCAGTGCTTAACAGGGAAATAAGAAAAACTGGCGGAAGAGTCCTAATAACGCTGGGCGATCAAGATATCGATTTATCCCCTTCTTTCACTATATTTCTGTCTACTAGGGATCCCAGCGTAATAAAATATTGATTCTAGTTAACAATTTTTATATTTTTGAATCGAGGTCGGTATTCCTCTATTTAATTAGAAGATGATCTCAATATAAAAGATACTTCTACTTGGAAGGGAGTGGGGGGGGGGGGTATTTATGAAGATGCTGTCGTTTATTTGGATAAAATTGGAGGGGAATTAGGAGGTAGTTTAGATTTCGATTTTCGTTATAATTGGTATAAGGGGGATATGGTGGTAAGGTTTGATTGAAGTAAGGGAATAAAATAATTTTAGAGGGGGTAAGAAGTAAAATGGGGGAAGGGGAATTAATATCGTCATTGAAATCTATTTATTGGTTTAACAATATAAATAATCCACTTAATGTCTTACCAGTTATCAAGGGGGGGGGGGGTGTATAAGTCCCTGCATTATAGTGGATAGCCTCCTCTAAATAATAAACACTTTCGGAACCTTTTTTGTAACCGGTCAGCTGGGGTATAGTATATGTAAACTTCTCTTTGCCAGTAAGTACTGGGTTGAATTTTTAGTATTAGTATTAAAATCTGTATGCAATATATTCAATAATTAACAAGATTCAACTTAGTGAATAATGTTTTATATAGCAATGAGCTTTATTTAAAAAATACATTAACATATTGCTCCTCTTTGGGATAATTTTTGTAATCGTTATACGTATCTTTAAATAGGCCGAATTTTCGCCCGATTTGTGTTCCAGGGTAAGCCTAATCAATTTTACTCTAACTAAATCGAGTCTGCAAGCTCAATGTCTAAACAGGGTTCTCAAAGCTGAACGTCCAGATATCGATACCAAGAGATCGGATTTACTTAAATTGCAAGGTTTTTCGTGAATTATTTTTTTAAAACTTCTATTTAAAATTTTTTTCTAATTTATACAATTTTGTTTTTGCTCCAATGATGAGTAGCGATCCCTTTAATAATTGATGATAAATAACTCATGGCGTTACTTATTTAAGTAATCTTGGTCAGCTTAGTTTAAATAAATTGGATTTTACAAAAGAAGAAAATTAACAATTTTATAGTTTTATTAAGCTCGATTTTTAAAAACGGTTAAACCAATTTTAGCCAAAAAAATATTATCAAGCTTGGGAAATTTTGCTCATAAATGGCGATTTGGACATCCATTAATAAAATCTCTAGGCTTGCATAATATTATTTTGGCTAAAATCTTAATTTAAAATTGTCCAAATCGATCCTATTAACAACACTACAAATTTTATAAGCTATTTTTCTTCAATCTATCATTATCTGCTTTTCCTGATAAATTACAAAATATAATATTTTTTCCGTAAATATTGTTTATACCTACATTTAATCTCCAAGGCGAGTTCAAACTCCGGCTTAGACACCTAGAAAAAAATTTGTTGCGCGTGTTAAATGACGCCAAAGGGAAGAGTATATTAGATGACGATAGTGTTATAACTACCCTGGAAAGTCTCAAGAAAGAGGCCGATGAGATAACATCCAAAATGGAACTCACAAAAGATACCATGAAAGAAATAGAGAGGGTCAGTTCCCTCTATACCCCCTTAGCTATGGCATGCTCTACCGTTTACTTTACCATGGAGGCACTTTGTAAGGTATACCTTAATATTTTTTTTGGATCTATTTTTTAAATTTTATTTGAGTTTTTTACTTTTATAAATATTTCTACTTTATATATGTCGTATTATAATTTAGAATTCGTTGGGATTATCGTTCTCAATAATATATCCCAATACGACATATATTTGTTATCACAATTTTAAAAATTTGTTTTTCTTTATCTTATATCAAGATTCACTTCTTGTACCAATACTCTTTGCAGTTTTTTATGGGTATATTCCACCACGTTTTGTACTGTAATTTGGAATTGAAACAAATCAAAGATCCAGACGTCAGATTAGATCTCATAATAAAACAATTTTTCAACACCATTTATGTGAGGGTCAGTCGAGGAATGCTTTATCAGGATAAAATTATATTTGCATTTTTCTTATGCAGGACATACATAAACGGATTTTTGCCGAAGTTACTACTTATTTTATAAAAAAAATTATATAGGCTTGGTTTAATTAATAACAAAGAGATTACTCTAATATATAATGGTTAATTTTTTTTCTATATGCATCTTTTAGCAAAAATTTATTCAAAAAATATGATTTTGCAATGAAAAGAATGTTAAATATGCTATATTTAAATAATTATATATTTTATGAAATTTTACACCTTCAGAGAACCCGATTACAACGAAGAATTCGAATTTTTGATCCACAAAAAAGATAGAGTTATGTACGAGCCTTCACAAAATATTACTCACCTCCTAAACAAGGGTCATCTAAATACATCTCAAGCGGAAAGTTTGAGTAAACTTTGTAAATTGCCCCAATTTGAAAGTCTACCGAACATACTAATTGATCCAGAGGTATGGATCAATTTTAACATAGAATAAATAAATGATTGAATTCATAAATTTAAGTTTTATTAATAATAAAAGAAAAAGTATTTCTATATTATAGTTCATCTTTTTTAAGATTATATAAATAATAGTATTTTTACAGATAATATCAATTGAATATTTTTTATAATTAAGAAGGTATGTTATGGTTCTAACACTGAAAGATTTGTATATTTAAATGGATTATAAATGTGTGTTAAATTTCCGAAATATTTAAGAAAATGATTATAATAAATATTGAGATTTTAGTTAATTCAAACTGTTATTATTCTTTTAATAGTTTTTAAAAAAGAAACCACTAACAAATCAATTCCATATCCAACTGTCACTACCCCCTGAAACTATTTTTATCTCTTTATACCCTAGAAATTTAACATTGGCGCACTAGTTTCCTTTAAAATTCACGAACATAATGGTATTGAACTAGTGAATAATTATGTCGAGATATTACTCCCGCTAATCCTAAATTTTAAGTGTTTGTAGAAATGGAAAAGGTTTCAGAGGTTGCAATAGCGCTTGTTGTTTGTGATGGCACACTTTTATTAAACCATTTCTCCAATAATTTAATAACGATCTCGATTAAATTAAAAACTCTAATATAATTCATTTTTATCTATTTAGTCAATAAAATACACTATATTTATAATTTATTTAAATATTCAAATTTCTCAATGTTTCATTTTTTTGGTAACAACAATTAATTAATAGAAAGGTTAGAATGATCAGTGTAAAAAAATAAAAATGGAATATAATTCAAAGCCAGGCTAGAATAATTATCAACTTAATTACGGAAACCAACCCCTCTCTAAGTCCGATAGAGTGAGATCTCTCTATCAGTCAATCTTGATCTTAATAAAATGTTAAAAGTTTTACAAGAAGAATGACATTTATTGGTCATACTGTATTGTCCATTTTTATGTAGATGTAATTATTTTTGTAAATTTAATTGATATTTTTTGTTCTCCTATATGCTATTATCAACATAATAAACAGAAAGGATCTGAACTACTGAAATGGATCAAGGATACCGACATCAACTTGAAAAATATTCCGCAGTCATTCTACAGCAATTCTAACAAAAATATACAAAACATTAAAAGTTTGAGGCCCATAGGGAAATCGATAGAAAATCTTTTGCTCCTCCAGGCTTTCCATCCGGATAAATTATCGGATGGCTATCACAATCTGATAGAGACAGTCTTCGGGACCGATTTTGAAGCACGAGCCGACGCCGAACTAGATTTAGCCGAGATTATAGAGAAAGAGGTCTTAGGATTTTATACCAAATAATATGCAATTATTATTTGATGGAAAATTTTATGGGAATTATGATTTATTTAGGAAAAGTTAATAAAAATTTAAATAATACTTTTAAAATAATTTCACGTTTATAATCAATCTTACAAATTTTGTATCCAATGATCCGTATATTATTCAAAATTGTAAAAATTAGACCGATTCCAAAACTCATATAATGTTTTGTTCGGTTCCGGGTTTTGACGCGAGCTCACGTATCGATACTTTGGCCTCGGAATTGAAGAAACCATTGACCTCAATTGCTATAGGTTTCTTTATTAGATACCTCCATATTATTTATTTTTTTTCAAATACTGGAAAATTTCTTAGGTCCTACTAATAAAAATTTGCGATCGATACATATCTTTTTATAGATCCTAATCAGATCTAAAATTTTATTTTAAAAAATAAATCTGATATAATAATATTTTTATTGGTTGAAAATGTACGATATTTTAACGAAGGCGGAAAAATTTTAAACGCTAAATGATAGATAATATTTTTAAATATAGCCAACAATTTTTCATTACTTTTAGTTAAATAAATATAGCTTAATCCTCGCAGTCCAAGTTGTCACTTCTAATTTCATCAAAAGTGATAATCCTAAAAAATACATTAGGGAATTTTTTTAAAAAAATTTAATCAAAGTCCTATCCTCTCCGAAACTTATTTTAAAATCAAGGTCCGAATTCAACCGGCCCTCAAGTTTGACTTGACTCAAATTGATCCCTCTATTTAGTAGGATTGATTTGGACCTTAAAAATAATGAAATTTTACATAATGCACATTTATGGTTAATCTTTTTTTTTTAAAGAATAGGGTGCTGTATTGTAAAATATTATATACACCCTTTCTTTTATTCAACATTTCGTTTTTACACCGATCATTATAAAGGTTCTTCTGAAGGCTTTATCTCAGCCGAAAAGACTATAAACCAATCATGCAAGACTGGTCGTTGGGTACTTTTGAAAAACGTACACTTAACACCTCATTGGTTAGTGCACTTAGAGAAAAAACTACATACCCTCAATCAGCCGCATCCAGATTTCAGACTGTTTTTGACTATGGAAATAAATCCCAAGGTTTGAAGCAATAGTTTAGGCTATAACCCCTATAAATTAATGATTTCATATTATTTATAATCATGGAATGTCATATAAGGGTCATACTTTATCGTGTTTTACATAATGTTTATCAAATAACAATAGATACCCATCACTCTCCTCCGATCCGGCCTTCTCCTCACCTTCGAACCTCCCCCGGGTCTTCGTGCCTCCTTGTCTAGAACCCTTCTTCCATCATCACATTCCTTCTCTTCCATACATCCCAATTCGATCTCATCTAATCCCCCCAAAGAGAGGGCTAGGGTAAGATTCTTGATTGCTTGGTGGCATGCCTTGGCCTTGGAAAGGTAAAATAATATATGTGTTTTTAAATTATATAAAATTTAATCGACTAAAGGATAAATACATAGAAAGAAGAAAGGAAGAAAAGTTCAGATTCAAAATTTTTCTATAAAAAAAATCAACCTAATTTAAAATCAAAACATAGGTTAGCTTACGTACCTTTAGGCTGGGCAGCTAAACACGACTTAGATGATTCGGACTTAGCCTCTGCTCTCACCACGGCCGATAGATGGGTTGATTTCGTGGCACAGCTTCCTAATAATGAAGGGAACGAGAGAAGGATCTCAAGTGAGTGCTATTACAGTGTCGCATCTTTTAAGATATAATGAATGAATGATTATTTCTAGGAAAATAAGATTGTTAGTTTGAATAATTTCATTTTGAATTCTATTTTTTTACAAGATAAATATCATATTCTTTACCTCCACGCACACCATGGGTAATCTAAATTTTAGATTTGTCTGAATTAACACTCCAGTTAATTTGATTAAATTTAATATTAACACAAAGATTATTATAAAATGTACTTTTTATGCATCATGATACTTATAATATTATAATTCTATTTATTTATCAACTTAAATTTAATATTATTATAATATGTCGTTGGGATATGGAATTCAAGGGTTTTCAGAATCTAAATAATTTATTGAGGACGATTTTTAAATTTGAATTTCATCATATATAGAATGAAAATCGAAAAAGGGGATTAGAAGGAAAAACGGTCTACCCGGGTAAACCTGGAAAGGGCGTAGAAGATAGAATATACCCACTCCGTCAATTTCAAACGATTTTACCGTGAACTTTAGAACTATTCTTAATTTATACTAGTTTTTACATTGAATTTTCATTTCAAATTATAAAAAATGCGAAAATTAGCTGAAATACATTTCAGGTAAATTCTGATTTTAAAAAATTCCAAAATCGTTCTCGGTAAATGATTTAAAATTGAAAGATTTCAAATCCCCATGGATTCCATATCCCAATACGGAATATCTAATGTATTTACCAAAGTCTCGCATCGGACCCATTTTTTCAGAACAGAACCCATCCGATGGTTTTTTTTATCTCCTGACCGATTCGGCTCATATTAAAAAGATCTTTAGAAAAAATTTAAAAGAGAAGATTTATAAAAGTAAAGTTTTCGGAAAGCAAAATAATTTAAATTTTTGTTCGAGGTACAAGAAGCCAGAATGTAAACCTAATCGTTAAACCGGAATTAACCAACATTATTTCCAAACAACTGTTAAAAAATTTGTCACCCGAACTTCTAAAAAGGTAGGCGAATCAATTTGAACCTTTTGATGATTAAGAATCCAATTGTTAATCATTATTTTTGGTATATTGCCATTTGACGATGCCTGATACGCAAGTTGCTTGTATGCTAAAAGGGTCGAACCAATTTTTAAAAGTTAAAACCTAACTATTATTATTTTTGAATCATGAACATCCCTGCAAGAAGTACGAATAAAAATTTTAAAATGCAAGTTCGCCCTGACCGATTCCAATTCTGTCAGATTAACAGGTTCTTGCATGGCTATAGTATTAACACTCTTTTAATACTTGCATATTTTGAAAAACTAGTTTACTATGATTCTTCTATTTTGTAAAATTAATCTATTTATGGAGTATCATTGTAAATAAAGTAAATTATAGAAATTCTATGTAGTAACTTTTAAAATTCATTTTTAATTATATTAATTTTTCTAAATCTTAATTTCTTATACTACTTTTTTTACTAAAGAGAGTGGCGGAGGCAAAGTTTTATGTCGAAACAATGTGGATCCCGCAAAACTACCTTGGAAAGCTATCAAGGTGCTTTTAGCTAAATGCGATTATGGGGCCAAGATTGATAACGAGTTTGATAGGGTAGTTAAATTAGATTTTATACTCAATATATTCTGTTTATGTCAATTTTATTTTACTGAAATCTTTAAAATGTTATTAAATATCAGTTCATAGTGAAAGCCAATTTCCATCTTTCTCTATTTTTTACATAATTAATCATTTTGGGCAATTTGTATTTTTAATATTCGATTTAATTAAGTTTATAAAATCTCAAACTTTCTATTTAATTAGATTAAAATAGTTTAAGAAATCATTTTACAAATCATAACCTTTTTTTATCTCTAAAATAACGTTTTAAGCGGCTGTTATGGTCGTTTCTTGGCAAAATCTTTGACCCCTCCAGTTTCGAAGACAATTTCATATTGGTAGATCGTCGGAATTTGTTATTAGATAAGTGCCACGAAACAAGCAACAAAAATTACGATTCTGAAATCAACGATAAGATAGTGACCCTTCCCGAGGGACTAAACACAGATCAACAATTTTACGAGTGGACTCATACTCATATACCAGCCAGAGCGGATCCGACTTGGTTAGGTCTACCGCTACAAGCCGAAACGGTTTTGAAGATTAGGGGAGGTCAGGATATAACGCGCAAGTTAGGCGAAGTAGAAAGAGAAACAGGTTCTTTACTTACTAGAAGGTTCGGATTAGCCAGGAATGATAAATCTAAGGAAGAAGATGAAGCCGAGTAATTTAATATTTCGATTATATTGAGAAGTGGCATATATAACTTTTTAAGGTCAATTGTTAATTTACATTTTGAAAAAATGATTCTTTATCACTTAAATGACTGGTCGGAAAAAAATGAATGGTTAAAAAAATCAAATTTAGAAAATTATAGAATTAAATTTAATATAAGATATGATATATTTTTACAATGACCATATTATTTGGTACGAATAGATTCACTCTTAATTAAAATACTGATATTTAATCTTAATTAAATATTACATCTTACAAAAATGAACGGAAAAAACACAAGCATTTATAATACTAAATAAATCTAATATTATGATTTTTTATAGTATAACTTTGCAACAAGATGAAGAAAATGACAATGACAAAAATACTCAACGAGAATTGAAATTGACACATAAAGATCCTATTGGTTAATAATAATTTATTATCATTTTTTTTAAAAATATATAACTGATAAAAATTTGTAAAAATCTTTTCTCTTCAAACATTTAATTTAGAGACCACCCCCAAATGGATGAAAGCATTGCGCGAAAATGTATCAACTTGGTTAGACATCTTAAATTCGATTGAAGTAACTTTTTAAAATTATCTTATTCATAATTTATACTTATAGGCTATATCATATCCACATGACAGAGGGGGAATTAGAAAAGATCCACTTTTTCGATACGCCGAAAGAGAAGTTAAAAAAAATACTAATTACTATAAATATATTTTTATGTCAAGGTTAAATTTGGAACTCAGCTTCTCAACGATATCCTAAAAGATTTACACGAAATATCGGCTTTATGCAGGAATCAAAAGAAGCTGACTAATCGATTGAGAGCCTTGACTGGTGATTTGATCAAAGGTGCATATTTAAATTTAACAAAGAAATAGATTTCTATAAAAAATAACATTTTTTTATCAAGGTCATGTTCCTTTGGATTGGTTCAGATATAAATCTTTTGCTTCCCAGGCTGATTCAACAATAAATCACTGGATCATGGATTTCAGTCTAAGGATGAAAAAATTAGGAAATTATTGCGAGACCTTGGATCGAAATAGTAGTGGGCATCTAGCTGATTCTCAAAATCCCATTTGGCTTGGAGGTCTATTTAATCCAGAAGCTTTTATCACGGCTACGAGGTTTTGTTAATTATAATTATTTAGTTTAAATTTTATAAATTACATGATTGTTCGATAATTATAATTTAAGATGAGATTTAAAAATGAAAAATCTTTTATATACTTTATAGACAATATAGTGCTCGTAAAAACTCATGGTCATTGGAAGAACTTGTTATGGATATGACAATATATGATGGACATGACTCGATGAAAAATGCTGATTATAAAGAATGCGTTTTTTATATAACTGGTATCTATATATAAACTCAAGTATATGTCGCAACGGGATACTGAATCTTTCAAGATTCAAAATCTCGGATCCCTGTCTTTTAATCTTTTTAAATGTTTGGAATAATTATAGAACACGGCATTATGCATTGTTCACTCTTTATTCTTTATTGCTTTAATAAAAATCATAAAAATATATACCACCTTATCTTTGGGTGAAATTTAATCATTATTAAAGATTTATATAATTTTATCTACAAAATGATTCTTAAATTATTATTTTACAACCAAATCAAAAATAATTTTTATGTTTTATTTGACTGTTAAAATTTTAACGCGAAGCTGAATTAAGCGCTTTTAAAATGTAAAACCATTTAATAAATTTGGTTTAAGACCGGATATAAAATATTAATTAGGGCATTGGGATAGTTTGAAATGATTTTCAAATTTCTTTACTACACTACACATATGGAAAAAAAGAAAATTTTTAAAACAACTTGATTTAGGACCATGAGTATTACAAAACCATTTTCGATTTGAAATGTATAGTGTCAATCTTCTTTACTCTAACAAGTAAAGAGTTAAATAAATCTTTCTATCCAACCCAAAATTAAGTTTGTGACTTTTTCTCTTATCGAGGAAAATTAGTACTATCAATTTGAAGCTACTCTAAAATATTTACCAAGTTTATTTCCAGTCTAAACCAAATTTTTTACATATTAAAAGCATTTTAGCGCCACACTTCTTTCAAATAGCAGAATAAAATCTATTTCTTAGATTCTTTTTTATTATTGATTTTTCCAGATTTATTTTTATAATAAAAATTTTAAGACCATTTTAAAAATAAAATATTTGTTCTATAAAGCCAGAATAATTATTATTTTCATTCAAAGAAAAGGCGCTATGTTTTTATGATTCTCATTGAATCAAATAACGAATGAACAGTCTAAACCTCATTTATAATTATTCCAAATTCTCATAATTTTTAAAAGATCCCGCATCCCGTTAAGACATATACACATTAGATAACATTATATCATTTAAAATATCTTAGAATCTTTAGATTATCAATAGTTTAGTCATATAACGTATTTTCAGTTTTTTTGGCAGCAAACGGTTTAAATTTCGTTTATTTTGCTCAGGTTTAAAATTACAAGGAGCCCGATCACGAGAAAACAAATTAGAATTAGTTTCTCATATGAACACCGATTTGCCTCTCATTTCGATTACATGGAACCACAACTCATCAGCTTTGGTCACTATAGATACCGAGGAAATGATGAATAAAGACATGTTTGTTTTTTTAAAAATAATATTAGCAGTAAATATTAAGTTTTTATGATGTTAAAATTACTTAATCCTATTTGAAGATGAGATTCTTAAATATAATATAATAATTGTTAGTATAATACTCTTTTAGTGCCTTCTGGCTGCTGTTTAAACCAATTTTTAGCAACTAATCCAAGTTTTACTGAAAACTATTACTTTGGCCTAAGGGTTTTTCTTAAAAAAATAGCAGCTCCAAATTTGAGAGAACCTAATATATATATATTAAAACGCCTTAATGCTAACGAATTTCTCCGGCAGGCTCCTGAATATTGAGCCGACATTTAGCTATTACCCACTATAAGCACTTACATTCATTAAAATAACATTAGAATATATGTTGTTTTTCAGTCGTAGTTAGATTTACACAAAAAATTTTGAAATTTTTCCCATTTTAATTTTTTTTAAATCTATTCTAATATATTTGCTAGGTTTACTATAAAACTACCACTTTACCTAAATCAAACTCGTAATGAGATCTTATTCGATGTTGAAATGAAAACAAAGGCACCTGAAAATGATCCATCTCTTTTCTATGAACGTGGAGTCGCATTTATTTGTTCTTAAATGTAGCCATTATTTACTCGTCTGCTTTTTTTATGCACTGTTAGTTTGTTCAATATTACTATAATTGTGATATATTTTAATAGTGTAGCCTATTAAGATGAATATTATTTATTAAATAGCAAATTAATATTAGCTTTATATTATTTTGTGATTATAATATTATACAAGAACCTCACGATATGTTATTTAATATATTTATGGCTTTATGTAATTTCTTTTATAATAAAGATAATTTAACTGACAAAATGAAAAGAAAACTGATATGCATCCTCTGGATTCATAACTCATAAGCTTATTTGTTGCCAGGGGCATAACTACTGGGAATGAAAAGGTGAGGGGGTGCATTTGCTACTTTTTTAAATTTCTGTTACCTCGCCCCCCACCCTCCTCAGTAAAAAACTTTTAAACCTTTCTATGCATTTTAAATATTTATACCTAATTCATATATAGACAATATTTTTAAAGAAATATATCATCCTTTTTCCTAAATAAATAAAAATTGACATCTTTAATTTTCTTAAACAAATAACTTCAATTCGTAATGTTTTATTTAAATAAAAAATTAATCATAAGCCAAATGGCTGGCCAATTATTTTTTGATATTCATTTATCGATATGGAATTTAAAATATTTTTTTTTGAGATCCTTGGTTCTTCTGTTAATCTCTTAATGATTCTTGGCAGTTAATATTTTTATAGATTTTACCAAGGATATATTTGACTTCCCCATTTGCCTCTTCAGTGATTCAAAATTACAATAGGTAATTTTTTCGAAAAGATATGGCGGAAATTCAAAAATAACAAATTAACTAAAAATTCTTCGAATATATTATAATTAGTAGGGCTCAGTGTTGTTAAAGTAGCGGGAGCTTTAGCGCTAATTTAAAAAAGAATAGCGGTAGCTCGCTAATAATTTACAAATAAGTAGCGCCTTTAATTTTATATAATAAATAGATTAATTATCAAATTTGTATTTTGTTTATTTTTCATTTGGATAGATACTGCCAAATTTATTTATAATATATATTTGAAAAATTATGATTTTTGGAAAGCGTCTATAGCCTATTTGACAAGATCGTCGCTTATCAATCCGATTTTCTGGGTTATAATCCCAGCAAAGATCATGTTATCTTCTTAATCCATGATTCCATCCTTGGGGGGATGATATATAAAAGGTCGGACTCAACCACATGATTTCCTTATAATATATGTTAATTAATAAGAGGGTGTTATTATATTTTAATTAATCTTGCTCGGTATTTAGCAAATTAGGTTATTATTTAGAAAATTGCTATACGTTGACTTGGTAATTATCATTAACCTAATAAATACATATAAAGATTATTAAAATATATTTATAATTAATTACAAAATCTTTTAATTTACAATAAAAATCTAGTTTCAAAATGATTGATATTGGAAAAAATTTTGATAAATCAACAAAGTAATTTTCCTGCAAAATGATCACAATCTGGTATTTTTCTTCTTGAATACGCAAAATGTTTTAATCTAGATAAAAAAAAATTAACGCAGGGTATAATTTCATTGTAAGTTGTGTCTGAAGGTAATATTAAACAAGCATGGTATGTTTCTAAAATTACCCCTGAGGATCGTGCTATAAAATTTAAAACAAATGACCCGTATAATAATCCACAAAAATATGTACAAAAGATATTATTCAAGATAGTAGCGTCACTAGGAGGGAGCTTGAGCTCCCTGAAAAATTTGAATAGTCCCCTGAAGGAAATTTTTTTTAAAATAGCACCCTGAATGAAATAAAAAGTTTTGATTGTCCTTGAACTATTTTTTTTTAAATTCTATTATGTACATAGATTTGATATTATTTTTAAAACAATATAAAAAAATTTATTAAATGAGTGCTATTTTAATTAGTAGATTTACATATAAATTATATTTATACTATGTTAACAATTGTAAGTGTTAAAATGGAATATCAATATCACTCATAATGTCTAAATATCAATCAGGTATTAAAAGTTGAAACTTAATTAATTTAATATTGTTTAAATTTATTACAATCCTAATTAAATAAATATAGTCATTTATTAATTGAAAATAAAATTAATACAATTTAATATTTTGATTTGAGTTGCCGAGTTCAAAATCACTAATCAACTATAGTACTATTTTTAAATTTTATTACTATACCTCTTTCTAAGAAAATTCTAAGATCCAAACCAGTATACGAAACTTCTGTGTTAATATTCTTAGTATATTTAACTAAAGCATCTTTTGCTCATTTATTTTTTATTAAATAAAGGAAGAAGAGATATTGAGTTTGAGATGAATGTTTTTAATGTTAAAAGAATTGAAAGCAGTATTGATGTTGAAGCTAATTTAGACAGAAAGCAAAGAAGGAGTTGGAGTTCGACAAGGTACATTTATAATACAGCTTCAATTTCAAACTGTAAATAATAAAAGAAGGTTAATTGTTGTTTATGAGATATAAATAATGGAAACAAAAATATTAAGAGAAAAAAAATAGGAAAATTAATTTATATATAAGATTTTATTTGTAAACAATAGACGCTGTATGTGAGGTTGAATCTGGAGATATAAACTTTGACGGTAATAATTTTTTAATATAATTAAAGATAAAATTAGATATAGGCGTGGAATCTGATGCTGAGGCTATCAAATCTCTTGGTAGCAACAATCCATGTAAAGGTTTATTGGTTAAAGTTGTAGTTAAACAAAGTAGATTTAAGGAAATAAACTTTTAAACTAATTATATTTAGATTTTTTTGAATAATGAAGAAAGAAGATTAATTATAAATGCGAGAAATGTAAATAATATATAGGCAAAAAAGGAAGGAAAATAGATGAATTAATTTATATACAAGATTTTTTATTTGTAAACAATAGAATCTATATTTGAAATCTGGAGATAAGAATTATGATAATATAATTAAAGATAAAATTAGATATATGCAAGGATCTGATTCTGATGAGAATGCTGGGCCTTTGTAGTTTTTAAAAACATTATCGATTGAATAAATTTAGGAAAAATAAATATTTTTTATTACTTAAGTTTTAAAATTTTTTATATCCGCTATCACAAATATTTAATAATGTAATAAATCGTAGGAAAAAATGGATATTTTTTTTTCACTTTTGTGTAAATTTTTAAATAAATGAAAATGGGCCGGGCAATTCATACATAAAAAAATTTTGCGCCAGGCATGGCAATTAGATAAAACAATTACTGGGCCGGATTTTCACAACATTTTTATACATATTTTCTAATTGTATAGGATTTCTTTATAATTAAAAAAGTAAAATTAAATTAAATATATGCAAAAAGTTGTTTTTTTTAGGCTAAAATCTATAATTTAAAAAAAGCGGTTTCAAATTATAAGATTAAATACAAATATGCCTGGGACTATACTTGGATTTTGCGGCAAAGTCCAACCTCTCATTTTTTTGCCATCGAAAAGGCAGAAGTACTTAAAAAAAATATGCCAGCCTCGTCAACACATTGTTCATACCAATCGTTACCAATACCTTAGTTATGTTCGGAAGTGAGGCCCTCAATTTTATTAAAACCATAGAAAAAAAAGAGAGAGATCACAGGGGACCCCAGTGAAGTATTTACCTTCTGATCTTTTTTAATATTTTAGTTCTTTTAATGTTTTATATATATTTTTATATATAATTTATAATATATCCTTATTTGTTTATTTTTAAATATATTTTTAATTAGATATTGTTCGTATTTGTATTGAATTTTTTTTAAAGTTAATAATTTTATTTTCTTTTATAGTTATTTGTTTTATCTTCTTCATAGCATATTTTTATACAATATTATGACGCCTTATTTCTATTTTTTTGGCTTAATCGAATATATTCAAAAATAGTTTATTCCTTTTCTTAGAAAATAAATTAAAATATTAAATAAAAACAATGGAAATAAATAGGCTATTATGATGAAATGAATGATGGAAAGAAATAGCACACAAATTTCAGAATAAAATAATGACAAATAGATAATATTTTTTTTTTAATCATGCATTTCTTTTATTTTTTTAAAAATTTTATATATTTAAAATAACATGTAAATTATTTGTAAAATAAAATTTATATAAAAACTATATTAAATAAAATAATAATTAAACATTTAATTAGGTATGATCAACGGGGCTTATAGACCCATGTATGGATATGCACTTAGAACGGCAGATTTCAGTTGATATTCTCTGTCGAAGGTAGAAGCCTTCTTTTGGATCACCTGTGATTAAGCGTAACCTTTGCCCTATTGTTTTAAATAATTTTAGGGCTAGGGGTCCAAATGATCCACAGGTATCTGAGACTACCGGAACAAACAAAACATTATTAAGGTTGCTATATTTGTTTGTTTTTGAAAACAAACAATTTATTTTATTGTATATGTCGTATGGGGATTCGAAATCTCTCAATTTTAAATCATTTATACTAAGGGCGATTTTTGGATTTTAAAAACTGATTTTACAGGAATTGTATTTAAGCATGTATAGAGTACCCAAACTGTAATTTCAAACAATTTTGCCATGAACTTTAAAACTACTTCTAATTTATATTAATTTTTATATGGAGTTTTTATATAAATTAAAAAATACTAAAATGTCTATGGCTGAAAAATACTCTATACATACTCGTATACCTGTAAAATCAAAATCCAAAGATCGCCCTTAGTAAATTATTTGAAATTGAGAGATTCCGAATCCCCGCGGATTCTGAATTCCTATACGACATATATATTTTGAATTTTATTAAATATAATTTTTTTTTCTATTCAAAAAAATCAAGGAAAGAACATTATTTACTTTCGAAATTTTTGTCTAGTTCTAATAGTAGCTTAAAATTTGTGCAAAAATTGATTTTAATTCATTCAAAAGTTTGTGATTTATAAATGTCTTTTGGTTAGATGATTTAAAATTGATAGGTTCTGAATCCTCATCTATTCCAAATCCCAATATGACATATAATTTATTTAGATATTTAAAAAAGTTGAGTCAGATGATCGTGATTTATGATGAACAATTTTAAAAGAAGATCCAAGTATCAGCAATTTTTTCCTTAAAATCTTTAAGAAATTATTCTTCGAATTTCACATTACATTTTAAATGAAGGAATTTTTTTTTTAAATTTTTATCTATATTTTTTAAATAAATACGTTTAATGGACCATTTATTTAAATTTTTATCTATAATTTTTTAAATAAATACGTTTAATGGACCATTTATGACACTCCTCATTATCATAGAAAGATTAGAATATTTTATTCAATGAAGGTAACCTTGCTTAACCTAAATCGAGCCCCCATGATGATTATCGTTATGAATTTCTAGAAGCCATATTGTTCCTTTTATTAGATGAGCTATGAATGGTTATTGGATTATGCCTCAACTGTGAAATTGATTCACCTTACCAATGTAGACATTGTGAAACCAGTGTAGATTGCTAGGGTAGTAGAACCGATGGGAAATATTTAGATGGAATATCTTCAATTCCTTGGTTTAGAAACCAGCTTCAGGCTTTCCTGACCCAAATGCACCATCCAACAAAAACCTTTATGCTCTTGTCCTTGTAGAAACCCAGAAAAACACCAAATACAGCTCTTTCTTACTCATTCATATCCATTTCTTACCACTTTCAGTAGCAAAGTTCAATGTTTTTTTTGAAAAATTAAGATGAATTTGTTAAAAGACTGCTCAGCTTAAGGAATCTCTCTTTTTATGGCAGAGTCTTGCTATAACGATTATATCTGAGTTTTATTTCTTCTATTGAATAATCTTCCATACCACCTTATACTTTATTTTCTTCCTTGTTTCTCTTTATTATTTTCTTTTAATTTTTAACCTTTCTCTCCTTAATTTTAATTTTATATTTATCACTTTTATTAATTTATTTTCATAAAAATCATCATATCCTTTTTTTTTATAATAAATTATATTAGTTACATTTTCTAGAGACAATTGAATGTTTAAAAAATCTATTATAATAATCCTCAAAAAACGTCAATCGAATTTAACCAATAGTGTTCTTTTAAAAAATATTTGTCCAATGATAATCATCATAGCAATTTTTAGCCAATAGTAATTCCCATGTGAGTTATAATATGGCGATTATACTCAAATTCATAACTACCATCAATCCAGAGATATGTGATGCAATATGGAAAACTTTAAAAGATATCCAGCCAACTAGAGAACATTGTGAGAAGATATTAAATTTAGATATTAATATATTTTTAAATTGCACAAGAATGAGAAACATGGATTTCCAAACTGCCTTGGCTCATTGGATGGTAAGCACAAAAAATAAAATGTCCTGCAAAATTTTTAAATCAAATGCTTGGTTTAACTTATAGCAATTACAAATTTATATATATAGATGTGATGGTGGCACTTTCAGAAATTGTTTATATCAATGTAAATTTTTAACATTAATAAATAATTTTTAATTATTTTAGAGTTAGAAAATCAAACATTTTAGATTGCATAAGAATATTTTGAGAAACATGGATTTCCAAACTGCCTTGGCTCATTAGGTGGTAAGCTCATAAAAATAAAAAGTCTTGCCAAATCTTTAAATCAATTGCTTGGTTTAGCTGATAGCAATTACAAATTTATATATATAGATGTGATGGTCCTACTTTCAGAAATAGTAGTTTAAATCAAAGTAAATTTTTAACATTAATAAATAATTTTTAACTATTTTAGAGTTAGAAAAGCAAACATTTTAAATTGCACAAGATTATTTTGAGATACATGGATTTCCAAACTGCCTTAGCTCATTAGATGGTAAGTACATAAAAATAAAGTCCTGCAAAACCATTATTAGAAACCCTATAGGAAGGATCCATTTCACATTGAATTTTATACAACTATATATCTTTTTAATTGGGTAATTTTTATTCATAAGTAAATATTTTCATCTCTTATCTTTTCTGAAAATTTGGCCTTTCTACATGCATTCCATAGTTTTGTATATTTTCTCATAACTACATAATTGTAGCATGTAATTAAATGTATAACCTTTTTGTTTTACTTATATATAATTTGACTATTATTGAAGTTAACCTCCTATTAGTTGTTAACTTAGAATATCTTATTTTTTCTATTGTAATTTAATATAAATGTCTTAAATTTAATTTTATAATTTGTAAATAAGTAATAAATCATTTGGAAAGGTGATGGTTTGTTTAAAATTTAAATTAGGATGAACATACTTTCAGCATGGTACTTTAATATGTATTCATGAATTTCATATAAATACCAGGAGCTAATCAGAAGAATGATAGGTAAATCAGATATTTCCTCTTCACTTGATAATTTTGAAAAATTTTCCCAATGATATAAAATGGCAAAAAAATATATACACATTAGACAGATTTAATTCTTATAAACCCCTTACTATTTTTCTGGATCCAAGGAAAAAATAAATTATTCTAGGTTTTCCTGGGCTTGAAAATATTTTTCACAATTGATATAGACTTGGAAGTAGCTTGGGAAACATTTTTCAAAATTTATATAGTCTTAGATTCCTGAAAATATTTTCATTTTAAATGGCTAGAAATTGGCCTGAAAATTTCTTTTGAAGACATGGCCAGGCCTGATCAAAAACAAAGGCCCATGCAACTTTCATATTTTGATTGTATTTTTAAATGCATTGTGACTTTTTATATATTTTATTTCAGTTCTCAACTACATAAAATTATTATGGTCTTTGGCAGGTTTGAGAAAATTTTCCCAAGTGCGTGGACCTGGCTTGGGAATTTTTTTAATATTAGGCATAAGTGAAATATTTAACACAGAATATTTATATGGACCTCAGGTAAAAGCTAATTTAAATATATTTTTATTCAAAAAAATAGTTACACTCTTAGTCTAAATGGGTTGGCCTTGGTCTGAGGTAGGGGTGAGCTGGGTTAAAATAGAATAAAAAATAGATATGGTTTTTAGAGATTTACCTATCTCCAAGTTTGGGAAAAAATTTTGAAAATTACTATGGGTTGGCCAGGCTTGAGAAAATTTTTTATACAATTATTATGAGCTGGGCTGTGCTTGGAAAATATTTTAATAAATTATATTGGGCTGGGCTTGGGGAAAATTTGTCAAAATTATTATGAGCTTGGACACTTGATAATTTTTTAATTATTAACTATGGGTAAGAAATTGGCCTAAAACAAGTTATTTTGCAGGCCTGGGCTTGGCCTGATAAAACCAAGGCCATGAAAATCTGATTTTGATTTTATTTTTAAATTCATTATGATTATTTAAATATTTTATTTCAGTTCTCAACTACCAAAATTATTATGATCTTTCATTGGGCTTGGAAGAATTTTTCCAAAATTATTATGGCTTTGTACTTTGCCTGGGAATTTTTTTTTAATAATAAATATTAGGTATAAGTGATCAGCAATATTTAAAAAATAATATTGGTATTATCAAGTAAAAGCTTAAAATTTATTTTTACTCAAACCATAGTATATACTATATACACTTAGTTTTAATGATTGAACCTGGCCTGAAGGGGGGAGGGGGTAAAAAGAATTAAAATTGGATATTATTTTCAAATAACAGGTAACAACTAGTATAAAAATAGAAGAAAATTCTCATCCATCATTTTTGACGGGCTATCTACTAGTAAATATATATTTTTAGGTCGAATTTAAATAAGAGCACATATGATATAGAATTTTGGACCTGCATCTTTAATAATTAAGACATTTTTATATATTAACTTAAAAAGTTGCCACCTTCCTGGAAAGGGACAGTTTGTGCCCATTTATTATATTATTTATATTTTTTGTCACTGCCCTATTCTAAAAAAAAAGAAACAACTAAATAAAGAAAAAAAAATCTCAAATTAATAATTTACATTTATTTGCATCATAATTTTATTAAATAAAAAAATAATGAAAATTGATGAATTCAAACAAAATTTAGTTTTTATTATTTATATCAGTTTTTTATATAAATAAGCTGTGTAGCATTGGGGTATTAGTAGTAATATAAAATGGTACCAGTATAAGTCAGAATTTTTTCCATTATAAAAAAAAGATATATTTTGAAAAATACATACTGAATTCTATATATTGTATCATCATATATTCTAAAATTATTGTAATTTTATGAATTAAATAATACAACAGAAAGTTAGTCTGTTTGAGAAATACCAGTAATGCCTAGCAGATCAGCATCTGTGTATTTAGTAACATCTTTGTTTTTGGTATATTTATTATATCTATAATAAAATATATATAGATATTAATATAATTACAAAACCTATGACGATTTTTAATTAATATGATTGATTTTTTTGTTTCAACCTTTTCTGACTTTAAATCTTGTATCATGATTTTAGAACTTTCATTCAGATTGTTTAGAATATTTTCAAAATCATTATTATGAATATTAAAAAAATTAGTATTATTTTCTTTAAATCCAATCCCTATTTAAAAAATAAAAATCTAATTAGGTATACCATAAACCTTTTTTCTCCTTTATGACTCTAACTTTTAGGCATTCAGTTATACCTTTATTGTTAATTCCAAGTCCTTTACCTGCTTCCCACCCCATTTTTTTAATCATTTTTTCTCCTATGGGACATTTTTCTATAAAAAAACATTATATAAATCTATGAAATTTTCTATCACCGAGAAAGGATTGTTGGTCAGGATATTTTGAAAAGCATGCATCTTTTTTCTTCATGCGTGAATGTAAAATGCTGAGATTTATTATTTTGGGTGATACTAAACCAAAACCGGGCAACCAATAGCTATATTGAAAAAAAAAATTTAATATGCAGCGCTGTTAAATTATGGTGTTATTATACAAATGATACTGTAGTTGACAGGTTTTCTTTGTATCAACGCTACTTTGATTTTATAGCATTCATAATGTTACATTTTCAAATCTTAATCTTAACAAACATATATCCTAAATGAAAATATAATTATTTTAATACCAATCGAAATATCAAAAATTTAGTTTTTATATATGTGAAAATGAACAACTACTGAAAATGTTTCATCAAAAAATCTTTGATTAATGGGTGGGCAGCCTCTACATGAGTAGTGGGGAGTGCAGTTTATTTCAGGGGGTAGACATTTAAGGGAGAAAGATTATGGGTAAGATAAATTTATTGGGACTTTATCAATTAAATTTTTAAATGATATAGGGCAAAATATATTGCAGCAAAAAATAATTTAATTCTTTTTTTATACAACTATTATAATGCAATAATATTGCGACACGACCAAATCTATATATATAAGTACATAATAGTGATTATTTTACATATAAAACTAATTTCTAAATAATTTTTTGTTATCTCTTTTAATGTAATTTACAAGAGGTAGACATTCTATTAACAAACTTAAATTCATGCCAAACACAATATACTATAATAATGTAGCATTTGTAAATAGAGAACTTTAATTTTATACATGTTCCAAAAAATAACTCTTACATCATCAATTTTTTGATAATTTTCAGTAGAGTAATAATTAAAATTATTCTTTTTAAAATATATAAAGGAGTACCATTATAATTAATAGTGTGTTATAAATTATAAGCATTTTTTTACTCTTGGTTTTCTTGTTTGCACTTTGAATTGGTATTAGCGTTGTTAATAGTTATTCAAAGTAGGCTAAGCGGCTATTCTCACATATTAATAACAAAAGAAAATTATATTTTGTTGTACCATAGTTAGATTTAAATATCTAAAGTTAATGATTTGTTAAGATTTTTAAAATAAATAAAGACAATATAGCTAGAGAATTAAAATAATGTTTATCATAATGAAATATGAAATAGCGTGCAAACGAGCAAATTTTTTGAAAACACATGGGCGGGAATGTGATAATCAAAAATGACTGAAAGCAAATATTTTTGAAAATCATAAATGGGCGGGTTAAAAAAATTTTTCAATAAGTATGGTGACAGGCGAGTAGATTAAAATCTCGCCCACTTAAAACCTCTGCTCACTCCATAGAAAAAAGGTTCATGCATTTATCACCCTCCGATTTCTTCCTGAGAACTTCCATTTTCAGTAGTCTATTAAGCTAAAGCATAACCAATTGTCATTTTTATAACTTTATTTTTTTCTTGAGAAAACCATCATTTAGAGAAAGATTCGGATTAAAACCAACCTTACTCAATTTAAACGGAAGGTTTAGGATAGGCATTAAATTGCAATCAGTTTCTAAAAATTCTTATCCAGATATCAAAACTGATTGTTCTTTATTCAATTTGGTGGGCCTATTTAAAAACGATCGAGTAATTCCTATTCAATTCTTTTGAACAAATTGCTGTGCGTAATTATATATCAAGAATAGTATATTTTATATTCGTATATATATTAATGGTATATATTACTATTCGCACAAATATTAGTAGTAAATTATTCTATTTGTTCAAAAGAATTGAACATTATTAGATAGGTCATTGAATACCTATTAAACCAGCCCGAGATACGAGTTTCTTCAAGTCATTTAAACGAACAAATTACATTTAAAATTAAACCAAAATGAGCACATCCAAGTTATTTTCATTGGTACCCGTTTAAACTGCTTAATAACCATTATTTACCTGCTTAGATTGCAGCTTGCTAATCGAGGGAATGGACAACCTTCATTGACGGTTTTATAACAGTCGAATCATTAGACACCGTGGATAACTCGATCTTGCTACGAGAGCTGAATTTGAAATATCTCTTATTCTAGGCCCGATCTTTTCGGATTGATGTATCAACCATTGGCTTCCTCAAACCAAACCCTCGATATTTGAAAAGCAGATTTAATTACTAAATATCACGAAATTTCGAATAACTACATATTCATCTCAATTACACCACTTTTGAAAGCTGGCCCTATCGTTTTTTAAGTAATAACCAGAAAGTTTAACCGATAAGTATAATTATTCAGTTCCATTAGTTTTACTTAATTCCATTCCGATTATTTTGAGGAATTTATATCGGTCCTTAGCGATTTATTCCAGTTTTTATAATTTTTTAATTTTTAAAAATCATTAATTATAATTTAGTCCTAATAATCTAATAAAAATATAAACCAAAGAAATATTAAAGAAAATAGGTTGGATTTATTAATTTTTTATAAAATAGATGTAAGAAATAAATTGTTAATTGACAAAACATTGCCCCATATAAATTTGCACTAATACTTTTTATAATATTTAAATTATGCCAGTCATGTAAAATAAAAATACATAATTTCGATAACCTTAATAAACCGCCTCAAAAGTATTTATAACGATTGTTCTCTTCTTTTGAAAATTTCTTATAATGATTCGGTTATGATTACGGTTTGAAAATTTTACTCTGGTAATAAGAACTCTTCATCCGCAAGCTCACTGTCACTGATACCCCAATTGTGGCTTTTTCTTAAGAAGAGATTAGTTTTGATAAGGGTAATTGCATAAGCTTCATAGTCGAAGACAAGATGTTTGAATATTCGTAGAATTTGATAAATTTTTAATTAAAATATACTTTTTGATATATTTATATCACCACTATCTAATTTAATATAATGGAACGAAACTGAAATGTTATTGAACATGAAAAGAACAGGATTTCCGGAATAGTTTTGAAGTGTTGCGTTAAATAATATTAAAAATTTAATATCTTAAATTATATTCATATTTAAAATAATTTTAACCTTTTTATTAAAAATTAGTATTGTATATGGATAATCATATTATTATAGTTGAAGGGTGTTTTTTTACAGTCAATATGCTAATACTACTGCAAAAATATAAATGATTATTTTTTAGAAAATGTCATAAATACTACATAGTGTAAAAATTTGTATTCGGTCCAATTATTTAATGTATAAAAATTATTGGCCCGAATTATTCACATCATTCTCCTTTTTAATTTTTTTTGTATATACGTTATTTTTTTAAATTTAATTTGTTTGTTAATTTTTAATATTTTTCATGTGATATTTTAATATAAATTTATATGTAAATTTTTTTTATATTTTTTTAAAAATCATTTCTTAAAAAAAAAATAAATAAAGTAGAAACAAAGCATGATTTTTTAGGAACGCCTTTCGGAACGTTAGAACATATTGGAAACATCTTTATTGGCCAAAACGAAAACAGAGGAGGAACGCAAAAATGCCATTGATTCGAGTTTCGACATAAAATATTGTTATTCATTTTTTTAAATTTACAAAATTTTAAGTTATTATAAACTAAATAAATTATCAGTTATTTATAATGCATGCGCTTGTTTACTCTTTATATGTGGTGTGTTTCTATAACTAAACAAAAATTCGTATATTTTATTGGTTTCTTTGATTTTATAACAAACTGCACAAAATGCTCTATCCCCATTAGGGTGTGAACAATATTCCTCCTTACCGGTAAAATTATATTGGCCTTGGATAAGGTTTAACAGAATAAAATAATTAAATATAAACTAGTATCACATTTAAAGAAACTGGTAAAAAAAAACCTAGAAATGTAGAATCACAGCATCTATTCTGACGAAGAATTAGTAGAATATTCTGTTGATATCTAAATTTTTAAAATAAAAGATAAATATTACATATTTTCAATAAATTTCCTATATAACCTTTGTTCACCAAATTTAAAACCGCAATACCCTCCCCACATTGATAGTTTTCACTATAAAGTGGATAAAAATTTTGAAAAACAATCGTTGCATGTAGTGTTGTTAAATGACTCTTTTTGAGCAGATTTTTAAAAACGGCTAACTCATTATTTTATTCAGAAAAATATTACGCAAGCCTGAAGATTTTGTTCATAGAAGGAACAAAGGTCTAGACATATATTATCGAAATCTCTAGGCTTAGACAATATTTTTCTGACTAAAATATTGAGTTAGCCGTTTTTAAAAATCGGCTCAAAACGAGCCGTTTAACAACACTATGCATGAATTAATAGAAATTTTTTAATTAACAATATTAATTTTAAATCGCATTTTATATTTTCAATTACAAAATACAAATATTATATCTAAAGGCCGACATAGTGTTATTTATTGTATTATGCATTTATTTATATTAGATATTAAATAAAAAAAATTTGATACGAATGAATACTAACACGTTTATGAATTTGAACGCGTTCCATTTTTTTCATTCCTTATCATTTTACTACCAGATTTGTAAATTTTTTAAAAAGTAATTAAGAATAAAAGAAGTAATAAAAAATATCAATCATATAATCTTACAATTGATATAATATTAATTTAAAATTTTCAGCCTGACCTGTGTTTTGCAAAAAAAAATATTATTAGGCATATGTTATTTATTTTTAGTTATGACACAATATTACGAGCTTGCAGGTATATGATAATTTTATGATTGAGTGGTAAATATGACGACCTTTTATTTTTGCCAATGAAATAATGATCCTATTTTCAATATAGCTATCTTTAGACCAGTTGAGAATCATCATTACCCATTAATTTAATTAATATTTCTACAATTGTTTAATATTTTAAGTGTGCATTGATGTATAATCATTTTATAACCATAAATTTTAATATATGATCAACAGCTATTCATATTTTTTTTCTACACTCCGATCATACAAACGTATGCCCATGTACCAAATTAATTTATAAAAATAAATCATATTGAATATATAAACAAATAGTATTATTAATATTCTATTAATATAATTATATATTGAAATTTGTTTGCACTACTATATAAATATAAATATATATAAAAAATATATATATAAATTAAATTTTTATTGATTTATGCCAGATGAAATAAATTTAAATACAATATTTGACAAAAATTCTTTGGTGGTAATCGCATGAAGTGTTATAAAAGTGACTCCGCCAGGCGGCAAAAAAAATGTTACGTTGCTATCGGGAAATAGAATTTGATAATCTTTTTGTATGAAAATATGTATGTTTATAAATATAAAATTTGTCCTTATTCAAATATATAATTATTTCATATTGTTTTTTTTTGTCAAGGCTTTACCACCCCATTAAAATTAACACTCCTCATCATAATTGTAACTTCCCTAAAATAATCCTGATATTATCCTCTCCATTTTTTAATATATATTTAATCAATTAGGCATCTGAATTCTCTCGACTGTTATTCCTATAAGTGTCGATCGGGATATGAACCGAGACCTAAGTAATCTCACCAAGTTATCTTATCAATTCTACTAAGCATTTTATTAGAAAAGTTGTAAATTTTTATATTTATTTCAAGCTAAGCATAACATAGTCTACTTAGCCATTTCCTTTTTAAAATTTAAATATTAAGCATTACCAAATTTATATTATTCAGGAAATACTGAATTTTTAATATCGATTTGATCTAACCATTCAGTGTCTTATGGTAAATAAAAAAATTTTCCTTTTTTCAAATTAATTGTATATACTAGGGCTGTGCCGATATTAAATATCTAATCGGGACCGGTTTTTAAAAAAAAATTAGATCAGATCAATATTTTTTTTAAATCCAATCCAAACCAATATAATCAATGTTTTTGGTTTTTGTATTAATAATCATATCTTTTTATTTTATACATAATTTCCTAATAAATAAAAAGGAACCATATTCAATTTATTTTGTTTGTTAATTATTTGCAACAAGAAAAGGATTTAAAAATATTTAGAGAGCCATAACAATTGCCAAAGTATAAATGAGACGTTAAATTTTGATTAGTATTAGATCAGTTTTTTATATGAAAGTTGTGCCAGTACACCTCCAAAGACTATGTTTATTGTTTTTTTTGGAAAATTAATAAATAAGTTTAAAAAAAATACCATGGTCTAGTTTAAATTTGTTTTGATTGATAGCACCAGTGTAGGGGTTTAAGGCAATATAACGATTACTATCTTCGAAAATGTTGAGCATTCGATATCCATTCGGCCTATCTAATCGGAAATGTTTAGGACTAAAAATGTAAGACCTTAAAGCACCACTATCTCCAGAATTATAAATTATGATAGCAACATGGTCTAAGTAATTATTGGTTGGAGATAATGGTTTAATTGGTTTTAGCCATACTTCCAGATTATGATCCTAAATAAAAATTAATGATAACTATATATACCTAAAATTATAGATAATGCATATTATGTATGAAGGATAATCAAATTATAGTATAACTCTATAAGATAAATTTTTGTTATATTTCAAAAAAATTTAAATCTTATCATTCTTGAGAGGGGAGGGGTTGACACATAGATCAGGTCTCACTAAACAATTTATGTTAAATGAATACTGAAAACGGTTATTAGCTCATATCCTTTAGGTGTGCAATAATAAAATTTAGGTCTCCTAAGCACACCAAAGTTTCTTTTAAGTGATGATATTGATATATATATATATATACAACATGTCGATTTCGATACCATTAAATATTAATCAAATAAAAAACTTCAAACCACGAAAAATTTATTTTTACCTGAAGCATTCTGGCTCCTTGTAATCCTAGAGGATCTTGATTTATCCCTATGGCTATAGGATTCAACAAAATCTTGAGCAATTTATCATCCAAACGCCTCAAATCATTTGACATGATTAGCGGGGCTGAGAGCAAACACCAAAAGGCCATTTGAGTTTTGGATTGCTCATAACTCAGTCCAAAATCACCTATTATTAACTTAAAAAAAATTCTGGATTATTTAAGAAACAATTTATATACAATACGATTTGTTTGAGTTAAGTATCATAATATAATGAACAACCTTGGCCTCAATTAAGTCAAAATCAACTAGTTTGTTTAAAATAATGAGGACCAGAAATTTAAATTTGTAACTAGAGACATTATGGTTAGGAAATATTTTGGATTTATAAGATCTGTAGTCTACATAAAAATAAGATTAAAACCATATCAGGGTCATTCCATTGACCTGGACCTGCTGCTGGTATTAGGGTGTCTTGATTATCACCATAAAATTTGATTATTGATTGTACACTATTCCAGGAATCTTGAATATCAGCATAATTTCTCCATAAATTACAGTAATTTGATATGAAAGAGTAGTTTGCCTTAAAATTTATTAAATAATTTGAGTTATTTATTAATTTATTGTTTGTTAGATAAAAATTAAGTTTTTCAGATAAAATTAAATATTTATATTGAAAAAGCCAAAATTTCATAATAACAAATACTAAAATATATTGGTTAATTATATATATATATACCCTAGCACTGTCACTTTGGTAATCAGGCCAACTACATGAAAATACAATGGGCCTGCCAGTTTTGTTTAGCCATTTTGAAAACTCTGGATAACCTAACATAAAAAATTACAGCATCAATGAATAGATAATTTTAACCATCATTCATTTGTCCTGGATCAGCATAACATCCATCCATTTTTACATAGTCAACATTCCATTTTGCAAAAGTTTCAGCATCTGTTTTTATATAAAACTCACTTCCAGGATATTTTTGACATGTACTGATACCAAAATCTGAGTAAATACCAAACTTAAGCCCTTTGCTGTGTATCTTTATGTATTAAATCAATATAACTTAAATAATTTATAAAATAAGCCCCATATAGTCAACCTCGCTCCACCCTCCTCCTCAAAAATATAATTCCTGGCCCTCAATCTTTGAAAAAAAAATGGTTCCCAATTAAACTCCCCCCTCCCCCTCAATTAAAATGTTTTGGCTATGGACCTGAACAAATAGTGGTGGAATTCACTTTGTTAGCTTTAGAGTAACCTTTTAACAAAATTTTAAATTGGCACAAAATAATAATTCCACCCTAAAATGAAAAAACAGCAACTTTTATCTAAAATTAGTCAACAAAAATTGTAATAATTTTAATCAAAATTTGCAAAAAAGAATTCAAAATTTTTCACTCCAAAGTTATCAGGTGAATCAAGAATCTGCACCCCCCCCCCCTTTCCAACAATACTACTGAAATAAAACATATTTATAATTTAATTTAAGTTGAGCAATTTTACGTAATCTGCTATATATTTGATACCATTAGGAAATCTAATAGGATCAGCTTGTAATTCCCCATTGGAATCTCTTTCTTTAGAAGACCAGCAATCATCAATAATTAAATATTCATATCCAACATCTTTAAAGCCTAACTTGACCAATTGATTGGCCATGCTCATAATCAAATTTTCACTTTATAATATAGTTTTATTTAAATAAATAAAAGTTGTATCACTTTAAGCAATTATCTTTAAATATTGAGCAATCAATTGAACATCTAAATCTTTCCCAGGTCATCCAACCCATAGGTGGAGTTAAGGCCAATCCATTTTTAAGGCATATTATACTTTGGAAATCAATTAAGATTAAGATAAAAATATTTAAAAAATTTATTTTCCCCATTATAACATATGGAGGATAGATTATTAAACTCCTGATCCAATTGTTCACAATGTGAATGGTCAAATGGAATGGTCTCGCGTAATGTTGTTAAAAAGCCTGATTCGGGTAGATTTTAAAAAAGGGCCCGATTAAGCATTATATACCAAAATAACATTATGTAAGCCTAAAGATTTTGCTTATAGCTGGCAGAAATTCTTTGACATTTATCAAATCTCGACGCTTACATAATATTATTTTACCTAATCAACCCAAATCTAACTTTTTAACAACACTAAGTAAGAATTTGAAATAATTTATTTCAATCAAATATTAGATCATGTGCAATGACATATGTAATTAATTACAATTCTAAAATTTAAACCTTAAACAATTAGAAACTGGAGGGGAATTTTTTCGAAAAGGAAGAATTGATGCAGAGTAGGGGAAAATTGGAGATTAATGTAAAAATCTAAAATTGCTTAATTAAAATTGAGATCTATGGGTAGAATTCTTTAAAATAGAAGCATGAGATTGTATCCTAAGAGTATGATATTCGCCAGCAGGTCACTACCCTTAACAATCTCAGGAGACTCAAAAAAAAATTTATTTTTAAATGACCTTTTTTTAGTTAACATTTCCAACCTTTGTATAAAAAAAATTCTCAAAATATTAAGAGGGCTCTTCAAATTTTTCAGGAAACTCGAACTCCTGTACGCTCCCCCTAGTGACCCTACTGCTCCTAGTTATTAGACCGACTTATTAAATGAGTTATAGGCCATTCTACATAAAAGTAGAGGAAAAGGTTATTGTATCAGTGAAAATTAGAATGCGTAGATTGATTCTTTGTGAATCTATATGAGTCCTAAGGGAGGCGCTGATAATCAGCCTAATTCAGGTTAAGAAGATAAAATTGGGTCGGTTTTGTCATGTCGAAGAGAGAGAGTCATATATCGAGAAAAAAACAATTTGAAGTTAAAGGTAAACGTATATGGGGGCGCCCAAACAATAAATACAAGAGATGTGATTATTCTGTTGAGTTCAAACCTACGAAGGGTATTGTAAATGACCCACGAGTGAAGGACTCAAATTAATCGTGCTGAAATGAACCAAACTATTTATATAATTGATATTAGATATGATTATAATTGTTACACAACTATTTATGAGTTTTTAAATCCTTCTAAGTCCTATATATATTGTGGAAGATGTTAGGTTTACATCTGAATAATACTGTGGTTAGGATGTTCGACTCGGCAGGACTCATTTATAAGCCCTTTTTTTAAATCTAAGAGGTATTTTTGTGCTACAGATAACATCAACATGGATGAAAATATCATTTTACCCTTTTTTCCAAAAGCAAAGAGAATTCAATTAAAGGTATTAAATTATAAATGTAATGTCTGAAATTCATAGTATCCACGTCAAAATTAAACAACAACAGATAGGAAGATGTGGCTATTACAGAGGAAAGCACCTTACCTAATGACATAACAAAATATTTAAATCATAAAATAGCGAGTTTTTTATAATTTAGTAAGATTTTAGCTACTAAGTTTAGTTTGAGCTCACAATCTATAAACAATTAATTTAAATTACTTTTATTTATTTATTATTAATGGTTTCACTTTTTATTTAAATATTTCACTTAAGTAGTATACTCAATTGGATATTCTACTTTGGTGGAAACGACAAAAAAAAGATTTATCATCAAGATTAACCAGTGCTTCTTCTGAACGATGAAATAACATTGCTGGAAGGTTTATAGAAAAAAAGGAACGTACGAGAATCCATAAAATGTGGATTCATTACTATTTTTGCATTATAATTAGAAATAATAACAATAAATATTATTTTTATATTTATATTTTTTATATAAATATTTTATTAAATCAAATTAATTCCTTAGCCTTAATTTAAATTAAATATTTTATTTTCGTTTAATATAGCAATTTCCTAAATTATAAAACTTTTTTGTAGAGGTGTAGCGCTGAAACTATATTTTAAACTAAATTTTAAAAAAATTATAAAGAATGAGCTATTTAAATTTTATGGGCGACATGGGTTAAGAATTTTTTTTATATAATGGGCGGCGGGTAAAAAATTTTAGACTAATGCGCGGGCAGGCGGGCGGTAAAGAGTTTTAGACTCATGGGTGGGTGGGTATATTTTTTAAAACTATGGGCGGGTTAGGCGGGTGGATTAAATTTTTTTAAATATTGGAGGGCCAGCTTGTGGGCTAAAAACCTGTGCAATGCAGACCTCTAGTTTGGGACATTTGCGAAATTAATACAGAACCAACCCCCTATTATTTTTACACAAAATTTTGATTAATAACACATATAAATATAACAGATAACACTAAATTTCTTCTCTCTATGAATTTAATTTCACCATTAATATTGTTTAAATTTTAGAAAGGAGGAGGGAAAACAACATTTAAATAGATGTCCCCATTATGTAAGCTATAAGACAGGATATGAATTATTTTATATTGAAAGAAATTTTTTTTTTATTTAGTATGATGATTTACTAGCTAATTGGAATAAGAAATAAAAGATTTCTATCTAAATTTCCTTTTATTTTATTTGAATATTTACTGATATGATATGATGTCAAAATATATTAGCAAATAATTAATTTTTTAAAAAGGTAAAATAAATAAAGGTGAAAAATTGTAGAAATATAATTTACGGGAAAGGATAGGGGATAAAAAAAATGAAGCTTGGAAAATGGAAGGTTATTCAATGGAAGAGATGAAGCTTAGATAGTTGGAACGAATGATGGCGGTAGCAAGTCTTTGGCGTAAGAAGAGGGATTCCTTTGGCTGGTCGGTTTTTTCGCGGATCCGTTTGCCTAAATCTTTGAAAAAACGTTGAGCCTTGCTACCGAAGGTGGTGAGAATGGTGCAGGCGATGGGTATGAATAAGAAGTAAGGGTCTAAGGAACTGTACTTTATGGTTTTGCGGGATTCAGCAAGGGCGAGGGCATCGACGTTATGGTTAGAAGGTGCATTTGGGTCAATGCAGGTGAAGTCCCAAACCAGGAGCTGACCCCTTAACCAGGGGATCAAGGACATTCCATCGGGACGTTTTCCGTCGGTTCTGAAAATTCCGGTTGGTTCTAGTCTAGATGGAATGCCTCCTGATTTGAGGGCACGTAAAATGATGTCGTTGCATTTGGTGTGCCGTGAAAAGCGGCCACGACAAAAGCGACAATGGAGGCAGTGCCTACCCTTGCTGTCAACGCTGGTTTCGCAATGTTTGCATTGGTACGGAAGAACAATTTCGCAATTGAGCCGTAGTCCAATAGCAAATCTTAGCTCGTCAGCAGTGAGCAACAAATCGAGGTTGTTGGAGGGTATGGTTTCCAGAAACTCGTGACCAGAACCTTGGTTCAATTGGTGAAAAACTGTGAGATCGTCGTCATGAAGGCTCGATTTTAGGTAAGCGACGGAGCCTTCGTTGAGTGGAATATCCCAGTCTCTCTGTGAACATGAGGAGGGTCGTGCGTTGTCCCAAATGGTCTGGGCTTCAGCTAATAGGGGGTCAGGGAAGTTGGAAAGCTGGCTAATGTGTAATTCGGATGAAAGACGAGAGGCGATGAAACCACTGATGGAAAGAGTAAGAGGTGAGCGTAAGCCGATACCCCCGAGCTTGCATGGAAGTGATGCTTGTAACCATGAATTATGGTTAAATCGGAGATTAAGGATCTCTTCGGCAAGAGATTTGACGGAGATTTCAAAAGATTTTAATGAGTCGGGGAATTTGAAAATTGAGGTGGATCGAAGGGCGTAGAGAATTTTAGGAATGTAATAAAAGTTTTTGAGGAGAAAGCTTGATGGGGAGGGAGAAACTTAGAGATGTTTTTGAAATGAAGTAAGCTGGATGATGCGTTAGTGAAGAAGTGATTGATGGATTCCAGGCCACCGACTGGAGAGCCGAGATGACTGAGGGATGAGAGTTCGGTTGTGCGGAAGTTGTGGTTGAATGGGATGGAGCAATGAAATGGGCAGATCTCAGTTTTTTGTTCATTGAGTGAGAGGCCGATAGCGTGGGAATGTGTTTTGATGATGGTGAGTGCCTTAGCAACCTCGTTAGGGGGACCGCAGAGTATTCCGTCATCAATGTACCAAGTATGCAGTGGGAGATTGCAGTTGGAAGAAATGTTTTTGACCATTTCGTTGATTCCAATGCAGAAAAGTATCGACCCCAAAGGATCGCCTTGTTGGATCCCTTCAGATGATGAAAGTAAATAGTTGTTGAATTGGAGATGAGATGGCATGGAGTAGCAAGAATGGAAGAATTGGGAAAAGGTGGGGAATGAATGGTATATTTGTGGGAGAAAGTGAGAGCGGCGAATGGAGTTGAAGGCGTTAGAGAAATCAATTTTAACGAGGATTTCGTTACTTGGGTTGGTTTGGAGATGGATACGAGTAGCGTGTGTGGCTATTTCGCAGCCTCCTTGGATGCCGATTCCAAGTTGATGAGGTGCTAGAATTAAGGCAGCGTTATCCTTAATTTTGGAAGATATTAGCTTAGCGACAAGACGGCGAAATACGGTTCCGATTGCAATTGGGCGGATATCCTTATTAAGTTTTTCGAGTGCGATTAGTTTAGCACCGAATAAGAGTGGTCTGATGGACTCGGGAACGAGGCCGTGTGCTATTTTGTTACAAAATGTTGTTAAATTTTGTAAAATTGGGACCTGGCTGACTATGAGGGGGGATGTGAGATCCTGGAGGAAGATGGGACGAAGCCCATCGTAACCGGGAGAAGAGTCGTGATGGAAGGATAGAATAGATTTGCGCACCTCGGCGGGGGTGAAATCAGAAGGGAAAATATTGGGAGGAGGTGGAGGTATGAAATCAACTCCGGGGGAGGGGGGTGCTTTAGTTTGAGTTTGTTGAAATTTTCTTCGTTACTAGTGGCAAATGAATCATCAGAGGCTACTAAGCGAAGAGCTGATTTGATGTTTAGGTTGTTAATTTTGTTGGAAATTAACTTTGCCTTTAATTGTAGGCTGGAAAGTTTTTTGGGTACATGAGAAGATGTTGTGGT